GAGGCCTTCCCTAAGCCACCTGATCACAAATAGAGACTGATTCCATTTTGTGAGCAGAGGCAAGATCCATGTCTAGCAGTCAAATTTCTGTTCTCCATGTGCTCTAGGAAGACCACAGATGGGGAGGGACAAATTTCTCTCAGCCAGCAGAAAGAGTCCACAGAAGGGTGGATTTCCAGAAAATCGGGTCCTCGTTTCATTAAATCAAAGACAAGCTTCACATGAGGCTCTATGACTCTGGTCCCTGAGGCCCCTGCCCCACAACGAATGATGGCAGAGAAGGTACACGTGGAAACCAGATCAGAACCTGAGGTTTGTGTCTGGAACCCACCCCTACCCCTCACACCACCACTTCAATCAGCCAGCAAAGTGGTCCAGGTTCCCACATACGGGCCCCTCAAAGAGCATTACAGATTGCTGGAAAGGACCATATTAGGACTTTGCCTCCCAAAATGACAGATGCATGGCCAGACACAGTGAGAGGGGCAAAAGCACCCTGGATGCCCGGCAGCCACGACAGGGTGACAGACAGCGAGGTGGGCCAGGGCTCTTGAGGTCAGATCACAAGAACAAAGGCCCGGCAAGCAGAGGGACCCAGAATACCACAGTCCTCTAGGAGAGCCCCCACATCATCCAAGATCCTCCCTCCACCAGCCACGTGCCTTCGGGCTTAGATCTAACCTTGCTCAATGGGGCCTGTGGTCCTAGACCAGGGTCCACATGGTTCCTGGAGGTATCTCTCCACACCTGACGCCTACCTTACCTTACGGATCCCTTTGGTTCACCATTCACGCCATTGGAGTGGGCTCCTCCCCACTTCACACCTCTCTCAAGAACCACAAAAGGAAGGCCACTCTACATAATCCCTTTCCAGGCAAGGTCAACCCGGCCCAAATGCATGCGTCTGCTCAGTATAACTTGGGAGATGCAACAGAATAAGGTCCTCCCCTTGCAAAGTCCACCTCCACTTGCTTTTCCTCTAAGAAAGTCCTCAGTAAAGGCGTGTCTGTGTTTCCCTTCACCCTGAGGTGTAAATGCCCTTCCTGAACGCAAATTTGGGTTAGGATTGGAAGAGTCGTCCTGAAACCTTGAGAACACTCCAGGGAGGCCAAAGTCAAAGTCTCTGGGGGTGAATTCGAACCTCTGTCCTCAGCAGACTGCTGGTGAATTAAACCCCAGCTGTTTGCTTGCCCCGCATAACCTGAACTGAACATCCAAGGACTAACAGTGAGTTGAGGCAAAAACGCAGAGGTAGGGATTGGTAACCAATCACCAAAAAGCCGCTGCACCAATATTATTATAGCAGTAAGTGTTCGGGAAACCGCTCGGGCGTCCCTGGGCTCCCTACCCCGGCGGAAAAGGGACCAGTTTCCAGCACTTCCCTCTCCAGGTTCACGTGGGGTCACCAGTCCCAAACGCAAGGAGCTAGGATGCCGGCTCCGTCACTCCCAGCCCCGCTCCCTCCTTCCACTCGTCGGGACGCCCCGGACCGGGGGAGACTCACCGCGCAGCCCGGGGGCGGCCATGGTGCGGACACACAGGACGCGAAACCCGGACTGGCCCGCGGCGGCGCCGGCTTCTGCACGGGTTTATTCCGCCGCGGGGCTAATTCCATCGCGCTCGGCGGCGCCCGGACGTGCCCGCCCCCCGCCCGCCCCTCCCCCTGCCCTCCCCCGCCCCCGCGCCGCCCGCCGCGCCGCCCGGGTTCAAGCCGAGGCTCTCGGCTGCGCCCGGGGCGCACGGACGCCGCGAGCGCCACGTGGGGAAGGAGCGCGCCCGAGGTAGGGGCGAGCCCGGGCCGCGCCGGGGTCCGTGAGGCGGAGGGGCGAGCGGGGCAGCGAGCCGCCTGCTCTCCTCCACCCGGGGGAGGCGCCTCCTAACCTGGTTCGGGCGTGAATGTTCAACCGGATTATCTCGTGCAGCTTCTGGCTGATTAGTCTCCAATCCCGCCCCGCCGCCCCGTCCGGGGCACTGCCCGGGTCGGGGTGGGAGGCTCCCGGGCCCAGCTGCCTTCACTCTCACTCGCCCTGGCGACCACACATCCCCACCTTTCCCCGGACTCCACTTGGCGGGAGTGGGGAAGAGCGCGCCAGAGACAGAGGACAGGAAGAGGGGCTGCGAGAGGCAGAGGGAGGGGTCGGTCTTAATGGGAGTCTTCCCCCTCCCCCCCCCAACCGCTCGGGACTGGGTGGTGAAGGGAGGTTGAAAGCCGAGAACGAGAGGAGCGCCATCCCTGCCGCCAGGTTCTGGTGCCCAGGGAGGCACTGAGAAGTGGAAGGCCTTCTGAAGGGCCGTCGTGGATCACGGAATCTACAACCCCAGATGCCCTGAAGCTACACACGTTCTTTACTGCCAGAAACCCGACAAAGGAGAGGGTGTTATGTTAAGGTCAAGTATGCTGTTTATTCTGCAGTGTGAAGAGTGGGATCTCCTGCACTGATAAGGTGGGCGGTGGAGATGCTCCTCACCTGCTAGCGGACAGGAGTCCGGGGCAGTGCAGAAGGAGAACCAGAATGTCCCAATCCAGAGTCCTATTCTGGCCACTAGGAATAGTCAGGGCTAATGTTACACAGGCCTTCCTTTTCCTCGGGCACCCTTCTCAGAGCTTTACCCCAGGAGATTAGTTAACTATGACACAACCTTATGAGGCAGGTACTGCTAGTGTGCCCGGCTCAGGGATGAGACTACAGCGTGGAAGGTCAAACAACTGGGCTCTGAGAGCCTGCCTGCATCCCCAAGCAGCCCGCCTGCTCAGAATCCGTGCCCCAACACTTTGCCAGTCAGCTTCCTTCTCTCCCAAACAATGCCTTTCTCCCCCATTCACTCCAGGGACCCTCCCCAAGTCTTGTCTTCTCCATGCCAAGAGCACTGGAAACCTTTCTGCAGATCCATTGCCTTTCTTTTCTCCCTCCAGCACTTTCTTAGCCCCTTAGCCCCTGAATACTCCCCCTAAAACTCTCCCCTGGGGGGACACTTATCTCCTCTGAGAGTAAGAGAGTCCCTGACCCCAGAGGCAGGCTCTGACCCAGACTACCTGCTGAGGAAGGGAAAGTCCTGAGATACACCCCACTACCGGTTTCTTTTTTTGCAACCTTCTTACCCTGCGCCTGACTTTTTTTTTTTTTTAATCAAAACATACTTTTTCTGATTTGGCTTTTTTTCTTGGTAGTGAATTGTCATACCGGTCGATATGAGAAATTTAGGCTATAGAGGCGCAGACAGTTGGAAAATTGACACCTGATGCTGGAGAGGTAACCTCGCTGCTGAGTTTCTCTGTGGCCGATGCCTCCAATAACACCTCATCCCCAGGTAGAGGGTTAGGGGATCAGTAAGAAGACAGGTAATTCCCTGCCCTAGGATCTGGTTTCCTACAGATACCTCAGAGGCTACTCAAAGTTGGAGGCGGGATGGACGGACAGAGGACAACCTTTGAATTATTGAGCAGTTATATAAACCATCTATCCATTCTTCCTTTCCTCTTAGGAAATTCCCCACCAAAACTGCTCAACACAACCCATGCCATTTGCCTGTAACGGATCTTCCCTCCGGTTGTTCCCCACAGTATCAGAAGCAGTTGAGTCCTAGACACGCAGGAGTCACGTTTCCCATGACAGCAAGAACGGAATCGGCAAGCAACAGGGACGGTGTGGCTGTGGTGGAGTGGCCTGGAAGTTCTTGCCTAGGTGTCAGGGCACCTGGGTTCTGAACCTGGGCTGCCCCCCAGCAGCTGTGTGACCTTTGGCAAGTCACGTGTTCTCTGAGCTGCTTTTATTCTCTGTAAAGGGGCAGGGGAGGGGCACTGGATCAGATGATGTCCAAATCCTTTCCAGCTTCACCATCCAGCACTTTAAGTGAGTGGAGCTTTCCTTTGTTAAAAGGATCTGGAATGAAAATTCTCCATCAAATTCCTATCACACACCCGGGACATTTCCTTTATTCTCATGGGTAGTCTCTCCACAGCTAGAGTCTCCACCATCTTGGCAGCAACTCATGTAAACCTATTTCATAAATCTTAAGGAGGGACAGCCTCTCTGAGAGTGGCATTACCAGACAGTGATTTGGGGACTGGGTGACGTTTGGTGTTATCTACATCCTTCTGCTAAAAGATGTCTGGAGTAGGCAGACCCTTGGCTTTCAGCATCCAGCCCAAAAGAAACTCAGCTCTTTCACCCCTCAGGATAAAGTAAATCCCTAATGCTCTGCCACTGATGACAGAATCACGTATTCCCTGCTCCGAGCCTTGATTGCCTCCTATTTTTATTCTTGTTACTTCTTACATTGTTATATTGTTGTAGGGCAATTTACAGTTCTCCCCAGACTTTCAGCAGTATTTTACCATCTCAGCCCCAGGAGTGAGACTAACATTCCTAATTTCCAGACAAGGAAGCGAAGTCTGAGAACCACTAATGGTTTGCTTGGGGCCGCGCAGTAGAACAAGCACCATGGGTAGAACCCGGGCCTGCCTCCAAGCCCAGGGTTCATCCACCGTGGCCGAGCCTGTGCTGGATGGGACCCTGTTCCGCACCTGCCAGCACACTCTTTGCAGCCTCTTCAGTCCTCAGCAGCTCTCCCTCCCACAGGGACCCTGAGGGTACACAGGACCTTAGGAAACCAAGGGCTCAGAGAAGCCCCTGCACACCTGCTCCAGCTCCTTCTCGACAGGGTCAGCCACACTGGCAATAACCATGTCTCTCTTGGCAAGAACCTGGCTCCAGGGCCCTCCCCTCTGCTCTGCTCAGAAGCCCCTGGATCCAGAGCTTGGAGCCCCCAGTGTTGCTGAGCAAATCCCCTTTACTTCAGTGCAAATCCCCTTTACTTCAGTGCACTGGGTGGAGGTTCTGAGGAGGCCTGCCCCACACAACGCCTCCCACCCCATAGAGCCAAAGACACCACTTTGTCCCGGAGGTTGGCGTGCCTGGGGCTGGACCAGGTTCAGAGCTCGAGCCCAGCCTACCACTGTCATCTCAGCCTAGAAGACGCAGTGAACCAGCAGCCTTGTGCAAGGTGAGAGATTGACCTTTATTGTGGGCTCAGGAGGGCACGAGAGCAGAGCACAGAGAGGACAGAGCAGCGCTCGGGCCCAGCGGTCAGGTCCAGTGAGGCAGGCGACAGGAGGCACCCGGGGCGGCGGCCTCACTTGCTGCACTTCCTGGGGGAGCACTTGCACCGCATGGCGTTGAGGACTTCATGGTAGATGAGGGAGCCGTTGGTGCAGCGCAGGGGCACCCGCATGGGCTCCGTCCAAGTGGGCGAACAGCAGGAGCACTGGTCCCTCACGTCCTCCGTGTCAATGGAGTACAAGGCTTTGCTGGCACATTTACCCTGTGACGGGGCAGAGAGAGGCAGGGCTTTGTGGTGCTGGAGAGTCCTGCTGGGTGCTTTGCAAAGGTCGGTTCCCGGAGAGTCTGACGTGCCCGCTTTCCTGATGGCACTATGACATCCAGACCCCGCTAGCCGCAATTTCTATGCACGTTCCATCAGGAAACATAGTTCCCACCTTCCCTGAAAAAACTCTCCTTTCTCTTTAAAGGACTTGAATCTTTCTACAGTTGTTTTTTTTCTGGGGTCAAAAGTTTCCAGGTACTTGAATAAAACATTTGCTTAAAAATATATGCTTCCAGTTTCCTTCATGTCTTCTCCCCATGAGCATTCCAGGTGCTTCCACTATGTTACTAGAGATGTGTCCAGATGAGGAGACTCGCCCCTCCCCACTTAGGCCTCACTGAAGTCAGGGCCCCTTACCTCACAGTAGTGAATGTCCACTTCCTCTTCAGACTTACAGTCTCCCACTTTGACGTACTGCAGCCTGGCAGTGATATCCTTGCAATCTGTCTCTTCACCTATGGGACAGGTGAGAGATGGGACCTGGGGCCTGGCTGGAATTCTGTAGAACACTCTCCGGCCCAGTTCCCTCACTTTATGGGAAACAGGTCAGTTTCACAGTGACCAGATCACCATAGCCAGCTGAGGGGAAGGGAGTTAAACTGTCCTGGTTCACCTCACAATCTCCCAGCCCCCCAATCTAGACATAGAGTTATGGCTGGGTTTAACTCACTTAATGGTACAATTTTAACTGCAGGAGGAGCCTAGATTCAGTGAGCTTTGGTGATGTAGATGGATGAGCCTTGCTTTTATGTAATTGTAGACTCTAAAAACTATAATGACTGGAGCAGTCTTCTTATGCTTATAACTATATCCGGAAGCTAATGGGCAATGAAGTAGTCAATAGATATAATTATTATCTATCTATCTCTGCCTTTGGAAAAGAGGAAAAGCAAATGTCATGGCCACACGAGGGGCTAAGAGGATGCCTAGGAGCCCTGGGAGTCTCCCTTTGGGAATAGCTGTCTCCAGCTCTCTGGCATGGCAGGGCTTAGTGGCGTTCAGATCTGAAGCTTTACTTGTCCCACCAGTACTTCTAAGACTTAATGCCAGCTCGCCATTCCCCATCTGCACACTGGGAGTTTTCCATTCTTGAATGCCTCCCAAACTAAATCAACCCTAACTACATATTAGCCTGCCTCCCAACTTCCAAGTAACTTCATTGTACAGCGAAAGCCTGCCAACCACATTAAAAGAATGAATAAGGAAAACATATTTAGGCTGACATACTATATTCTTTTGCTGTAGATTTAAATTCTGAGCCTGGCTCCCTTTCCTTATGAAGGGTCTCCACCTCCTGAAAGTACAACCAACAAAGGCCTCTTGTTACCTCCCTGCTAGCTTTGTAGATAACAGCCTCTTGATCAAATTCCATTGGGCAAAGTATGCCCAAAGAGAATTCATCTTCTCTGATGGTTTCCTGACTTCATATTCTTAAGCTTATGCAGACAGGAATCACAGAAAGGGTTGCGTTCAGAGTGTTTCCACAATCTGCAACCTGGTTACAGCAAAGGCAGGGACTGTCAGCGTGAACCATCAAGAAAAGAATGGCTGGGGTGCCTGGGCAGCTCAGTCAGTTAGACATCTGACTCTTGATTTCTGCTCAGGTCATGATATCACAGTCATGAGACTGAGCCCAGAGTTGGGGTCCACGCTGGGTATGGAGCCTGCTTAAGATTTCTCTCTCCCTCTCTCCCTCTGCTCCTCCCTGCTCATATTCTCTCTCAGTAAGAAATAAAAAACAATAAATGATTGAGCACTGAAGGTATTCACGCCTTTCAGTCTTTCTTTCTTTACCCAATTCTGAACACCCAAAATAAAACAAAAAGCAAAACAAAACACTAAACTAAAACCAAAAAGCATTAGCACAGGCAAGTAATTCTATATTCAGTGAACACAGCACTAACACTAGGATTCTGCAAGTTACTTGTGCTCATGAACATACGAATGTGTGGGGAGATTGCTCTCTGACATGCAGCTTTGCAGGGGTCCATCCCCAAAGCTGCTGCTGTGAGCTACTAGGAGCAAGCAGGGCAATGTAACTGCAAGGTCAAAAGGCACTGAGAGTGAAGAAGGGGAGATTAATAAATGGAGACCAGTCTGATGCATCCTTGAGAAGATTCTGTGTTCTCTGCAGCCCCCACAGAATACGGCGGGGAGCTGATGTTAGCCAGCTGGTGGCTTCTCTTTCTCTGGGGTGTGGCTGTCTGACACTCAAATAGATGTATACTGAGTGTCTGCTCTGTCAAGATCATGGATCAAGGGTGCCTGTCTTTCAGGAGCTCTGGTGGGAAAAGAAGATATGAGCCACGCACACCCCTTGGAGGGAAAAGGCAGATAAGAGAATAGAAATAGTTAGGAGTTTAGAGGAAAAAAGAAAGAAACTGCTTCACAGGCATCTGAATGGCGATTTGAGAAGGAGGCAGTCTAAGAACATTCAGATAGTTTCCTGCAGAACTGAACCTAGTGACTGGCCAATGATTAAGAACTATCTTTCTAGAATGAAGCTTCCTCCAAAGAATAGTCCCTGGACTTGGTCTGACGGATTTCAAGGGACAAGCTAGTGGTCATGTACTTACACGTGGTACAGCAGGTGCCTGGAATTTTCAAGATTTTCCCCTAAGAAAACAGCACATTCCCAGATTAGGCACAAATAGTACACAATGGACAGCTGTCAGGTCACTCCAGGCCAATCCCTGGCTTTGGACTCAGCCCCAAGCTTCAGTCTGTAGGCATAAACTATACATTGCCATCACATATGTGAGCAGGCTGACCCCCCAACCTGACCAGGCTGGAACAACTCCGATTGTTCTGGATTCTCTCCCAGTTGGGTCATCAGGACCATCGTTCTCAGCGGAGACTAGAAATCATTTGATCTCTCACCTTCCCCCTTCGAGGAGCACAGATTTAAGCTCCCCCAAGGGAAAGATATCTATTGAAAGCATTGTGTAATGCAGAGAGTTTTCTGTCTCCAACAGGCTTTGCTTTTGAAATCTCAGTGATTTTTTAAACTGGGTGAGGGGTCTCCCTTGGACACTGGGACATCATGTCAGAGGGGACTGCATGCTGTTCAGAGGACTCCATTCTTAGAGTCAAAGATGGGACAGTCAAGAGGAAAGCAGGGCCTGAGCTCCAGATACTCACTCCCTCGGCCAGACACTTGTGTTCATCAAAGGGCGGGCAGCCTGTGACCCTCTTCTCCCAGATGTATTCTCCCCTCTCATTGACCTTGCAGAAGTGACTATCACAGCCATCCTGGAGGGTCTCATCGCGCTGAAAAGACAGAGGGGAAATAGGTAGGGCAAATCCAAATGCCGTGTTTGGGTTCCAAAGACACTTCAAACCATGACCTTGACTCCTTGGAGTTGTTGAGACAGGCTGGAGGACTACAGAACAAGAATGAGACAGTATCTATAGTCTCCACACCCAGAGCACATAAGACCAGAGGAGTCCCAGTTTTGCAACTTATTTATTGTGAATAGGGCTGCATCAACACAGAGAATCCCCAAACTCTTCCGACCACCTAGAAGCTTAAAAACATTAAGACATAGTAATAGAACCAGAGATGAACCAGGGCGCCACCCCCCAGCCCTAGGAACTAATTCCTCCTCTCATCAATCAGGGTTTGTTTCATGCTCATTGCCCGTCCAGGCTTATAGACAATCAAGGCTGAAAGGAATCTTAAAAGATCAACCAACTCCAAATGATGGGCCTCACACCAAGTACACTCGTGTCAAGAAGAATGAAAAAGAATGAGAGAAAAATTCTGTACCTTCTACAGACTATCCATATTTTCTCTATAAAATCAGAAATAGGTGGGAAGCCAGTATTGATGCAAACGTAGTCCCTCTTTCTTAGAGAGCAGATCCCCAAATAGGAAACCCCAAAGAGGTGACTTGAGGGGAACTCCTGAGTTCAAGGTGCTCCTACCTTCAATGTCATGGTCTGGCCCCCTCTTAGCTGAATGGTGCAAGCCACAGGCAAGCATCTGCCACAGCATTCGCCTTGGCTCTTCTCTTCCTTGTAACCCTGTACCCAGGAAAAAAGCCAGCCTTAGTGAAGCCCCCAGAGCACCCCAATGATAAGGACGCTTACTTTTCCAACTTCTCATCTCTCCCATCCAGCAGTTTTACCAGGAGTTCAGGAAGTCAACAGCCACCTCTTAGCTAACCTTTGTCAGTTCTCCGTTCTCTAGATGGCATCCCTTCCTTCCACATACACAGCTCTTGCTCAAGTGCTAGCGACCACACTTATTAAATTAGACCTCTCTCCTAAGCTCCAGACTTACAAATTCAATTGTTTGCCTGACAATTGTTTATCTTGCTGTCTTCTCAAGACTCATATACAAAATGCAACTTGATTTTTGTCTTCTCAAGACTCATATACAAAATGCAACTTGATTTTTGTCCCAATTTCATCCTTCTCCTGTTCCACCTTACCTTGATAAATGGCTCCATTGCCCAGTTGCTCAAACCAGAAATCAAGGAGTCATCCTTGACTTCTTTCTTTTTCTCAACCCCCCACTCATCAATGAATCTTGCCCAAAATGCCTCTCTAATTCACCCTCTGCTTGTCATGACCAGTGCCCCCTGTCATCACCTAGCCTAAGCAACCATCATCTACCACTAGACTCTGGTAACAGGCTTAATTGGTCTTCCTACCCCCATTCTTGCCCCTGTTGGTCTCTATACATCTGCTAGAATGGCTTTCCCTCTCCTGCTTAAAAACCATCCATGGAGTTGTGGCTCAGTAATGTCAGAGCAGCTTATATCAGACAGGCCCTCTGCAGACTATACATTCTTGACAAAATATTTTGAAACAACTGTTTAAAGGCACTGGATGGCAAAAATAATAACATCTTGTGAATGTATCTCTGATGTAGAAGTAAACTATGTGACAACAATAGCACCAAGCGTAGAGAAGAGAGTACATCATACATGGAATGTATATTATCAAATCAAGGTAGACTATGGTAAGTCAAGGGTGCGTATTGTAATCTCTAGAGTAAGTGCTATTATCTCTAGCAAAATATTTTCTATCTTCACTTGTGATTTCTTCTTTGGTTCATGGATTACTTTGAAGTATTTTATTTAATTTCCTAATACGGGGGGTGGGGTGGGGGCATGTTTCTAAATACCTTTTTGTTACTAATTCCAATCTAACTTAATTGTGGTCTTAGAATATACTCTAAATGATCTCAAAATCTTGACAGTTATTGATTTTTTATGGCCCAGAATTTGATCCAGATAACTGAAAATTCCAAGTGCACTTGAGAAGGATATGTGCTCTGCAGTTTGGAAATAGAGTGGTCTATTATTTTCAATTAGGCCAAGTGGGTGGATACAGTTTTCCAAATCTTCTATATCATTACCTGATTTTTTTCCTACCTATCCTATCAATTGCTGAAAAACCATTAAAATTATGAAATAAGTTTGTAGATAAGCCTATTTCTCCCTCTAGTTCTGTCCATGTTTGCTTCACATATTGGAAACTCTGCTACCAGATACACACACACCTAGGACTCTCATGTCTTCATGATGAATCTACCCTTTTATGATTATGAAAGAATCTTCTTTATTTTTGGTGACATTCCTCATCTAGCCTATTTTGTTTGGTATTATTATATCCATCTCAGCTTTCTTATTCTTAACATTGCCTGGCATATCTTTTTTCACCCTTTTCTTTCCAATCTCTCCATCTCTTTAAATCGGAAGCACATCTTGGAACACCTGGCTGGCCTAGTCGGTGGAGTATGTGACTCTTGATCTGGGGGTCATGAGTTCAAGCCCTATGTTGGGCATAGAGCTTACTTTAAAAAATTATAATGATAAAGAAATAAAATTGAAGGCACATCTCTATAAACTGTATACTGATTGGGTCTTACTTTTTTGTCCAAGCCTGAAAATCTCCATGTGTTTTGTTTGGCCCATTTATATTTAATGTAATTATTGATATGGTTGGGTTTATATCTACCATTATGCTATTCATTTTATTTGTTGTCTTCTCTGTTATTTGTTCTATGATTATTCTTTTCTGTATTATTTTGGTTTAATCAAGTTGTTTGTCTAGAATTTTCTCTCCCCTATTGGCCTTTTAGTTGCACTTTCTCAATTACTATTTTTAGTGGTTACATTATATTACCAAATCTCATCAAGCTATATACTTGATATCTATGCATTTTGTTGTAGATAAACTATCCTTATTGAAAAAAATAATGTTGCAAAGAATTTTTAAATAAGACCTTCTATAGCTTCTCATTGCATTTAGAATAAAATCTAATCTTCTTAGCATGTTCTACAAGGCCCTACATGGTTCATTCCTAGTTTTCTGAACTTATCTTCTACCACTATCCCCTTGCTTTTGACAATCTACCCCTGTGTATCTTCTAGGACCGTGAACATGCCAACCTCCTCACCTGGGAGTCTTTGTGTATGCTATTCCCTCTACCTGGAATACTCTTCCCCAAGTTTTGTATGACTAGCTCTTTCTCATCCTCTAGCAATCATTTCAAATATCATTCCTCAGAGAGGATACAACATACAACATACACACACACTCTTCATAACACTTAACACAATCTGAAATTTTCATTTGTTTTCCCTGAGAAGCATGTGAATTCCAAACTCGGTCTATGCTGTGCATCACTGTATCCCAACACCTGGCTCTTAGTAGACCTCCTCCTACACTCACTGAGATGAGTTGAGCTAGGAACTCCTTGACAGTGGCTTTAAGTGACAGTCCTTCTTTATATCTGCATTGGAAAAAGAAGCAGCTTCCAGACAACAGGATTTCACTGTCTTTGCAAAACTGCCCCCATATTTGGGAGTGAACATAGGGCAACCAACTTTCTATCTTGCAAGTAAGAATATTCTCAATAATGTTAATAAAATAAAAATAAAAAAGCTACCATCAGCTGCTTCATCACTGCATCACAATTAAAGTTCTTTTAACGCTACCCACCACTCTAAAAAAAAAAAAAGGAAGAACATAATCTCACAACATTTTTAAAGAATAACTTGATTTATATGAGAAACCAACCACAATGTCATTCTTTTTCAGTCTTTTTCTCATTCTGCTGCATTTAGTAATAACCACTTAGAGATTCATTCATTTGGGTCCTGAGGTTTTCCTCATACGATTCTCTAGCCAGTCAGTTTGGAGCCCTCAGACAGAAAACATGGGCTTCTTTGCATTGCTCCCTTGTGCAATGCACATGGGCTGAATGCCCCGATCAGCAGGCAAGGTTAGGAGTCGGTAAGCCTGCTCAGAATGAATTTAAACAATTTGCTGCTCATAAACCAAGCTTATGAACTCAGTGTGTCATCAGGGAGCAAGCTGTGCAGAAAGCCAGTGAGTACAGAGCTCAGCACAACATCGGGGCTACTGGGCCAGGCCACACAGTCTTCCACACTAGGAAAGACACCGCTGGAGTTTGAGGCCATCAGGTTGTCTTTCACTGGTGGGCTTCAAACTGTGTTTTCAGAAATGTACAATTCCTGGAAGGTGCAGGACCAAGGTAAAGGAACAAGAAGAAAGGACAGAATAAACAGCACGAGTGAGTGTGGGTGGTTGTAGTCAGAAGGTGGGGATTAAACAGGGCTTATATTAGGCAGGATTTTGTGGGAGCACAGATTCGGGTGTTTTTCTTTTCAGTGAGTGTTAGAAGAAGAGACCAGGAAACACACTCTGCTCAGCAGGCCTGAGGAGAGGAAAATGGACAAAATCTTTACAGCAGAAATGAGTGGGCAGGGGACACAGGGAGGAGGGGACTGCTAAGTGAAGGGACAGGGCGGTGGAGACGAAACCCACACACCAGAGAGGCAGAGAGCACAATCGAACCAAGAATGGGAAAAAACAGAGGGTGTTATGGGAGGGCAAAGAACAGGAAGAAAAGGAGGAGAGAGTGGAAGGTAACAGGAGGGGGCAATGATTTTGGAGTTGGGAACAAGGGAGGGGGGGGCACAGGGAGCTTGACAGGAGCCACTTACACGAGTAAACAAGGAAACAGATGCGCTGCATGTCCCCTGCCCTGGAAGGCAGAATAGAGCTGCACAGTAAGAGGGCTTGTCCAGACAAGGCTTCCTGGCCCCACCAGGCAGGGCTGTGTGTTCCAGAGGCAGACACATGCCATGCACGCGCACATGCACACACACACGGGGCAGGGCAGTGCTGAATGGGCTTTCCCCAGAACACCCAATCAGAAGCAACCACTTCCTCTGCCTGCCAGCCAAGTTCCCACCAGCCAGAGTCTACTTGTGTAGGTCTGAGCTGCCAGGAGTCCTGCCTCTGTCCAGTCATGCCCCTAACAGTGCACTCCTGTGTCCCATAGCCTTTTCCATAAATTTCATTGGCTGCTCAAAGCCTTCTAGTCTTAATTCTTACTTCTATCTGCCAGTCTGGTCCCCATTCCCCTCCCTGGAAGGTCCTCTATTCTACATTCAACTTAGTGCCCACGGTCAGTTCATGGTCACATCCCTCCAGCTGCCTTCTCACAGTTCCATGTCAGGGTGACCTCTCTTCCTCATGCTTTCCTCAAGTTTTCACCTGTCTAGTTTCATATCTACTACCTGCCAGCACAAATCATCTTCTACAGGTCTCCTTAAGGTATGAGCACCACCTTCCCTGGGAGGAAATGGACTCAAATCTCCAGTGAAACTAACACCTGAGTCTGATGTAGGCAGTTCAAGCACACCTACCTAAACTTTATTAAGCACAGCTCCTCACCCTAAGGAGACCTCTCTGACCTTCATGGCAGAGGCGTGTGGCAAGATCAGTTAAGAATCTTGAGCTAGAATGGAGTCAACTGGGGCAGTTTTCAGCAAAGGTTGAGAGATACATAGAAGGAGGAAAAATCTAGGATTTCTCAAGAGGGAGGAAGTGGGTACACTGCCATGGAGGATAGGAGGAAGAGTACCAAAAGAGGCCATAGATTTTAAAATACTGAAACCTATGACCCAGCAGTGGCACTGCTAGGAATTTACTCAAGGGATACAGGAGTGCTGATGCATAGAGGCACATGTACCCCAATGTTCATAGCAGCAATAGCCAAAACATGGAAAGAGCCTAAGTGTCCATCAACTGACGAATGGATCAAGAAGATGTGGCTTATCTATATGATGGAATACTACATGGCAATGAGAAAGAATGAAATCTGGCCATGTGTAGCAACATGGATGGAACTTGAGGGTGTTATGCTGAGCGAAATAAGTCAGGCAGAGAAGGACAAATATCATATATTTGCACACATAGGTGCATTAGGAGGATCTTAACGGAGAACCATGGGGGAGAAGAAGGGAGGAAGTAGTGGGGGAGAGGGAGGGAGGCAAACCATGAAAGACTCTTGAATGCCGAGAACAAACGGAGGGCTGATGGGGGTGGGGGAGAGGGGAAGGGGGTGATGGTCATGGGGGAGGGCACTTGTGGGGATGAGCACTGGGTGTTATACGGAAACCAACTTGACAATAAACTATTTAAGAAAAATAATAATAAAAAAATAAAAATACTGAAACCTATGTATCTAGACTAGATTGATTCTACTGCTGGATTTCTACGGATGTAGAGGAGCTTACTGTGCCCCATTCTGACCACTAGAGGGCGCTAGTATGGAGTTAGCAGCTCACCCTCCAGGAAGCCCTGCTTCAAGACAGCGCTGGTGCAGACCTCTTGCTGCGCTGATTTATAGTTCAGTGGACGTCCAAGGTGAAAGAGATGCCACAAACTCCATGCAGCATTATTTAGTTCCCTATTAATCCTAGTTTGTATTCCAGGGGAGCTGTTACACGTATATACATGCACCACCCAAAATCCTAGCAAAGCAACTGGGATTTAACAACAGCAACAAAAAGCAAAACCACGTGCCTTGTTGGCTTCATCTTAATTGAGGCCGGAATGGTCTCTTTATTATCATTCAGAAATAGCTGTGTCTCCTATAGGCCCATTCACTCCACATAGATTTTATTAAGCCCCTACTTAGAGCATGACTGTGCCAAGGGCCATGAAGAACAGTTCTACAGATGGAGAACAGCCTATAAAGGACCTGCTCCCTTCCTCTGGCTGGTCACACTCCTCCTTGCCAGAAGGATTCCTCCCCGGCCCCACCCCAGAGCCCGCCTGCTCCCTTGCCCAGCTGAGGGGGGACGTCTTCCACTTGCGCTGCCTGAAAGAACTATTAACTATATTCTGTGCCTCTGGCTCTTAAGTTCATCTAACCGATTGTGTTCTCAAAGCAGGAGCCCTCAGCACAGATGGCAGCTTGAGGAAGAAGCATTAAGTCTAGATCTGTGACGTAGGGCCGGGTCACAGTGAAGACAGGGAAATGCTCGTTTTCATCTGGCTCACTAGAAATGATGATTCCACTTCTCAGAATCCACCCTCAGCGGGGATTTAGAGCGAACACAGTCACTGTGACCTGGCAGAAACAGGTGAAATATGTGCAGCCACCTCAACACCCAATAATGAAAGCAATGGATAAGGTACATCCGTTCCAAGGAAAACTGTATAGAATTTCTCATTTAGTGTTTGATAACTACTTGTTAAATAATTTTTCATGTTTTCAAAGAATGCAATGATGCTTCTTAAAATGTTGTGTAAAAAAATAATAAAGAACTGTAAAGATGGCATCATAAGCCTTGCAAATTTGTTTGTTTACATTTATAAAACTACTCTCTTTGCAAGCTGAGGTTTTACAAAACTAGACTCTTCATTACAGTTGTCAAATATTGTCCATGATAAGAAAATAACAAGACCTTTATATACAGACACCAGTGAGGTCCCATTGCTTGGGTCCCACAAATATGCAGGCCATCCCCTGGGTCCCTGACCACCTTCTTACCAGGGGACAGGCCTCACAGGTGGTCTTCCTGCACTCCAGCTTGAATCCAGAGACGGGCCCCACCTGGATGGTGCAGTGGCAGGTGGTGCACACATCAATCATCAGGCTTTTCCCGGGCTGAAACCAGAGACCCCAGGATCAGGCCCCTAGCATACTAACCCCCCGACCCTCCCACTCACCTCAGTTGTCTGCCTTAGGAGAGGGGGCCCAGCTGCCCACAGCCAAGAGGAGCTGTCACCCTGATGCTCCTCCTGTGTCCAGGGCCCCACTCCCTTCCTGCCCTCCCACCCCCAAGTATGGTGATGGTAAGTCAGAGCTTTTATGCCAGAAAGGGAGCCTGAGCAGTGAGAGAGGGAGAAGGATTGAAACGTGTGTGATGCCATCAGAGTGCTTCTCTGCACACAGAAGAGGTGCTCAGGCGCCCGAATGGGGGCTGGAAGGTGAGGCCCTACAGAGTTATCAAGATGGCAGGAGCCTGGGCACCAGGATGCCCCAAAAGCCCGGGAGGCAATGGAAAGTGGGGGATAGGGCTCCCTGCTTCCTTTTATTTCCACTTCAAATGACTGAGCTGCCCATCCTTCCTACAGCACCCCCATCCCTCCCCCACAACTCGCCCTGGAGAAGAAGGCTCACCCCAATGATGGTGCCATTGAGCATGCAGGCCTCCAGGGGTTCTGGGGGAGAGAGAAAAGTGCAGGGTTGATCCCCTCAGAGTCTTCTCCTCCCCATCTGGGCCCCTCTCCTACATCTGCAGGCTGTCTCCCCACCCCACCCCACCCCAGGCATCCCAGGGTCCCACAGTGGCCTCACTCCTCCCAGGCCTGCAGAAGAAGGGCAGGCTGCCTATGTCTTACCACCCGGCCCACAGTAAAAAGATCCTCCTCCCCCCCCCCCCAACCCTTTTTAAATGGTTCACACTTAAAAAGCGAGTGGGAGGGCACTTGGGCTTCTGAAAGAATGAAATTCTACTCTGGAAACTTTAAGTCCCAAGACCAAATCACACAAAGAATTCAGAGCAGGTGGTGGAGAGAGTTGCTATTTTGTTTGTGGGTGGAGTTGCGGGTGGGAAGTCAGAATACCTTTCCCCAGCAGAGACGGTACAGGGAATGCTTGAGAAGCCTGGGGTTAGGGAGCTCCACCACTCACTAATGCACATGGGTACACAGATGGATGTGGAGGGTCTAAAGCTACCACTGAGCACAGTGATTGACCTTCAGGAAACTGTAATGTTTCTCTCATCTTATTTGCTTTCCCACAAAAGCATTAGGAACAGATAGGAGGAGTTTGATCTTGACCATTTCCCTGAGTTGCTGAAAAGGCAAAGAATTCAGGAGCCCTTAGTGTAAAGAGAAGCTTGAAGGGACCCCTGGACGCACGCCTTACCGCAGTGACAGGTGGGGCAACACTCTGAGGTCTTACAACTCAGCTGGAAGCCCACAGGGCAGGCAGGGATGTTCAGTTGGGGGCAGGAGACGTTCCTCTGTTGCACAAAGACCTCTTCCTTCACTCGGACACATTCATTGATGAGGCAGGGGTTGTCAGGAGAGACCCAATGAGAGCCAACCTGTGGTTAGAGCATTAGAGTCGAGCGAGGTTGGATTGAGGGCCCTGTGGGGTGTGCTGTTCTCTCAGGGAGCAGATCTGGGCTCTGGAGGTGAGCCCCAGCTTAATATATAAATCCCACCCACAGGGTAAGGCCCACAGAGGGAATTAATGGGGCTCATCCCAAGTCTCTCGATAAGTCTAGGTCAAAGTCACCCTAAGATCCTAGCTCAGAGCCATGTGTTCTACAGACACAGTCTTCAGCACCTGAGTGAGCCCCTTAGGGAAGCCTAGGGACACTCCCCTCCACCCCAGGCCTTGGCTGTGATCTGAGCTCAGAGGCTCTAGGGCACTCTGACCAAGAAGCAGCAGCATGGGTTGACACAGAGATGTGGAAGGGAAACTCCATTCATTCCCTAGCCAGGAGCTACTTCCCACTTACTCCTACAGGGAGAAAGCAAGAGACTAGGGATGCTGGCATCTGGCCCCTACAGCCCAGAAGTCTGTCCCTGGGGCTTTCAGGCCTGGGGATGAGTGACGCCACTCAAGGCAGAACAGAACTTACAGCCTGTGGAGTTTTGGAGCAGTGGTGGACCCACAATAAATGCAGGATGGTGAGGCCATCCTGTATCAACCACTCAGGGGAAGCAGACCTCAGATCCACAGGTAAACAGGAGGACACAGAACTCTTAGGGAAGGAAATGGGCCTCTCCCCAAATGCACCAAATGGGAAGTCTAAGGCAATCATAACTATTCCTAAGGGGCAAAGTAATCCCAGCTGACATCTGGATAATACCACAGCCAGATGCAACTCTCTACGGGGAAACCAAAAGACAGAGAATGCAGCCAAAGCCAGCACTGGACCACAGAATGGACAACCAAGCTGCTAAGGCCCTACCCTGCTTCTTCCCCAGCCTGGGCCCCAGACCTACATTCCTCCAGTGAGACTGGAAGTCCCCCCGCAGTGAACCAATCACCACTTCACAGGCAGATGGCAGACACCTTCCACAGCACTCGCCTTCATGGAGGACATAAGTGAAGCCCTGGAAACAAATAAAGAAGTAAGCGAGTAAGGACAGCCCAGCAGTAAAAACACGGGTGCTCTTATCTACTCCATATGTACACTGAGCCCTGTGGATTTACAGACTAGCTGGAGTGAACATTTTCATCTCTGTCATCCACCAGCCTCAGGATCATGCCAAGAAGTGGTCAGAAGGCACCAACTACTGAGTCACTTAGCTAGGTCTTATAGCAGCTGAAGAGACATAACCATGCCCTTGGAAAACTTGCAATTTCAAACCAAGATCCAGTCCACAGGAGTATTAAAGACAGCCCAGAATTCACTTAGCAGCAGCCAGCTGGCCTGACCTCTATCATGGCCAACTCTAGGGTCCCTCATTGACTGGGGAGAATGGTCAGGATGCCTGGGATCTGGTCTCCACTCTAACAGAGAGAACTGCCTGTACAAGAAGAGCACCTTGATCCCAAGAGCTCTCACCAGTAGGCAGAGCTGAGTTTCCCCTGGTCATTGCTTGATATTACCTAGTGGCTTAAGAGGCCCAGTAAGATAAGAAAGTGCACAGATTGACCTTCCCCAGAAAGCCTGCCAGGGAGACGTGGAGGTTCTCCAATCTGGCAAAGCATTGGGAACTTGGACTGAAATCCTCCATTGAAACTCTAAGGCCATATACTAAGAACAAGGGAAAGAGAACCCAGGACCACGCTTCATCTTGGAGCTCTGTCCTTGAGAGACAAGGGACAAGTGCAGCTGTCCAGGGTGGGTGCGGACGCCCAGCCCGCTCTGCTCCACAGGCACACGCACGCTGAGCAGGGCTGGGGTGGGTGCGGACGCCCAGCCCGCTCTGCTCCACAGGCACACGCATGCTGAGCAGGGCCAAGTCAGAAGATGCACACAACGCCGGTGCCTCTCTCTGGGGCAACGCAGGCACTCCAGAGACCTGGCTCAACTTCATACCATCTGCATGGGACCTGCTTACATCCCCACCTGCGTCACAGCAGTGTCCACAGAGCTGTCTCCAGTCTTATCAGCTGGGATTCTAGGCATTTATGGGGCATCTGTGACGTACTAGGCACTCTAGAGGAGCCAACAAATTACGACGATACGATCTAGACACCGTCCACTACAAGCAGAATGTACAAAGTGCCGTGAAAGAAACAAAGCCTCACGGGAGCACAGCACACAGTCATTAATCTCTTTAGGGACCTCAAGTCACTCTTGTGTGCCTCCCTCAGAGTGCTGAGTCATCTGGGTTTGCATAATCTTCCTGTTTGCTGCTGCCCTCCTCACCTGCAAACAGGGTTATCAGTATGTTGGCTGACTCCCAGACCAGAGGCCTTCTTCTCAAAACCCCACCCACTTCTTGCACCCTGCCACCAAATTCCTGGTTGCCGTCTAAGATTCCCTCCACACCTCCAATGTCCCCATTTCCTGATGTGCAACTGAGGTTCAGCCTATACATCATCTCTACTTCTTTGCCCATACTCCTCTGAATCCTATAGCTTATAGCTGCTCAAAATGTACATCTCACACCCTTCTTACTTTTCTCTAGCCTGTTTGCACTGGTTCCCCAACTAAGAATGAAACTTATTTGGGGCGCTTGGGTGGCTCAGTCGGTTAAGCATCTGACTTCAGCTCCGGTCATGATCTCACAGTTCATGAGCCCTATTTAGCGGGCTCTGCACTGACAGCCTGGAGCCTGCTTTGAATTCTGTGTCTCCCTGCCCCTCTCCCACTCATGCTCTGTCTCTCTGCCCTTCCCCCAGTCATGCTCTGTCTCTCTCACTCAAAAATGAACATTTTTTTAAAAGTATAAAAAAAGAATGGAACTAATTTTTTGAGAAACTTCCATAATGTTTTCCAAAGCGGCTGCACCAGTTAGCTTTCCCACCAGCAGTGCAAAAGTTCCCCTTTCCCTGCATCCTCGCCAACATCTGTTGTTTCCTGCGTTGTTAATTTCAGCCATTCGGATAGGTATGAAGTGGTATCTCATTGTGGTTTTGATTTGTATTTCCCTGATGATGAGTGATGTTGAGCATCTTTTCATCTGTCAGTTAGCCATCTGGATGTCTTCTTTGGAAAAATGTCTCTTCCTGTCTTCTGCCCATTTCTTCACTGATTATTTTTTGGGTAATGGGCACCAAGGAGAATGTGCTTTTTGGGATGAGCAATGGATGTCATATGTAAGAGGTGAATCACTGTGTTCTACTCCTGATGCCAAAACTACATTGTATGTTAACTAGAATTTGAATTAAAAAGAAAAAAGAATGGAACTAAGTACATCTAATATCCACCCAATATGAAGACAAATATGTCCCTGAAAATAAATTCCTAATGTATTTAGCAGCCCAATCCTTTCTAAGTTTTCATTTATTTATTTTGAGACAGAAGGAGAGAGAGAGAGAGAGAGAGAGAGAGAGAGAGAGAGGGAATGAACCTGACATTGGTCTCAAACTCACAAACCCTGAGATTATGACCTGAGCCAAAATCAAGAGCTGGACAGTTGACTGACTGAGCCACCCAGGCTTCCCTAGCAGACCAATCCTTGAGGCACAATTGCTGTAGCTGAAATGGAATGGGAGGCATGGAGCTCTGGTCCCTTGTCTCTTTGCCGGGTCAGACTGGCCCTTGCAATGCTGGTGTTGCCAGTATACCAGCCTAACAGCAACCTGGGCCAGGAGTCAACACTCCCATGTCTACTGGCTCCAAAGAGCTGTAGAATTATGGGCAACTTCATTCCTTGTGCCAGGCTCCTGCTTCCTGTCCGGCAAGGGGGAAGACAGCCCCACCTCTCTTTCCTTCTGGAGGAAAATCATGAGGATAAATAAAATATAATGCACTGTATTGAGTCCCTCCGAACGCAGTTCCCAAAGCCACAATTAGGCTGATTCTGGAGGTTCTCCCAGTGTCACTGTCCTATAATGTGTCTACACATTGGTGATTTTTCAGACCATGTTTATAATTCGCAGTACAGAAAACATGATCACTGCTGTCCCAATTCAATTTTTAATTCTTCTTGCGGTGGCCTGCCCCTAAGGCTCCGGTGTGTGCTCTGGGGCACCTCTATTCTTGCCCAATTAAGACTGGTCAGACCCTAGAAAAAAGGTAGGATGGTTGTGCAAAGAGAATTGTGGGTAAAATTCTAGTTTAGTGCCATTATCATTATCATCATCATCATTATTATTCCTTCAGTATTATCAGGAGATGATGATGATATAAGAGCAGTAACCAGGGCAGACAAGTACACACATCTTGTGCTTATCTTCAGGACAACAGTGAAGCTAATGCTCTTGGTTTTGAAGCAGGTGGTATAATGAGAGAAGGGAGGGCCCAAATGTGAATCCTGAAGTGGGAGAGTTTACTCAGTCCGTCTGCCTCTACCTGCCTCACTGGTCCTGAGGAGGAGCAGAGTTGCGAGGCACCCTTGGGATAGGATGATGCGGTGGTATCCAGGTGTGTCCACTGGGAATGCTAAGTTTTGGAAACCCATTGGTCTCCATCTCCTCCCACAGGCCATGGAAGGGGATGGAAACAACTTGCTACTAGGTAAGTGAGTGCTGCTTAGAGGTCATTTTAGTAAAACCAGCACCCAATATATTTTGTGTATCAGCAGGGGGTTTTGATTGCAAAGAACAGAAGCCACTCAAGCTAGCTAAAATAAAAAGTGGGTTTATGGAAAAGACAGGGAATCTCTCGGAGTCCCACTCCATTTGCCCCAAGAGCCCCCATCTCTGCTTCTCTTTGCCCATCTGTTCCAGATCCTCATTGCAGGCAGGCTGCCTCTGGGAGGAAGTTCTGCTTTCTCATAAATTTTGATTGCACGTGTCTTTATTGAGTCTGGCTGCAGCTCACCTTGCCTATGCAGGTCCGGGGTCCATCCCTGTCCAATCTGACTTATTGAGTCTTTGTTTTCCATAGATTAACTTCTCAAAAAGAAAATTAATGGGCTCAGCTCAGCCTATGAATTGGGTCCTCTGTCCAGTTACTAAAGGGGCTTTCTTGCTTCTTCCTGGGATCCCCCCTCCCTCACCTCCCCCCTCCCATTGCTGCTGGCAACGTCCAGCCCCTCTGCACCCCTTACCGACCGGCAGTTGTCCTCACAGGGCTTCTGGGAGCACTGGGCCACGCGCAGCCCCATCACAGCATCCTCCATGTCGGTGCAGGTGCACACATCACAGCCCTCCTCCCAGAACTGGCCTACAGGGTAGATGGTGCCTCGGTGGACACACACCTGCAGACACAAAGCTTCTGTGAGCGAGCTCATTCTGTTTATTTAAACAAGAGTTTAGTGAGCACCGGCTATGCATTGGAAGGTGCTGTAGGTGCTGAAAACAGCAATATGTAAAACCAACATGGTCTCTGCCCACCCAGAGGGATGTTTATCAAGTAGGTTCTGCCCTCTTCTCTTCCCTGCCCACCAGCCTTAGAAAGCCATGGCTGGTATACCCTGGGAGGGACCCCTGGTGGGTCCGTCTCGGACCACAGTCTCAGAAATAACTCACTGGCTGCCTTAATCCAGTTTCATCACTGCATTAACTGCGTTTAACTCCCTCCCATGTCATGCAGAAAAGTATTCCCTATTCCTCAGACCCAGTAAAGTTCTTGGACTTAGCAACCATCTTCACATAGCCCTCTGTCCCCATTAGGAGTGGGCTGGAGGCCAGTGGGGGCTATGAATGGGTGTGCCCCTGAGGCCTGACCATAACGAGGAACATAACAAAGGAAAGACTCTGAGGCACAGAGAATGGGGATACGTTTGAGAGATGAGGGATCCTGCTCTCAAGAACTACAGAAAGGATGTGGCAAATGAAATTACAAAAGTAGATTGGGATCAGAATACGTAAAGCCTGGGATACACATAGTACACAGTCCTCAGACTTTACTCGGTAGGAATGAGGAGCTAAAGAAGCTGTTTGATCAGGACACTTAAAGACAGTTTTGACATTAATCCCAAGCCTTCCCTCTGAAGTCATGAACAGGTCTCCACCCTCATTTCACACCATAGCAGTACAAGTATTTATAAGCCATTATCCTTTTTACCTGACCCATCTTTCAGCTTCTGTATAATTAACTTACTGAATGGAACCCCTTGTTCTTCTATTAAGAAGCCTCCTAGAAAATGTTACCACCCAGAAACTCACTTCCAGGAATCTATCACAAAGATGCAATGCCCAAAATACAAATGATAGGTGCTCAAGGCTATTTGTTACAGATTTGTTACAGCATTATTAGTAACTATGTTACTATGCCATGGTATGTTTCATATAACAAAATAGCAAATCAAAAAGGAAGTAAAAGCAATCTCTAAAAATGGAAAACACACTGAAATATCTGATTAACTAGATATTTCCACTAGCACTGGGAAAATCACGCAAGGAACATAATTATTTCAAACAACTTTAAAGCCCAGCCCAGCCCTGATGGGCTATATTCCTATGATAAAGAACTTGTTAGCGATTATATTGGCCTCATTATTTTTGAGACTATTATAGGTGTATTTTAATAGAAAGCAAATAAGTAATTATGTCAATTATCTTAGGAAACCAGTATTTGCATCTTAGAAAGTGGCACAAGTATAAATCAAAGAAATTAAGTAAAACCTTATAATAGAATTGGAATCCGAAGTATCACTATGAACGTGTGAGTTTCATCCTCTTTAAAAATACATTTCTAAGCTCTATTCACCAAAAGAGTCTGGAGGCAATGAGAGCCCGCAGGCAGTAAGCATCCAGGGAAAGATAACCGAGGCCTCTCTGTGGCATTCATTCTGGGACTCACCCTGAATAATTCAGCCAAAGCAACTGTGCCTTGGTCTCCCTGTGGCAATTCTGGCTCATGATAGCTCATCTTGGTGGATCTCTCCTCCATAAAACTTCCATTTGCATTTAATATCTGCATCATCCCTTGACATTTTATTGTATTCTGTTTATAGACTATTGTCTTCTGTAGACCAGCAAGATCATAAGAGGTCGTAAGAGAATCTTACATTTTTCCCATATCACCTAAAAAAGCACCAGATCTGCTAGAACATAGTTGTTGCCTGGTAAATATTGGATAGTACAGATGGATGGGTGGATGGGTGGATGGAAGGAAGGAAGGAATGAAGAAAGGAAGGAAGGAAGGAAGGAAGACTGATGGATGGTTGCATGAATGGATAGCAATTAACAAATAAGTAAACTATTACCTAGTCCCTAAAAAATTCATGCAATCATATTATTTCCTTAGCTAACCTACAAAATAAGCTCTTTAAAGGTAGGGACCACGACCTATACCTTGCTTGTAATCTTAGCACCTCGTCATGCTGAGAACATAGTAGGTTCTCTATAAATATCTCCCAAACTAATTAAATGTCCATTGAGACTGTAATGCAATGCCGGCAGCTCCCCCACTGTTAAAGTACTCAGTCTGGGCAGGAAGGGAGGCTCAGGTAGGCAAATATTTCTAAGGAACAAATGTCTGGCCGTCTTCCCAGCCAGAACTCAGCGGCCCCTACCTTGTCAGGGAAGCAGGTTGTCGTGGTGCAGCCACAGTCATTGGTGGCTGTGGAGGCCAGGTACCCCAGTGGGCAGCTCACTGTGGAGTTGACGCAGCTGCAAGCACACTCATACTCATCACAGCACTGAGTCTTCCGAAGGGTCGGCGTCCGATGCGGGGGGCAGGAGGGCGGGGACTCCCTTCTGCACTTGTCCTTCCTGCAGGCTGAGTGACGGGCATGAGGTGAGGCTCCAGTCCCACACTGGGCAGTACATTCAGCCAGGGCTCCTAAGTATTCAAGCTATGATAAAAGATGCCAGGGAACTCCAGAACCAGAATATTAAGTCAGAAACAAAATCCCAGCCCAGGGGCTGGGGGATGTTCAATCATACCAAAAAGCAGTTAGTCTACCGAAAAAATAAGAACATTGATCAAAAGGAGAAATGTGAAGCTAGGAATTCTAATGGAGGAGAAATAAAGGCTGCTTGGTCTCTCCTCTATAGAAAAATAGGGCCCCTCCAGTTTTGATTCTCAGAGACAGCAGACATTGGATCTCTAAGACCCAGACAGGCCTGGTAAGCATTCTTTTTTTTTTTTTTTTAATGTTTATTTATTTATTTGGGGGAGGGCAGAGAGAGAGGGAGAAAGAATCCCAAGAAGGTTTCATGCTGTCAGTATAGAGCCTGATGCGGGGCTTGATCTCACAAACGATGAGATCATGACCTTAGCCAAAATCAAGAGTCGGACACTTAACCAATTGAGCCACCTGGGCCCTCCAACATTCTTATGTGCTGATAGCTTATATGACCCTATCCCCACCTCAGTACCTAAAACAACACCCTGCAGTTTTGGGTCCTCCAACAATGTTGAACAAAAGAAAGCTAGCAATCCCAAATCCACAGTGTTGTTTTACAAATGCCAATCCCATCCATGTGTCCTTTGCTTCTTTCCAACTTCCTCCAAATAGAATGAGGTTTCTTCTCTCTCTCCAGGTCTTACACCAGGAACTCAAGTGAGATTCTAAATCAAGGGGACAGGAACTCCACTTGACACAAAGTGGATATTCTCACAGGCTAAATGGGGAATTCTGTTCCTTGACATGTCTTGGTTTAGTCCAACTCTGTGGATACATATATGGAAGGGGGGAGGTATAAATTTGTTTGGAAATAAGATCCAGTGGTGAGAACAAACCCCTCAGTGGTGTCTGGGAGAATGGGAACGAGTAAAGACTGAATCTGGAGGCTTCTCCATCCACCCATCTTAATGCAGCCCAAGAGGGAGGTGCCTGTTGCTGCACCCACATCCGGTTCACCTGCAGCAGCACATGGCTGGGTATACTGAATCCAGGTGTGACCTTAACCCCTCTGTTCCAGATGCACCTGAAGCCCAGGCTCCATGAACTGCAGTACGGGACACCTTCCCTTGGCCAGAGGAGAGCAGCCGCACCACCCCCTCCTTATCTGCAGAGGCTTTACCACAGGTGAAGTTGGGTCTGCACTCGCCGGGATTGGTCAGGGTCATCTGGAGGCCCCCTTCACAGGGAGGCACCGGGGGCACGTCACAGCTTGACAGGTCACACACTGAGGCCAGGAAAGAGAGACACCCACTCAGAAGTCAGCAAGGTCACTCACTATTGTGAGTGGCACCTGACATTTCTATTCCTACAGACTTCTACTGCTTCAGGCACAGGAGGAGGAGGAAGTGGTGAGGGAGAGGGAGAGATAGAGAAGGGGGGAAGCAATAAGATAGATAGAGAGAGATAGAGAGATAGATCTAGAGTCATATGATAAGCTCATGTTGATTTCTCTTGTCACTGCTGGAACTTCCAGATCTCAGCTAAGCCCTGTCAAACTCTCTGGGCCTCAGTCTTATCTTCTGCAAGGTGGGAAGTCTACCTTCCGGGGTCAGTCTCTAGATATCAGGAAATAGCAAAGGCAGAGTATCTGGCACATCATAGAAGCTTAATAATATCCATAAAATGAGAGGCGTGAATTAAATGAGGCCCCAGTTCTCTCTCCTATTAACATTCTAAGACCTATTTTATGACACAAATTTTTCTCCAGCCACATCTCCCTCCACATAGGACTTCTATTTATGCCTGATGAATTTTATAAGCATAAATAAATGTCTCAGATTATTTCATTCTTTTTTAGATTCCTGGGCTGTCCCTTGATCTATCTGCTCTCCCTCAAAGATTTGCATCACTGCACATTTGACACGCCTGTGCTTTATGTCTTCATCCATACAATTAATAAACACGTTGGACGGGACAGCGACAGGGCACTGGAGATTTCCTGTCATGTTAACCATAATTCCATCAGCTCCTGATTCGTTTCATTACACTATTTATTCAGCCCATTACTCACCATGCAGTTTTCAAGCCTATAATGAAACCTTTGATGAATAACTTGCTGAAGTCAAGGTGCCCTGTGTGTGGCCTTCTCTGTCTAGTATCCTCAGAATGTTATTAAAAGGCAAATGGTTACTTTGGCATGATTTTTTCTTCAGTAAATCTCTGCACCGCACCCTGCCAGTGATTACTCCTTTTTTTTTTTAATGCTTTCAAACCTTATATTTAATAATTCACTGCAGAATTTTCCTGGAAAGCCACATTCCAGAGGTTACTCTGGCCATTTTTTGGAAAATCCAGTCACCCCTTATCCACTTCCTTTTGAGTACCCTGTGCCTGAGCGCACACATGCCTTTCAGCACCTGGAGAGGTGGGGGAGGGGGTCCCCTGGGGCCGGGGCCAGGGTCTGGGCCCTGGAGAAGCACATACCACACTCATACTCCGGGCAGCACTGCTCTGGGCTCTGGCGAAGGCGGGCCACTTCACAGGGGCCACACGTGGGAGCTGAGGAAGAATGCCACAGAAGTCAGAGAAACCAATAATGCTGCAGCCTGCAGCCTTCAGAATGTCACAGACTCTCGTCCACTGAAAACCAGCACAGGCCCCACCTGGGAGGCCCACCAGGAATCAGGCCGAGGGGCCCTGGGTCTCCCCAGGGTGTCCTGGCAGCCCCCTCAAATGTGCCTTCCAGGAGACTCTACATCTGACGGCGAAGGTGGAGACAGGGGGACAGGGTTAACCTCTGAGGATATCTATTCCAGGTCCAGAAAAGGGGACCCTGAGGCCAGTGAGGTAAAGAAGTGTGGGGCAGGGGGAGGGAATGGACGTTTGTATCTGGCCCACCAGGTTTGCAGACGGGGGTCTAGGGCCAAGGGAGTCCTTGTTCCTCCAGACGCAGCAGGGAGTGGGGAGCTCACCTCTGGCAGTGGGGCAGGGCTGTGTCGTACAGTTGATCTTCCGCCCACTGAGGCACACGCAGATCTGGCAAGGTTGGTGAGCCGGGACCCAGGTGTCCAGGAACTGAAGGAAAACACGGTTCAGAGAGGGCCCAGGACCCTGGGGGCACAAAGCCTCGGAGGCCATGGAAGTCAGTCCCCCCACCTCTGGCTCTGGCTCCCCTCGGAGGGCAGTGACCAAGCGGGGCCTCCACAGGCTGAAAGGCAGTGTGAGGCTCCGAGACGAAAAGAGCTGGAGAAGCATCAGGGGCACCAGGAGAGGCGGTCCCTACACCGCATAAACTCAGGGGATGACAAACCACAGCCTGCAGAAAGCCCTCCAGGACGGCCATCTCTGGCGGCCGTGCTAAAACTAAGCAAGGCAAGAGGATGAGGGTTCCCACACCACACGGCTAGCCATCTCCCAAGCCAGAGCGGGGGTGTAGCTGGAGAAACAGATTCCGTTTACTCATGGAGTTGACAAGACATGGACGGGGCAGGAAGAGTGGAGGGGAGGACAGCAAGACTCTGAGACTCATCACACTGTTGGTACTGGGAGTGGTGGAGACCAGGGGGCAGCCTCTCAGAGGAGGGTTCCCACCGCCGGTGAGGCAGCTTTCCCAGAGTTGCAGGCAGCCCCACTGCAGAGGGTCGTCAGGTCAGGGAGACCTGAACTCCCATGTGGGCTGCACTTCCCAGGCCGGTTTACCCACCCGAGAAAGACCACTGAGGCCTCCGCACAGGACAGCTGCCGGCAGTGCAGACTGACCAGCAGGGGTGGGGAGCAGACTGCAGAGCCAGGACCAGGCAGCCCTCTACACTCAGCCAGTGAGGCAAATTCAGAGTTTAAATTAGATCCACCTTCAGTTATCCGCCCCTGAATCAACACAGTCTTATTCAGTAGCTCAAAGACCTCTAACAAGTTCCCAGGTCAAGAAGGTCTTAATTATTCCATCTGCTTCCATGGTCAGCAACCAGTCAGCTGAGAAGAAGGAAGATCAGAAGTCTTCAAGGAAAACACCCTTCCCCAAAGCTGCTGGTCCTCCTCCAGGAATAAGCCCTCTGACCTGTGCCCCTTGACACCTTTCCCCTCACTCAATAAATAATAGCAGCCAATGTCTGAAGAGCATATGCTGTGTACCATGGTTTTGTGTGCTTTATATAAATGACTCATTTACTTTTTTTAATGTTTTTATTTATTTTTGAGAGACAGAGGCAGCACAAATGGGGGAGGGGCAGAGAAAGAGGGAGAGACACAGAATCCAAAGCAGGCTCCAGGCTCTGAGATGTCAGTACAGAGCTGGACCCGGGGCTCAAACTCATGAACCATGAGATCATGACCTGAGCTGAACTCACTTAACTGACTGAGCATGCAGGTGCCCCCATAAATGACTCATTTAATTGTCACTGCAGCCCTCTAGTGAGGACATTTTTACTATCCCCACTTGTCAAAGGAAAAAGCTGGCACCTGCTTAAGGTCACACCATCACAGCTGCAAGTCAGATTTGAACCCAAAATCTATCTTTTGAATATGGTGCTCTACTGCCTCCCAGTGATAACTAGTGTTCAATATGTCCAAGATATATTTCTAAGAACTTGATGTTTACTCACTTTATGTTCCTGACAATACCACTAATCAATAAGTACTGTCATTATCTACACTTACAAATGATGAAATGGAGACACAGACAAGGAACCTGACCAGGTGCCACATCCCAGGATTTGAACCTGGCATTCTGGCCCCAGACACCACGTGCTCTCTGTACTAATTATGGCTGCCTCTCTTATTGGTAATCACAGTGCCTGCCATGGGCATATCACACTGCCGGTGGCCGTAGAAGTGGCAGGGGCCGAATACACACACACACACACACACACACACACACACACTCACACACACATGTGCTCCCAGCCTCATAGCTGACACTCAAACTGAAGAAATAAGACTTGCCAGTGAAAAGTTAAATGAGATAAGGGAAATGTGATACATTCACGGCATGGCATATTACTCAGCCATGGAAACAAACTATGGAAACATGCAACATGGATGTCTCCAAAGTATCATGCTGAGTGAAAGAAGATGGGCAAAAAAGGAGTACCGCTTGCATGATTCCATTTATGGAAAATTCCAGAAAATGTAAACAAATCTATAGTGACAGAAAGCAGAGCAGTGGCTGCCTGGGGGTGGGAGACGGGGGTTGGGGATGTATTAAAAAGAGGCATAAGGGAACTTTTGGGGCTGATGGCAATGTTGATTATCTTGATTGTGGTGATGGCTTTATGGGTATGTACATATGTCAAAACTCATCAAATTGTGTACACTTTACATAGGTGCTGTTTACTGTATGTAAACGATGCCTCAATAAAGCTGCTTTTAAAAATGAGAAATACAAGAGCCACAGCAGTGCAAAAGAAATGTTCACGGAGGCTGGGGTGCTCCAGAAACACCTCACAAAGGTGCACCTGTGTTGGGTGGGAAGGACCCAGGCAGAGGAAAGAAGAAGGGATTCCAGGTGGGAACAGAGGACAGAATGTTCTTGTGGCCACCAAGCGACTGTAGAGGCCTTCACTGTCTGCTCCAAGGGGCTGTGTTTAACTTGGTAGATAAATGCAGCCCTGAAGCTCTGTGAGCAGGGCCCTGCCTCAAAGAGAAGAGTGTCAAATATGGACAGCCCTGGTGAGAGTGAGCAGCATGGAATAGGGAGCGACTAGCACCAGAAACCAGGGCTCTCCCAGGAGCTGGGAAGTTCCCAGGGGGCACAGGGCACTGGCCTCAGGGGCCTGGGAGTGGGAGGGGGGCGACCTCTCACATCTCCCCAGGCCTCTCTCTCTGTCCTGCCGCTTTCTCCTTTCTGCACTGATGGGGATGCTGAGGAGCCTGTCTTCAGATTCTGTGACACACTCCCCTGCTCACGCTGTCTCTACCTCTCTCTCAAAAATAACATTAAAAAAATAAAAGCAAAGGTGATGAAATGAGAGAGGATCATGTTTTTTTATATGTTTTGGGTTTTCTTTTCTCTATTTTTAAAATTTTTAAATAGTTTAAGTTTATTTTTTAGAGAGAAAGAGAGAGAGAGACAGAGTGTGAGCAGGGGAAGGGCAAAGAGAGAGAAAGAGAGAGACAGGGAGACACAGAATCTGAAGCAGCTCCAGGATCCGAGGTGTCAGCACAGAGCCCCATGCAGGGCTCAAACTCATGAACCACAAAATCATCACGTGAGCCAAAGCCGGACACCTAACCACCTAGCCAGACACCTAGCCACCCAAGAGCCCCTCCTCTTTTTAAATGTGAACTTTAAATCTAAATTCAAGAATAAACAATACAACTTCCCCACGATCCTGAGAGTGGACAACACCACACTAGATAACCAAAATTATGTGTTAAACCTCCTTTTCCAAGGATTTTCATTTCCCCAAGAAGCTTTAATGAGGCATGCCGGATACAGGGTACAGAGTCTATGGCTCCCAAAAAAGATCTTTCTGGCTAACGCTTAACTAAAAGCACCAGACAGCTAGAGAAAGAGAATGGAAAAATGTGAGCTTGTCAAGCAAGTATTTCAGCATAGATTTTGTCTTTATCAAATGAACTTAAAGGAACAAGTTACAGTTACAGTTTGAATGGGCGAGCCTGCCATTGTGGTCCACGTTGGGTTGTTGCTGTTTACATTCCTTTGTTGAGCCTACATCTTCATAAGATTTTCAGCAGGTATTTGTTGAACACCTGTTTCATGGTCAAGACAGGATCAGAGGCCATGGATACTGACAACTGATTTGTCTGTTTTCCTCTGTCTTTTTCCATGACTGTATCTACTGCCTCGTCTTGATTTATAAACAAAACCTGGAAAACCTACAAAAATAAGTGTTTTGTGGTTTATCTAGGAATAATACAGAAAATATTACTGTTATTTTTGGTGAAGAAAATCAATTTTGTATAGTTTATTTCAACCTAAGTAAAATGTGAATTTTGTTTAAAAATAAATAAAAATAAATAAAAGCACCAGCAGCAGCCTGCCCCGCCCCTGCACAACGTGTCTCGTTATGCAGTAATCATGGCACCAGGTGGCGCTCTTGCACCAGGACAGGCCAACTACAGCCAGTCCCATCTCCCCCAGAGGGTTCCAGGGCAGGGCGTGACGATTTCCAGAAGAGAGTTGGTATGAGAGCTGGCTGGTGAGAGAAAACTGAAGTCTTCGAAGTCTCAGGTCAGAGAAGAGACACAGGTCATCATGCACCACCCACCACAGCCAAGGGCCTGAGGGGAGATGCGGGTGAAATGTAAGCACTGAGCTGCCAGGGACCGGTGGAGACCAGGGAGGAAACGCAGGCTCCGGGAGCTCATTCTGGGGGTGATGGAGGCAGTCCTTGCTGCCCCGCACAGCCCCAACCAGAGAGGGACAGCCAGTGCGCGGGCCCCGGGGCCCCTCTGAGCCAGCCACAAGGGCTCACGTGTTTACACTGTGTTTTGAAAATAAACAAGAGCTATGGAAACTGGTAAATATTTTGCCCTTCCGAAGTTACCACCAGAGATTTATACCCTGGATTATTTCCCTGAAGAAAAGTTGTCTTGGCTTTATTTTTCTGCTAAAGAAATTTCATTTCATGGAAATGTCCTTCATGTTAGATTTTTATTCTTTCCCTGCTTTGCATGGGAAAATGGAAATTGCAGGTAGCCTGATAAGATATTTGTTTTCATCCATTTAAACTAGATTTTCTGAAGTAAACTGAAACTGGCTTGGCTCCCTTCATGGTTTTGATTAATTTTAATGTCACTTGGTTCTGAAATATATTTATGAGACTGTTTCTGTGTCCAAAATATTGCACAAATATCATTCTTCACGCAACTCAAATGTATATTCCAATGTGTTGGATGGAAGGTGAGGGGACCAGAGAGGAGAAATAGAGTCAGAGGGGGAGGGTGGAGACACTGAGGTTAAATTCACAAGCTTCTAGCTCTCCACATCCTGCACCATAAGGACAGTCATGGAGGCAGAAATGTTTTGCAAACTTGAGCTTCCTTCTCATCACAGAATGCCAAAGTAGAGGGTAGGGACATTTCTTTTTTTTTTTTTTTAAGGTTTTTTTTTTTTAGGTTTTTTTTTTTTTTAATGTTTTATTTATTTCTAGGAGAGAGAGAGAGACAGCGTGAACAGGGGAGGGTCAGAGAGAGAGGGAGTCACAGACTGAAACAGGCTCCAGGCTCTGAGCTGGCAGTCAGCACAGAGCCCGACGCAGGGCTCGAACCCACGAACCGCGAGATCATGACCTAAGCGAAAGTCGGATGCTTAACCGACTAAGCCACCCAGGCGCCCCAGGGTAGGGACATTTCTGCCTCCCTCTGAGAGGACCTGACCACTACCAGCAAATCCAGCCTGAAATTACCACTGGGTGCTGGCACCACATGTAATGGTACATATCCTTTGAGCCCAGTGGGAGGGAGCCCAGGAGCTGTGCGGATCAGGGAGAGCAATGTAAGGTTTTATGTACTCGTTTTGGAGAATATTCTGGTACAGGTAGTCACTTCATTCAGCAAGGTAAAATACAGCAATACAGTATCACTGGTCTTCCCTCCTAACTCATCTACTTCACGGTGAGAATGAATGGGGTCCACTTGGATAAAGCCCAGTAAGAAAACAGAGCAAATGAGAGCCATCCAGCTGGATGACCGCCCATGCTTACATGAAAACATAGTTAGCTCAAAGTTTAGCTCACAGTTCCAGTGAGATCAATAGCAGGGCTAGGGATGACCTAGAACGGTGGATAGGAATCCAAGTTTTATCACCTGATGCCATCTGAGCCTGTGTCCTCACCTGTTCAATGGTACATGCAATAATGACCCTATGGAGTTTGCAGGAGAATCAAAGGAAATAGTCCATTTCCTGTATTACAATGTCAGGGAGAGAATAGTGTAGTTATTGAAATTATTGTTTTCATGGTTCTCTAGATTGGTCAGCTAGCTTTACCATGTGATTACATCTAGTAAGTCACCTTACCTGGTTCACTTAGTGATAAAAGTCCTCCCTGGTGATGATGGAGATGTTAGGTCTTGGGTATAATCCCCAATCAGAGAATATACTCTCCTTTGCTAGAAGCCAAATCTTCTCTCCCTGTACCATGTTCTGTAGTATCACTGTCAGCGATGAAGGACAGGACCCCTGCACACATTCACACATGCCCAGACACACAGTACCCCGACACTACAAATGTACATGTTGTCAACTTTGAAGACATGACCGCCATCTCAGGCCAAGATGGGGGAGAGTCTGGTAAATATTCTTTCAAAATGGACTCAATAACTTCTAAGGTGCTAAAAGAATTAAGTACTCAATGATTCCCAAGCACATCAGCCCAAAGAAGGCTTAGCAAAAATGCATTCTCATACATTGGAAAGAGCCTCTTTGGAGTCAGAGCTTTAAATACTAAGTCTAATTCTCACCTCCATCACTTACAAACTGTGTCCATGAGCAAAGTAAGCTCTCTAAGACTGGGTTTTCTCATAAAAATTTTTAAGTATTTATAAGATGATGCAAGACATCCCAGTACATTCGGTGGAACCCTGATCCAAGAGGGTGCCATACACACACAGACACACAGTCACTCACTTGGCCACACACACAGGTTCCAAGTCAGGTAAGTTTGAGAAGCAAAATCCCTCTTAAGTACTGGCACTATACATTAGTGCATGAAAAGCTCTAAAGAGTCCTACAATAAAGAAACCTGTCTAGCCAGTGTTCTTTAAGCTCTCTTGACCACAGGTAACTGTTAATACCCTGCAAAACACACCTTCAAATAATGTTGAGATGATGAACATAGAGTGCTAAGTATAATGCGAAGTATACATCTTCATAATAGTAGATATTACCATATAAAATATTCTTTTCCCATCCCCTTCTAGGTTCCTATAGCCTTCTACTTATATATGAATATAATGACAATGACAGTAGGAGTACTCATAGTAATATGCTGTTAATTCTCTGGGGGTTTTTCACACAGCTGATATCTGACAGACCCAGGATTTGAATCAAGATGTACGTGGCTCCAAAGCCATTATGCCATACTGCTTCCCTATCCTTCAGTGATCCCCTTAAGAGTTGACCCTTGCTGGGGCGCCTGGGTGGCTTAGTCGGTTAAGCGTCCGACTTTCGCTTTGGTCATGATCTCGCGGTTCATGGGTTCGAGCCCTGCGTCGGGCTCTGTGCTGACTGCCAGCTCAGAGCCTGGAGCCTGTTTCAGTCTGTGACTCCCTCTCTCTCTGACCCTCCCCTGCTCACGCTGTCTCTCTCTCTCTCCTAGAAAAAAAAAAAAAAAAATTAAAAAAAAAAAAAGAGTTGACCCTTGCTTCCACAGTTGGGGGTCAGTGCGAACAATCACTGGTGAACACTTCACCCTACTGACCTGAGAGAGAAGCAGCCCCATGGGAAGTAAAAGGCCAGGGCTCCTACCTGGTGCCGGACTCCATCCTTGCTGACGCACTGGGTACAGGCCTCCTCAGAGACACAGCTACCCTCCAGCAGGACTTGATGCAGGGGGCAGAAGCAGCCTTCTGAGGGATGTCCCGCACAGGAGCTCACATTGCCCTCACAGAGCCGGGGGCAGCCTCGCTCACAGTGGCTGTACACCAGGGAAGGTGGGCATGACATAGCTACAAACAGAGAAGGAGGTCACACTCAGCCCGCACCAACTAGAGGGAAACAGAGGCAGCGCTGATTCAGAGAGGCTGATCATCTGACACATGTGCTGGGGCGGAAATGGCTAATTCTACCGATTTTTATTCTCTCCATTTTCCATACAAATAGACCTTTAAGCGAGACACATGACCACAGGATAAAGACCATTTCCCAACTTCCCTTGCAGCTAAATGTAGTCATGTGACTAAGTTCTGAGTATTTGCTCAAGGAACATCACTTAAATGAGTACCATTTGAACTTTTTTGACAATGAATATAGTAAGAAATATATTTTATATCATAGGCCAGGAGATAGATACATAGATAGGTATAACTAAACTATATATTTTAGTTATATATATATATATATATATATATATATATACATGTACATATATATAACTAAAGTAAGTTACATCATAGACTAGGATATGTATATGTATATACATATACATATATATAACTAAAATAAGTTTCACAGAAACTTATTCTTTACATATTCTCTACATACTGCTCTATTTTCTATCATATTCTATTCTTTTTAAATTTTTTGTTTCAAAATTTTATTTAAATTGTAGTTAGTTAACATACAGTGTAATATTGGTTTCAGGACTAGAATTTTTTGATTCATCATTTACATATAACACTCAGTGCTCATAACAACAAGTACCCCCTTAATGCCCATCACGCATCTAGCCCATCCCCCCACCAACCTCCCCTCCAGCAACCTTCAGTTTGTCCTCTGTAGTTAAGTCTGTTATGGTTTGCTTCCCTCTCTTTTTTTTCCCTTCCCATGTTCTATTTTGTTTCTTAAATTCCACATATGAGTGAAATCATATGGTATTTGTCTCTCTCTGGCTGACTTATTTCACTTAGCATAATACACTCTAGCTCTATCCACGTCATTGAGAATGGCAAGATTTCATTCTTTTCGATGGCTGAGTAATATTCAGTTATATATATATATATATATATATATATATATATACCACATCTCTTTTTTCTTCCAAGATTTTATTTACATTCAAATTAGTTAACATATAGTATAGTAATTGATTTCAGGAGGAATCTTTTTTTAAAAGACATCTCTGTATATCCTTTGTCCTTTCTCCCTTCCTCTCCCATGCTGCCATTTGAACCTGGACATGATAGCTAGAAGTCCATCTTAACCCATGAGAAAAAAACACACCCAAGTGAGAACAGAGCAAAACACCTAATCCAGTTTGAGACCCAGAAACAGCTGGAACTACCTCCCTCTGATCAGCTATGTGACAGAATTTTCCTTGTCTGTTACTTGAGTCAAATTTAACCCTAACTGATGATGTCAGCCTGTGTATCCTTGGGAAGTCTTATGGGTCTTTCTTTTAAATATGGGTATATTTAATCCTTTAAAAATCCTCTAAAATTAAATAAGGAATCCACAGCTCTGAAGAGTTGCTACAAGAGGAGAAAAGCTAAAGATGATTCACTTGTCCAACGGTGGCCCTGCTCAACCCCTTCCTAAATGTTCTCCCGGTGCTGCTGCAGGGGGCAGGACTGTCTAAGGATTAGAGCACCAAGCATTTTCCTGTAAATACACTATAAGCAGCCAGGGGTAGACAAAGAAATTAGTAAGTAGAAAAGGACTGTGGGTAACTCAGAAACTATCATTTGCCCCTTGACCTGCAGGCAGGTTGAAAGGAAGTACTACCATCCAATGGACTCAGAACACCAGAGCTGGAAGGAACCCAGGGGTTGTCTAATCCCATGATCTTATTCTGGGATGCAGAAAGCAAGGTCCAGATAGAGAACAGTCGATCACCTGCTGAGCTGGTACTAGGGCGCCAAAGTCCTCCAGCCACAGGTGAGATCTGTGACAGCTTTAGGATTATTATCCTGAGATGCTTGCATATATTGATTTCCCTCCAGAAAAAGTCAGGGATGATGTTCAGTAACTGAGGATGCTGAAGTTCAGTGTTCTTGTCATTTCAGCACCCCCTGAGGCAGCTGATTCATCATGGTATCCCCCACATGTTAAATGATAAATGCCAAGTCCAAGTAGGGGAACTGACCTTGGGGAGGTATCTACACTAGCAATCCTGTGGTATTTGTTATTAAGACGTGTCTTAATATTTAGTGGCAAAATCCACTCACACTTCAAAACCCTGCTCAGGCATGGCTTATTCTGTGAGCATTTGCTAAACTTGGTGGAATTTCAAACTCAATGTGACTGGTCATTCTGTACTTTGCTGACGTAGTCACATCTGTCTGAACTGTAGAAATGTTTTTGTTTGCACAGAAATTCTACACTCAAATGACTTAAACATCTACCATCTTAGTTGATCCTAAATGGGATCCTACATAATAGGAAAAGCAGGGATTTTGATCTTTATCACACAGAAAAAGAATCTGAGACCTCGAGAGGTTGAGCAAGCCCACAATTAGTTGGTCTTCATGACTTCGGTGGTGGGGGGTGCTCACATGGAGACTCACCACAGAAATCGCTCCTCCTCCAGTCAACACAGACTCCTTTGGTCCGACAGAGGTGGGCGTACAGGGCAATCGCCTCACAGACTTGCTCCTGGTGGCAACTGTCCTGCTGGCACATGGCGTAAAAGGTGGCTGGAGCCAGGAGCTGGTGGCACTCGGCAAACAGGGCTGAGAGGAGGAGCTGGCAGTGGGAACCACTGGAGGCAGGACACTGCTCCTCGGGAACAGGCTGGCACGTCCTCCCCGGCTGCTGCACCGTCCATTCCTGGATGAGCACCTTCCAGTCCGTAGTGACCGTGCCATCCTTCAGCATGAAGTCATTGGCCCCATTCTCATCGCAGATACCTAGGCAAATGAGGAGACAGGACTGTTAGCCCTGGGTGCCCACCAGGGCTGGAGATGCTGGAGACCTGGCCATTCTCCATCCCCACCAGCATCTGAACCTTACAATCAACTGGACCCGGAAACATAAGCAGCCAAGAGTTGCAAGACTAGAGCAAAGAAAGTTTATCGATACAAAAGGGAGGGTTTATCGACCAAAAGTCAGGAGAATGTTCTCACCACAGAGACCATACATCTTGGAAGCAAAGGTCTTGGGGCTGAGCTGCAGCTGGAATTCATTGTTTTGTGGAGTGAATGTGAAGATGTGGCCAAGATGGTTGAATCTCATCTCATACATGATGGTGCCATAGACATTGACTTCTATGTCCCCGGCCACGTATGGGACAGAGACCAGTCTTCCATTCACTGTCAGCTGCCCAGAGAAGAAAATGACTCATCAGTGGTTGTCACTATCAAGAATCCTAGATTTCATCTTATCTACTTCCTGAGGTTACTGACAGTCCCTACGCATCTGCCACATTCAACCCCAGTGTTATCCACAGTGTTATCTGATATCTGACAGCAGCCCTTCTAAGATAAAGGGGCTTTGCAGAGCTTGACAGAACAGAGCATTACAATCCTATACAGATGGCCATGCTCCTAGAGCCTGAAAGCCCCAGGGTTAAAGCCAGTCATGAGCCTGTGTACATTCAACAGAGAAGGGCAACCCCTTCTGGATACGCGGAGAGAGTTGCCTTTTGTCAGCTCATCAGGGTGGTGTCTCCAGGAGCATCTCACAGAACTATGTTAAGTCCATTTATGTACGTATATATGTATGCGTGTGTGTGTGTGTGTGTGTGTGTGCGCGCGTGTGTGTGTGTGTGTGCATGCGCGCGCGTGTGTGTATTTTTGGTCAGTAGCTCTTTGGAAGCCCCAGTATATATCATATCAAACATATTAAAAGGTACTCATGTCCCATGGTGACTATAATTTTTGCTGTTAAAGGTTTTGGAAGGCTTTTTCCTTTTGATTTTAAAAGTTTGGGCTGTGAGTTACTCATTTAGTATAGGACTAGCTATGATTTTTCAGCAATTAATGTGCATAATCAGAAATTCTTACAAAACGAGGTTTCTACAAGTTACTTTCACATAATGGAATATTTGTGATTTCTAAATGAACAAGAAGTTGTCATAATGTAACCTTTTGTAAACAATCAGTCAAACATTTATTTTTATCAGTGTTGCAGCTTTCCTCTTGAATTTTGGAGCCATACGTTTTGATCAGGCCCTAAATATCTCCAAAGGCCCTAATGTAGGGCCCTAAATATTCTCCTTTGTAAAACTCACAGGCCCTGTGCACTGGGCTCGTCATGCCTTCTGGGTAAATAGCTTGGGTGTCTATCCCAACTTTCTGCCAAGACCAGAAACCAGAGCTGGATTTGTAACTTAATGCTATCTAAAATGGATCCTTTTTTTTTTTTTTCCCCAAATCTGGGCCCAGAACAACATGAAATCGTGCCACAAGGGAGATGAGAATAAGCCTCTCCTAAGAAGGTGGCACTCTGCTGGTGGGGCAGAAAGCTGAGTCCCTAACAGATACACCAGCTAAAACCAAGTGCCACCAGAGGCTTGTTGGGGGTTCTGTTGCTGCCTTGCGTGGGCCCCACAGAAAGCTCGTCTCACCTGCATGTCACTGTGGAGCTCAAGTGACAGGCCCTCATGCTTCACCTCAATAGACTTCGTGCAGGCCTGCCTCGTCTCAGGGCTGCAAGCACTGTTGTGCAGAATCACCTCCAGGTCCTGCTCCTTGTTTTGAAAGAGGACATACGAACAGCTGCCAGTCAGCTTGAAATTCTGCCCATCAAAGGTCACAATGTGCCGTGTAGAGCTGCCCATGCACACACCTGAACAGGGGAGAGCAAAGGATGGATGTGATATTATCCAAACACCCACACATGCAAAGAGGCAGATGTTACCAAGTCACACACAGATAAATAGAGTTGAGCACTGAATGGGCCCTTTGAGGTCATGTAATCTAATTTCCTCCTTCTTACAGATTAGGAAACTGAAATTCTGAGAGGTAGAGAGAGTAGTTTAGCTAAGTAACACTTGGCTAGTAAATATTTTTCTAGAGAAGGTCTAGAAGGACAAGTATCACATAAAAACATGGAAAATTATACAACCATACTTCCAAAAACTTTTAACATGCAAAGTGAATGATCTCCTCTATAGAGATGCTTTGGCTCAGGAAACAAAGTTAAGTTTCAGGGTGGTTATGACTTGTTGAAATCATGAGGAGCTAAGCGTATCATAAGCTTATGAGCTCATTGTAAAGAAAGGTCACCTAAAGACACATGTGTCCTCTCCGCTGCCAAGTTTCTAATGGTACAAGTGGCCATGTTGACTTGATCCCTTAAGAGATGATCACACGAGAGAAATATTTCTGAAGCCAAAACAAATGATTGAGTCTCCACACTCCCTCATTTGCCACTCATTCATTCACACAATTGGCAAATTCTCAAGGGTCCTATTAAAATACTACTTGGAAACACTCATCATCTTGCATCTGCATAAGATGATTCTGTAAAAAATCCCCCCATGGAAGGCACCACTGCCGTGTGTGATTTGAAAGCTAATCTTAGACCTAACTGAAGTTGGAGATGAGCTTTCCAGAGCAACCGTGACCACAGCTACGGTGGTGGGTAAACAAAAGCCCAAGAACTGAGAGGCAGACTCAGTGGGTCTGTGAGGCTGCATTGATATCCTTCGTTCACACCAGGTCTAGGCAACCTCCACCTGCATCCATGACCTGTGCGTCAAGCAGCACAGCCACTAACAAATGAAGGGGCTGCATGCACCATGTGTCAGGTCTGAGTAGCCTGCCAGGAGCTCTTTGACTCAAAATCCCCTGAGACCTGGAGCAGTCAGCCACTCCCAAGGGGCACTTGACGCTCAGGCAGCAAGTGGTTCCCAGTACTCCAGCTGTGGAGAGTGTCACGTCTTCAGGCGATCAGCCCCTCTGCTGTGAGGATGTCACAAGTCACAGGCAAAGAAGTAGTATTAGCTCACACGTGGCAAGCTAGGGAGAACGGCTCTGCCCACTGTCACTTAAACTATAACCGTGAAGTGGGTGCTTTGGAGCCAGAAAAACTCAAGACTGAATTCTGTTCCACCCTGTGCTTGTACTGTGACCTTGGATAAATTACTTCACTTCTGTGGTCCTCTCTTAACTCCTCTGCTGTCTTTGAACTGATAGAGGATTTCTGGGCTATGTTTTTAAGCAAAAAAAAAACAGGCAAAGAATCATTTGTGAAGGAGGATGAACGTGAAAGGAATGTTCCCTGGTTACCTGCAGGGAACATAAGTGGAAACAAGTAGAAAGCATGGAGGAATGGGAGGAGTGAAGTGACACTCCAAATAAACCTTTCTGTCCATTCTCACATTTGCGGCCATGTTAGTAATTCATGTACCAAGAACAAATGAATAAACTCAACAAGGATGGGGGTGAGGGAAACCTGAAATGGAATACAAACAGAAACAAACTGAACTCATGGTAATAAATAACATAACTACACTGTAGGGAGAGGAGAAACTAATCTAAATAATACGGGTTGAAGGGGGGGATGTACTATGTACTCAAAGACAAAAGACAAAAAGAACTGCATATGAATATTATACTCTAGTTAGTAGATTTGTTTTTCATCCAGGCATTGGTTAGTAATTCTGAAACTACTTTATGTATATTCTGGGATTAAGCCAACATATAAATATATCCTGGATAATGAGAGCCAGACTCCTTACTGTGTGAGAGAGGGAGGTGGACATGTCAGAAGGGCATAGGAGTCAAACTGAAAGGGTTCCCATTAGCCACATCTGAGACCATCGACCAAGAAAATAAATAATGCTAGTAATTGATTATACCCCATAGAATAAAATAAGAACCAATAAGTCCATATTGATACCAATGATTAATTGAATTAATCAATGACAGAGAAGGAAAAGTTCTTCCTTTCAATGGAATTCCAACTAGTAAATGTGGAGGGGGTGATGGAAATAAAAAATCACTATCTGGCAAACAGCACAATAAAAATTGTTTCAGGTAAGGATCATCAATGCACGGTAAACTTAATGGGTAAAAGTATTTTCCCATAGTTTCAAAATATCTCTGTATATGATCGTTATTAATTGCAAGGAGGAAAACAGTAACTTTTCAGTGGAAAAATCTGGTAAATATCACCTAAGCCAAGTGATCAAACTTAACGTACCTTTAATGAGACAAATTGATATCATGTGTCTCCTCTTGATAAACCAAAAAAGGCACAATATATCTTCTGGGGTATTCTTAACAAAATGTGTAACCTGAATCTAACCCAAATTGAGCGACATTTTACAAAATTACTAGCTGGAGCTCTTCAAAAAGGTCAAGGTCATAAACATCAAAGAAATACTAAGGATCTGTTGCAGATTGAAGAAGACTACAGAGACATGATGACTTAATGTCATGTGGGATCTGGATTGAACCCTACATCTGAACAAAGGACATAAGTGGGACAACTGATAAAAACTGAGTAAGATGTTTACAGGTGTACTTTATGGATATTAATTCCTGATTTTGATCATTAAACCATGATTATATAAGATACACCAATCGGGGTGAAGATACTCAGGAATTCTTTGTACCATTTGTACAGCTTTTTTTTGGTAAATCTGAAATTATCCAAAATAAAAAGTTTTAAATTTTAAAATGTTTTTATGCTTAAAAAAATAGCTCAAATCTAGTTTTATTGCTTCTGATAAAAGAGAGTATAAAGAGTCAAGGTTATAAAAGGAGTCAAGAGGGGTATTGAGGGACTGGATTTAAGAAGACATTTGTTTGCACAGGGCTCCTATTGTGTTGTGAGTCTTACACCCCCAGGTGCCCCAATAGGAATAACCAAGCCTTGTGAACCGGACTTTCAAGAGGCCACTCCCAGAGATGGGTTTGTGTCCCATGCAGTTACAAGGACCCTGGACCGGTGTCTGAAACTTAACCTGAAGAATGTAAAAGAGAGAAGCTATTACCATTGCCCAGAGGTGGCCAGACAGCAAGAGAGGGCTTGCTGCTGTTTGGGTAAGCAGGCGCACTCCACTCCAGTGGCGGGTCAAAAGTGCCCGAGTCCTGGGGGCCAGAGAGAGCACTTACACAAGAAATGATGGCCTGGCATTGTTCTAAACGTGACCCTGTCTATGAGACCTTCTACTATAGGGTCAGGAGGACCCCAAAACCGGAAGCCTGACATGGAGAAGCAGCAGCCAGCCCAAGGATACAGACTCCTTCTGCACTCCAAGATTGAGGATCAGAGGAATAGAGCAGGAGAGCTGACAAAGTAAAGCAGTCGCCGTAAACACCTGCCAGGCCAGAGAGCACAGAGCCCTCTCACAGAAGCACGTTACAGGAGAACCTTCTGAACCCCCTTCCATCCCCCCTGCCCTGGCCCCAAGCTGGGGAGAGGCAGAACATACCCCTTTCCAGGGTGCAGGCAGCACAAACTGGGAGTAGGGAGCTGTTTTAACTCTAACTCAAGTTTAAGGTTTCGGTTATTACACAGGAATGGACACCTAATTACCAAGTTGAGTTTTTGTTTTATAACTTAAAGTAATCATAGAACTCTATGAATAAACAGAGATGACACAGGTCTGGTAGCATTCTTATCCAGTCCAGGGAGATAATTTATCCTACTAAATAAACTGTCAAGGGAGGCTGAGGAATAAAATACCGTTTTGGCTTTATGCCACTGGTTGTGTCTATTTAACACAGTGAATATATGCCAAGTACGTATTACCTACCCAGCCATTTCTCCCAACCATGAGGCAGGGGGCTAACCCACCCCCATGTGTGAATGTCTTCCACAAGTCTGCAAAGGATGGAGGTCACTATGTCCTCCTCATAAACCAGGCCACTGTGATGAAGTGCCATGTCACCCAACCCCCAGCCAGCTCTAGGTGTGAGTGGAGAGTTTTCTGTCAGGGTGTCACTCTCACTGTTCTACTTCTACAGCATAGACTTCTAATGGCTGACTTGCCAACAACCAAGTTGAGTAATGACCTCAGAAAATCAATTCTTCCTTCTGGATATGGATTATCTGGGGAGGTGCTTTCCAAAGACACAGGAAGAGGACAGTGATCCTTGGGAGTGAATGAAAATATATCCAAAGGACACAAGCGGGAGGGAACATGGGTGAAAGTAGCACTCTGCATGTAGTGAGGAGGGAAAGGGGCTTCTGGTCTACCTCTCTGCACAGCCGTGCTAAAAGCACTGCCCCTGTAACACCACCCAGGCTGGTGAAGCATCGGACTCACATGGGCAGGTCCAGCGGCAGCCACAAGTCTCCTCCACCCTTAGAGGGGACTGGCTGTTGGGGCATGATGGCTTTGGGCCCCGGTCACAGTTGACTCGATGACTCTTCAGCAAGGTCTGGCCATCTGGCAGGCAAGTCACTGTGTGGCACTGGTCTGGCAAGTTCCAGGTGTCCCCAGGCTACAGAAGAAAGAAGCAGATTGACGCGGGTACAGGACAAGCTGCCCTGTGCTAAGCCCATCAACTGAGCAACTGACCCCCTCTGAGGATACAGAGACTAGGTCTTGGACATAGGCCCAAGCAGCAAGGATACAGAACACAAGACTTACGGGTGGACCCTCCCCACACATCCATACACATGCACAAAAGCAGGATATAATGCTAAGAGGGAGAACCAGATCAAGAACAAAGGAGGAAAAATGGGGAATAAGCACCCCAAATACTCATTTCTTATCTTTCTTTCAAAGTCAGCTGAAAGGAACTCACGCTCTTCTCATTCCCTTCCTCATCCACGCAAACTCCAACAAACCCTGCAACAGACACAATTAAGATCTGAGTTCCCATTCCCACCCTGCAGAAGAAGCCATTCGCGAAGTCTGCTTGGCCCCAAGGCTAGTCCCAGAAGGGGACTTCACTCCTCAAAAAGGGTCTGAGCAGGTTTGACCGTGAATGTGCAGGTCCACCAGGTTAAGAGGTGGTCACCCTGTGGTTCTTCAGGCATGCTCTGTGGTTCTCAATAACTATGATGATTACATCAGTAAGAACCCCGCAATCCCTACAGGGTGTGAAGCCTCCCAAGGTCAGAATCTCCTTTTCCCATTTCATATGGAGATCAGTGCCTAGTGAGGGAAGGGGGAGGAAATGAAGCAAGATCCCCAAAATTTGAAAGAGACCTTAAAGAGTCCTTCCAGGAGAGCTATCTTCCAGCAGGAAAGGGCAATAACCCTAGTAGGCTTTGACTCACAGCTAGTTAGGAAAATAAATAAAATCAGGTAAAAAAAATCATATATGGTAAAAAAAAAATCTAACCTAAGTCAACTTAAACTATGACACTTTGATATTAGCTTCTATGTTACTGTTTTTCCAAGGCCCTATATACTCATGCTGAGGGTGAATATAAGGCATGCGGAAGACCATAGTCTGCAGGATGCTGGGGTTCCCTGCTTCTGTCTTCCACTTATTTGTCCAAGATCACTCTGCACCAGTAAGCGTCAGCTGTGTCTGCTAAAGTCTTGATAGACAGTTAGGATGGAAGGAGGGCTTTATACAAAGAACTTTCTGGTAACCCCTTGGATGTTTATCGTGCAAATTTTCCATGAGCAGAAACTTAAAGGTCCTGGTCTATATAACAATCTTCATTTGAAGCTAGATCTTACGCATGGACACCCTCGGGTCTCTAGAATGGGGCTTTTCCTTTTGAGGGGGGTATGAAAGGCATTATGAGACTCACCAGAGCACAGCTTATGGAAGAAGGAATTTCCTAGGGTGGCCATGGTGGGGAGGTCTTCAATTCGCTGGAGCTTCACTACGTTGGAGCTGGCCTTTGGACCTGCCAAGATTCTCAACTGGGCCTCGTCATATCCATCCCCAATTCCAACGGGGATCACTGTCACTCCTGGGGTCAGCAGAGGAACAAGAAAGGATCTGTGTCAACCTGCTTTGGTCAAGTGGGCCCAAAACTGGCTGACCTGCATCTATCCCCAGCACCTGTACAGAGCCTCTAGATTACTTAAAAATCTTTTTAAAATATTTTTACTTATTTCTAGGAGAGAGAGAGAGAGAGAGTGAGCAGGGGAGGGTCAGAGAGAGAGGGAAACACAGACTCTGAAATAGGCTCCAGGCTCTGAGCTGGCAGTCAGCACAGAGCCCGATGTGGGGCTCGAACCCATGAACTGCAAGATCATGACCTAAGTGAAAGTCAGATGCTTAACCGACTAAGCCACCCAGGCATCCCTCTTAAAATTTTTTAATGTTTTATTTATTTCTGAGAGAGAGAGAGAGAGAGAGAGAGAGAGAGAAAGAGAGCGAGAGCAGGGGAGGGTCAGAGAGAGAGGGAGATACAGAATCTGAAACCTGAGCCTCTAGATTTCAGCTCAGGTCATCATCTCATGGTTTGTGGGATCAAGCCCTATGTCAGCTCTGTGCTGACAGCGTGGAACCTGCTTGGGATTCTCTCTCTCTCTCTACTTCTCTCTCTCTCCTTCTCTCTCTCTCCTTCTCTCTCTCTCTCCTTCTCTCTCTCAAAATAAATAAAAAACTTAAAAAAAAAGAAATCTATTACAATAATTCAGATGGGACATAAGGGTGGCAGTGGTGGGTATGGTATGCGTGGCGGGATTCCCAATATATTTTGAAGACAGAGCATACTTTGTGGACGGACTGGACGGCAGTAAGAGAGAAAAAGAGGAATCATGGATGCTGAGGCTTTTGACCTGAGCAGTGGGAAGGACTGCCATTTTCTAAGACGGAAAAGACTGCAGAAGGAGGTTTGGATGTGAATTCGGTTTACGGTGAGTCTCTCATTAGAATGTGTGGGTGGGGTTGAGGCAAGAGATTCAGGCTGGGATAGGAATTTTGAAGCCAGTGGTGTATGAATGGATTTGGACATGATGCTGGATGAGACCACCCAGGGGGTGAGTGTAAGAAGAGAAGAGGAAATGTCACAGGCCTGAGCCTGGGGTACATGCGTGCCCATTAACAGATGAGAAACTGAGGCTCTGCACAGTTAAATGACTTGCCCTAGAGCATGTTTGTTTCCCCCAGACTGCAACTGCTTCCCTTCCAGATGAAATTCTGTCTTTAGATTCTTGATTCTAAAGAAGAAAAATCTCCATCCTGAAATTCCCCAATTCAGTTCTTCAGAAAGTTCTAGGTATTTGCAATTTGCTTAAGGTTAGAGCTGATTTTCTCCCAGCAACTTTTCAGTTCTTGTCAGCTCGTTGTATCATCCAAATGTATATCCTTTCCCTTTTGGGATCCTTTTCCTTAAAAGAATAACTTTCATAAACATGTCCCCTTCACTCACTCAACAAACATTAAATGCCCACCTATTTTGTGTATCATGCACATAAGACACAAAAGATGCTGCCCTTGTCTTCAAAGACCTCCAGTTTGTGCAAGAAACAGATATGTAACAAACAAATACAGTGTGATTTGCACATTTTGAGCTGTTCAGGATGTGGTACAGAAAAGGGAGTGAATAACTCTTAGGAAGACATCAGAGCAAAGACAACTCCCAAGCAGGGTTCTGAAGGATGAACAAGTCTCCAGGTGGCCATGGGAGGACTTAACATCACTCCAGTCACCCAGCCTTCCCTGGGCACGACGCCACCTGTCCTGGCTCACCTTCTGTTGCTCTTCACAGCCTAGGCTCTCATGCGGCACCAAGGCTGGGTCGTGACTGCATCTGTCCCTATCCTAAAACATCACCCTTCCTCGTCTGATTCAAAACCCCAAGCCCATTAGGCGGGTACTAGAATAGGGCTCAGCACATGTGAAGGACTGATGGTTCCCACCACCCCATAATGAGTCACTCTGGCCTCAGACAAGGTGACATGGTAAGGATGGGGACAGAGCAAGGACACCACACCACTTCAAAAAGGAAAGGTGTGGAGGTCTGATGCAGCCCCAGCCCTGGACACAAAGGGAAGCATTAAAGGTGATGGGGGAAAACATGCAGACAAATGAAGGACAAATGCATATTTATTAGTGTTTGGTTTCTAAGTAACACAGGGATGGGCCACTTCCTGCTGTTTGGAACCAGGCCACAGGTGGCTATTAAGCATTCACAACCATCAGGCTGTCCAAAAGCAATGCCCATCTGCCACTTTCAATCCTCTAGGAGGTCAGGAGAGTCTCAGGATCACACACTAAACTCTTACGATTGGATCTGGCGGCATTGGCTGCAGCGTCCACCAAATCCACGGAGACACCCATGACCAGAATGACCACCACCTTCGTGGCTTCAGGCCTGGCACCATGGACTTCTGAGGTGACATATCGCACAGCAAAACTCAAAGCTTCCCCTGAGAATAGAGAACAGTCCAAGTCAGTCCTCACCAGGAAATGCTGGGCATCCTGTCTCATGGCAGATCCTTAGGTCATCCAAACAGAAGGATTCAGAGACAGAGATACACACATGTGAGATCCAGAAGAGCATCAAGGCCCACACTTTACAGGGAAGGAAACTAGCCCAAGGAGCAAAGTGACTCGCCGAGGTCACTTAGTTACATATGCCAGGAATTAAGACCAGACGAAGCTCCTGTCTCCCCGCCCGCAGCTCCAGTTACCAATTTTGTTGGGGCCTCCCTCCTGCTGCATGAGGTCCACGAGGCTCAGCAAATGGACTTTCTCATAGGCCACATTCCACGGCACATCAACGGTGGTGATGTTTCCATACTGCAGCACCGACACCTTAGTGAGCTGAGGCCCTAATGGGAAAGAGGACATGAGAATCGCGCTCTGGACCAGGTGGAGCCCCCAGAAAGAGCTCCTTCCCAACCTGCTCCATCAGGGGCATCCCTCACCTATATTGGCTTTTGAAATGAAAGCCTTGGCGAAACTCTTCATTTCATCAAAAGAAGAAGCTGGCAAGCTGGAGGAGCCGTCCAGGAGGAGGACCACATCCAGGGGCTGGCTGCAGTCTGCAAAGACACCAAGAGGGTGGGCACCCAGGTGAGCACACCAGGCCCACTGCAACAGACACGGCATCCACGGGCACGGGGGATGCCACCCACTGTGCGGCACCATGAATGGGAGGGGGCCTCTACCGGTCCTGCATGATGGTAACATGGGCTGGGAAGGAGGGGAGGGAGCCCACGAGTGCCCCAGGTCTGGAGACATTGGGAAGACTCCAAATCCACCCAAAGGTAGTTTAAATGCCTATAGATGAGAGCAAGAGGCATCTGCTCCCTCAGTAAGTGGAGGCTGCAACTCTTCTAGAAGTGAGGAAAATATTGAAGAGTGACAGGGAGAGGGCTAAAGGAAATGGAGCGGCACCATGGGGCTGGAGGGCAACTTGTATGCTATAAGGATTCCAACTGTAAATGACAAGTGCACACAGTAATGTTTCGGCACAGAGTCATGATCACACCACAGAAACAACCTCTGGCCTGAAGGCCATTCCGAGATTTGATCAGATGATGCTATTACTGTTCTCCTCAGCAGAAATATCACAAGAATTTAAATGTGGCTCTGGTTAAAACAAAAATAAACAAAGGCACTTACAACAAGTGTGAGAATCAAGAGACATTAAAAGAAAGTTACTTATTCTGGTGTTAGTGTTTCATTCTCTTTGGGCAAATAAATAATAGTGGGATTACCGGATCATGTGGTAATTCTATTTTTAATCTTGTGAGTAACCTCCATACTAATTTCCTCCAATTTGCATTCCACCCACAGTGCATAGGGGTTCCTTTTTTCCCCACATCCTTGAAAAGATATCTGCGCCCCTATGTTCACTGCAGCATTATTTACAATAGCCAAGACATGGAAGCAACCCAAGCGTCCGTCCATAGACGAATGGATAAAGAAGATGTGGTGTATATACATACACACATACACATACACACAGTGGAATATTATTCAGCAATAAAAAAGAATGAAATAGTGACATTTGCAAGAACATGGATGAGCTAGAGGGTAGACCTAATGCTAAGTGAAATAAGTCAAAGAAAGACAAATACCCTTTGATTTTACTCATCTGTGGACTTCAAGAAACAAAACAAATGAACAAAGAAAAAAGAGGCAAACAAACAAAAACAAGAAACAAACAAAAACCACCAGACTTAAATACAGAGAAAAAAACTGGTGTTTACCAGAGAGGAGGTGGGTAGAGGATGGGTGAGACAGATAAAGGGGCTTAAGAGTACATTTATCATGATGAGCACTGAGAAATGGATAGAATTGTTGAATCATTATGTTCTACTCCTGAAACTAATATAACATTGTATGTTAATTATCCTTTAATTTAAAAAAACAATAAAGCTCTTTGGAAAAAAAAAAGAAATCAGTTATTCTGGGATGGTCCCCAACACACCAAGGGCCGTCTTGAACATTCCTGTGCTCAAGAACTAGGACCTGATTAGACATTAGTATCAGTTAAGAAGGCGGTAACAAGAGCAGCAGTGGCAACCAGTTTTTGAGCACTTGGCTACGTGCTGATTACTGTCCTAAGCATTTTACAAGTACTATTGTTATCCCCATTTTTTTTTCATGTATGAGGAGACATATACACCGAGGTGTTTGCTCAAAATTACCCAAAAAACATTACCAAAAATAAATTGCCCCAAATCACCAAGCTAGTAAGCGGCCGAGTTGAATTTCAAACCAAGGCAGTCTGGTTCCATAATCCGAGGACGAAACCCACCACCTGTTACCTAACTTCTGTCCTTGCCCCAAAGAACACCAGCTACTTAGAGTGATTTTATCCACCCAATGTGGTCAAAGCTGAGAGTCACCAAATTGAGCAGGTTATCTCCAGAGCAAGGAGTGGGATTAGGTGGGGATGAGGCTGTGGGATAAACCAAAACTTGTATTTTTTTTCTTTACTCTACATAGTTGGTATTCTTTATATTTTAACAATAGCCTTGTATAACCTTTGAATTTATAAGCACACTCAATAAGAAGAGATCCTTCCCCCAAAAGGACCGCAGGCGCATCTCCCTGGCTGGGAGGTGAGGAAACAAGGTACTCTAAAGGCAAAGGTTTGACTGAAAACACAGAGCAGGGAAGCAGGATTAGTACCCAAGAACTGCATCCCCACCAGCCCTCAGCAGCTCTCTACCAGGCCAGGAGCCTGCATACCTGGGGCGGGAGGGAGCATGGGGATCTGCCCCTCTCCAGAGCAGCACCTCTGCAGCACGAGATCAGGAGCCTCTCGGGGGAGCACATCAAAGTCCTTGATGAGTATGGGGGTATTGGGCCAGCTGAGCTCCTTCAGCTCCTGCACGTTGGCATGAGGGCCCACTCCAATGGGTACCACCTGGATATCTTCAGGCATCCGCTTAATCTCGTCAGAGGCAGGGTTTCCGGTGACCATGTAGACCAGGTTAGGTGCCTGCTCCCGGTCCCCCTGGCTGGCTGAGAAGCTGTGTTCGGACAGGTACTGCAAGGCCAGTCCAGTGTTGGTTCTGTTACCGCCCCGGTATCGGATCTCCCGCACCTGCTGCAGGACCTCACCCTTGGACTGGGCCTCCCTGAAGGTGTGTTCCACGGTCACCATGTACGAGTACTGCAGCACTGTGACGTGGATGCCACCCTGGCCCACGTCCATGCGCCGAATCACCTCCTCCATGAACTCCCTGCTCCTGTTGAAGTTGGCCTCACCAATTTTGTCAGACCCTTCCAGGACAAACGCCACGTCCAGAACCATGGAGTTCCTTCTGGGTCCTGGGGATGAAACCCCCAAGAGCTCTGGACCCATAGTGACTGGTGCCGCAGGGGGATGCTGGGGAGGGGCAGGTGCTTCAGGGGCAAGGTCACAGAGGTAGTTGATAATCTCATCCCTTCGCTGCTCCAGCTCATCCACACCACTGAGCACAAAGGCCTTGTTCTCGGGGGCCTGCTTCTCAATGTTCTGGATCTGCCTGAGGCTGGCGTGGGGCCCGATGCCCACAGGGATCACAGTGACTTTCTTCTTCTTCAGGCCCTGCACGTAGCGAACTAAATTTCGGGCCAGCCTCGGGGGCTCCTGGCTGGCCATCAGGAGCAGGGCAATGCGAGATGCTTCAGGGCGATCAATCTTGCTAAAGATCTGGAACAGCGTGTACTTCAAGACCTCGCTGGTGGAGGCCACCTCGCTGCCCGCATACTTCACCTGGCTGGCTATGCGCCGCAGCTCCGAGGGTCGCTTCCGGTCCTTGAGCTGGATGTAGGAGTGGGAGCCATCGTGGTACTCTACCACGGCCACACGGATCCGCTTCTGGGAGATGTGCAGACGCTCCATCATGCCCACCACAAAGCCCTTCAGCACTTCGAACTCGGCCTCAGACAGCTTGGAGGAGCCATCTAGCAGGAAAACCAGGTCCAGAAGCCTGCTGCAGTAGAAGTTGTGGAGGGGCGGCTCCGGGGTGGCCTCCACATATGGGGTGGTGGTTTGGACCGGGCCTTCCGTGGGGGGCACCACTAGGCCTCCAGGCTCCCTGCAGGCCTCACAGGTGAGGTTGACACCATCACAATGACTGCAGTAGAGAAAGAAAACCAGGAATGGTTCAGGAGAAACCTCTGGGCACTTCTCAGCCTGTTTAGAACCATCCCACGTATATTCCCATAGAGCTGCTTGCATGGCCTCCTCAAACTGAGCTCCCATGAATCACTCCCCACCTAAGTGACACAGCATTTTTTAACATATGTCCCCAAACAGCACCCCTATGCATGCAGCAATATGCCTCCCTTTATTCTAGAAGCCAAAGCTCTAATCTATTATAGCACCTGAGGAAGAACCTTTTTTGCTTCTAGGCTATCCACACTGCCATTCAAAGTTGATGTCTTTTCAACCTACATCTCTAGTAGTATAAATATTTAATTATAATCCAAGCTTTCTCCAAGTGTCTCCGAAGACAAATATTGCTCTAAAAGATTGACACTGACCAAGACTTGTAAAGATCCTATTGAAGAGAAATGCTTTACGGTATTTATTGTGACAATTTAAGCTGTATGAATTTTGTATAATAGGTTGGCCCTTAAGAAAAAGAGGGAAAAAAGTGGAGTAAAAATATTTTGGAAAGATGAATATAGATTCTAAATCCCAACTTTATTCCAGAACAAAGTTGGGAATGTCCAAGATGTTAGGGGAAAATATAGTGGCTTGTTCATTCATTCCTCCAATGGCCATGTGGTAAGCACCTGCCATGTGTAAGGGAGAAGTGAGGTACTACACCCAGCCCCAAGCTCATACCCCAAGTCTGTAGCAAAGCTCTTGCCCTCACACAAATTCCTGCACTACCAAATCAAGTTTCAAGACTCTTCTGGTCACTCCTCACCAATGTTCTAGAAATGGCAAGGTATACCAGACCACAAGTGAAATCAAGCTGCCCTGTGGTGGAGACCCATAGAGGTTGGTACCATCCACTATTTGTACTCTCTGCCTTTGAGGAAACTTGTCTTCAGCATCCCCAGGAGAGCTGAGAGGCAGAAGTGCCCTGAGCCCTGACAAGTCCCCTTTGGCTTGCCTCCCACACAATGTCCCCGGCTTGTTTTGGAATTACTGCCCACAGCTGTTTGAAGCCCCAGTGTGTACCCTGGTAGTTGCCCCTCCACATTGGACAGCAGAGGGAGGCCTGGAGAGGGCTCTAAGCTCTCATGCCTGTCTGGCTCAGAACCCCAGGTTGGTATCAGTTTCTTCCCCTTCTTCATTCCTTATGGTCTCCATTTCAGCATGGGGAAGGTGGGCGGCAGGATCTTACTGGAAAGTTAATTCTTACTTCCCCTGTGGTTCACGCGATTTATTGCTTCAATCCTTGGTTAACAATGCGTGAGTGACATACTCTTTAATTTCCTGTGTCTACTAGAAAATTAACCCTGAGCAGTGTTCCCCTTGTTTGTACAGATGGCGGTGGTGGGATCTAACTCTGGCAGCCCTTCCCCAGAAAATTTAAGTTCTCAGGTTCAAGTTCGCATAAGGCTCGATCAGTGTCAGGGCATGGAGTTAAAAACATTATCTGAATACATGTTCCCTACTTGGGAGTAGAGCTTCAGAAAGCTCAGAGCTCACCCTGAGGACTCCTCACCTCTCTAAAGGCCAGTTCCAAGAGGTAATCCAAGTGAGAGCCCAGGATGTAGTGATGAGTGTCTTCCCTCCCAATTACAAAAGCCATGTCCTGGGACCTTGGCTGGGGCTCCAAGGCATCTATGTCACACTGAGGGGTCAGGGCTCTGAGTAAATGGTAGGTACCTGTCCTTGGACTAGATGTGACCTCCAGAGACAGTAATGTGAGAAATAAGGGAGATGATTCATTTTCAGAAGTACCAAATAAAAGCTGTGCTGTCGAGTTAACAGTACGTTTACAACCTATTGGAAATATGTATGAACCTCCCACCACAATGGAGTCCCAAACTCTTAGACACTTCACTCCCTGGTTCTTCCCCTCTCCATTTCTCAGGCTTATTTTCCTGAGGTTTGCAATGAGCATGCAGCAAGGAACAGAGGGAGGAGGGACTGAAAGTCTCTGTGTCACCTCAGGGAATATACATTTGTTCCAGTCAGACTACTTTTTGCCTTACATGGACGTAGGAGACATCCAGGCAAGGCGGTAACCTCTGTAGTACTCAGCCAATGAAAAATCAGGGGAGGGACTTCCCACTAGGAGATAAATTGTCGCTGTAACTGCCCCAAGGGTGCCTGTCCAACAGGCACCTGCTCTTTCAAGAATGTTGATCTTGAGTGAGTTCAAGAACTCACTTCACTGTGCTCTGAGTCTCCGTATCCCCCCTTTAATTGGGTCAACAGGCTTATTTCTAACAGTAAGAGACTATATCCTTCCACCAGAGAGAAGAGACAAAAATACTTCAGTCTCTCAAGAAGTATTTTCTGGGGAAGTAATGTAGTCTGTCCTTAAAGAGAAAGAAGTAAACTCTAGAAATAAAACAAAGCAAGCACTCAACTTCTCAACTCACATAGCAAGTTCTTCCCCAAACCTGCATCTCTTAATAGGCCCCAGAGAACATCACTTCAAATACCAGGGGTTCTGTTTTACCAAATCTGGCAGTGCTCAGGGTCACTGGGGTTCAAGGTGATTTTCTTTCCCGAGGCCAAGCGACGACCAGCCACCTCACACACAGGACAGTCTTCGGGGTCGATGCAGGTCTGCAAAAGCTCATCGAGGATTTTCCCTGCATGACAAACCCCCCATTAGGTAGAAAATTCTCACCTTCTCCACAAGGAAGACTCGCTTTTAGCTAAAGGGGCCTTCCCAGAAGCCAGCTCTGCCCACCTCCCTCAAGGGCCACCTCACCACTTAGAAAGCAACTCTCCTTCTCTGAGCTTCAATGTATCCCTCTGCAAGACTAGGAGGGGGTATTCCTTTCCCCTAACTCACCACAACTCGAGCCTCAGAACGAATGAAATCTTATCTCCAAGGCTGTTTTCATTCCACCCAAGAATATATTTAATTACTCTAAATCCGTGCTATCCAATAAAGTGGCCAGTAACCACAGGCGACTAGTTAAATTTCAATACAAACTGACACTAAATAAAATTGAAACTTCACTTCCTCAGACACAGGAGCCACACTTCCACAGAACTTCCCCATCATTCTAGAAAGTTTTATCACAAATGCTCTCGATGGTAAGCCTGTAGATAGGCAGACATAAGCACAGTATAGGAGCTGAACTTAACAAAAGTCATCGCTGGCTTGGCTTGGATGAAAGGGCATCTAGAAGCAGAAACCAGAGTGGTAAGGATGGGGACAGGGCACCATGGGTGAGGTCGAGCACCACAAGGAAACACCTTTCCTGACAGCCCCACCCCGCCCCCCAGCCCTTCCCGACCCAGCAGCGGGTGCCTTACCAGGAGGGCAGTGTGCGTGGCAGCCTTCCACACACTCCACAGGGCACGCCAGTGGCTCAGGATGCTGGCATGTGATGGGACAGGCCGGGGCACAGCTGTTATAGCGCCACTCACACTCATACCCGTTCTCACGGAGATTCCTCTCCTCGCAGCTCTGGGCTGTGTAGACAGAACATGAGCAGGCACCATGTACCACCCAAGCAGATGGGATGGCACCAAAAGCCCCAAAGAGATAGTAGTGAGACTCTTGGTGGTGACGGCCCTCAGGGAGGTGATGATGCTGATGGGGAACTAAGCAGCATGGGAGTCACTAGTATTAGAGGTTGCCTGGGTTTTAAAGCACCTAAGCCAGGAACCTAATGGTTCTGAATCCGTTCTCCCATATAAAAACAATTGGCTGCTCCCACCAAAGGAAGACTCTCTATAAATAATGTATGCATTGATCACTCACACTGGCAAATATAATAGCATCTAATTAAAGATACTGAATTTAATTAAAATATTGACTTCCTTCTACTATCTATCACTGTTCTATATTCTCCCTCTTCTGGAATTTCTCTACATATTAATGTCTTTAATCACTATCCCCTGCCCCTCTTCACTCACACCAATGTCTTTTTTTTTTAATAGGTGTACAATTTTTTTTTTTTTTTACAAATAGTTTATTGTCAGGTTGGTTTCCATATAACACCCAGTGCTCATCCCCACAAGTGCCCTCCTCCATGCAATGTTTTTTTTTTTAAGTTTATTTATTTATTGGGGGGGGGAGGGGCAAAGAGAGAGAGGGAGATAGAAGCCCAAGAAAACTCCCTCACTGTCAGCGTAGAGCCCGGCGTGGGGCATGACCTGAGCTGAAATCAAGAGTCAGGTGCTCAACTGACTGAACCACCCAGGTGCCCCCATCAATGTTTTCACTCCTTCAACCCTCAGCCATCCACCCCCACGTGGGAACTCTGTGTTCTCTCCCACAAAGCAGTCCTCCCACATCCCACTTAGAGGTCTTAAAGTCCAGAACCATTAGGGGTGAGGCAGGTGTCTGAGATCACAAGGGACATCAGGACTCACGACACAATGTGGCTGTCCTCCAGGCCACCACCTTGCCATGCTGGGCACACACGTGGGCGTAGGCAGCAACAGTGTCACAGAAGCAGGCACAGTCCCCAATGGACTCACAGGAGCAAGTGTCGTAGATGCAAATGTCCAGGAATGGGTCAGGGTCCACCTGCAAGGGAACCTCAGGGTGGCCTAGGCCTGGGCAGAACTTGGGAACCCTGGCTCTTGGTCTGGGGGAGAATATTCTGGTGGTCAGAGAAGGGCAATGGGGGCTCCAGGGTAGAAGGGGAAATGCTGGTCAGTGGCCCCAGCAGGGAGTGGGTGTAAAGGCATAATAATTCCCAGGCCCTAATCTGGATTCCAACAAGAAAAGCTGACTAGAGGAGCACTGCTGGCATTTCACAGGATGTGATATGCCTTAGAATTTTTCAGAACATTCTCTTCTATCTCTTCTATCTCTTCCCACACCTTCTTAGCCAGCCAGCCATCCCCATAACCCACACTCAACCTCACAGGTGTTAGCTCTTCCTCCATAAACACAACCAGATATACATGCTGGCTGCCTTCTTCACTTGTCTCAGTTCAGCAAAACGAAGGAGGAAACGTATCAGGACTGCTCCATGCCTCACTGAGGTGCTATGGGGCTATTCTGCTGGACCATAAGACCGGTCTGGGCCCTCCGGACTCCGCCCCCCCATACTCCCCACTCACCACCCACATTCGATCTCAGTAACCCCTTCTCACCTTCCCTGCCCCTCACACGCTGCTGCACACACTGGCCTTTTCCACAGTAGTTGTGGTAGGAATGAATTCAGACATTAAGTGTGTCATTGTTTCCAAGACATTCCAATAATCCTGATCTGCCTGGCTGCCTCACTATCTTCCTTCCTCCGACCCAGATACCCAGGGTTTCCACCCAACCAGGCAACCCTAAGTGCTCTCCAGAGTATCCTCAGGGACTAAAAGTCACTGGATGGATGCAAGGAATGACTGGTTGAATACCAGTCACTCCCACATGGCTGTGTGCGTGCACATATACATATATACACGTGTGCCCACACAGACACCCACACACATGCATATACATTCATACAGAGACAGAGAAAACTAACTGAACTTTGGGGAACTGCCTGTCACCCTTTGAGATAAACACCCAAAATGAAGTCATAAAATGAAGGCTTGAAATCCCTACTGTATAAATCAGAAAAGAGTTTCTGTCAGACAAGAACCTGGAACGAAAGGGTTTTGTGAGGGCAGAGGCTGTTCAGGTCAGGCACACAGCAGAGACAGGAAGGTGAAATTCCTGGCTCTAGTGATGGAGACAAGGTAATGTGTGGGGGAATGTTGGGAGCCATTTCTGAACTCATAAGTTGAGAAAAAACTCCTTGTGAGGTTAAGGTAAGTTGCACGGACTTTTACTGTCAGATGGCGACCAATATCCACCCTCACCCAATTGTTTCTGCTTGAGCACCAACCCCCAAGACACCTTGTTGATTGGTATTAGGAGTGACTCATTCTGGCCTTGATATACTGATTGCACTTTGTGAAGGAACTTACTGTAGGAACTTCTTTTGTGGTTATGGGAGCAACACTGAAACATGAAAGACCTGTTTTTCTTAATACTTCCCATTAAGCGATACACAGGCTATTGACCCCTGCTCACAAAGAACTAACTTTTGCCTTTGCTATGCTAATGCCACCTCTGGGCTGTTCCCCATACCTTTTGCATATCAGTGTTCTGGAGAATCTTTACTGATCAAAGGATGTATCCTCAGAATGCCACTTCTGGGCTGTTCCCCATACACCTATGCATATGGATGTTCTGGAAAGTTTTTATGGATCAAAGGATTTATCCTCAGAATGCCACTTCTGTGCCATCTCCCAAACACTAAATCATAAAATAAAGTAGGGTCTCACACAGTGGGGAGAGGCCTGGCTGGTAACTAGAATGTCAGGGCTCTCTCATCCCTCCCTCGCCGACACCGCCCATCCTTCAGAGACCCCTGGACCTGCCTGGAGCTGGAGTCCGGCAGAGGAACAAGCTCTAACCCTGAAAGAGAAGCACCGTCAGATGCCCAGAAGAGCTCCACCTTGCGTGGAAGAAAAATGATTCGCCAGGCATTGCTCTCCCCAAACACTGTCCTTTATGCTTTCTGTTTCCCAGCCTGAAGCCGAGAAAGGGAGTAAAGAAGTGACTTGATAGAAACCAATGCAAAGCCTCCAAGGGGGTGTCCACACCACACTACAAGTGCCTGAGCCACTGTGCCAACCCTCAGCAGTCCTCTGCCTCTATTTACCCCACAGCCCTCACCAGCCTGTTGCAGTCCTGGAAAATATCACTGGTGAGGATCCTGCAGGAGGAATCCACCATCGTCTGCTTCATGATGTTGTTGTGACAGGTGGCAGGGGACAAGTCCAGTGGTACCTGGGGAACAGGGCAAGATGACACAGATGGACCAAAACACAGTCAGCCCAGAAGGATCCAAGAGACTCTCCTCTGGGGCCACGCCTCCACTGTAGTTCATACCACCCCACCCTCCACCCCGACCCTTCAACCCCCATAAAACTGATGGTAATGTTCCAGCAAGCATGTCTCTTGGGCTCGGTCCACACAGAGACCCCAGACATACCTTCCTGGTGTCGGCACACCGTGGGCTCACTTTCCAGGAATTCCCAAAGTCCACGGCATCTTCTTCCACTTGGAGGCTGCTGGTGGTGAAGTCATTGTTCTGGATACCATCAAAGTTTCCACATAGGCCACACACTTTCTCCTAACAGACAAAATGAGATCATGAGCACTGTAAACCTCAGAGCAAACTCTCTGACTCAGGGAGAGTTCCAGGCAGCAAAGAAGGCAGGCTCGTTAGAGAAAGGGGAGGCTGGGAGAGCGACAGGGAATAGAGACCCAGAAGCAGACCAGGGGAATCAGCAAAGCCTTGCCCTTGGAAGGTTCTTCCAAGGCTTCCTCATGTACCTCATCTTCAAGTTAAACAGAGGTCATTCACAGAGAGGCACCTGTTCATGTCTTACCGTCCACCAAGGGCAGAGGTGGAAATTGGGCAGGCTCAGTCCTGGCACCTCCAGTATAAACCACAACTCTCCCCAGCAACAGGCTGAGCAGAGAGAGGAGCTGGTTCAACAAGACATCAATGAGAGAGTCCAGGTCCAAAGACGGAACATTCTAGTCGTACTTTACTGTGGACAGTATAATGCGAGCCCATTATCTGGACAACTGCACCCTGTCCAGAACAGGCTGGCCAGGATTCTGCTGTATATCAAATGCCACCAGGGTTGACATAATATCAACTTTGTCTCTGGGTTCACCTTTTGTGTACAATATGCATGCGTGGACAGCTACAAGTCCTGAACAAGCAATTGCTGAATGAAAGGAAAGGATCACATAAAAACCATGTGAAGAACTAGAAATACCTGGGTTGGAAAAGAAAGTGTTATGCTCTTACAACATATTTAGAGCCCTGCCTGGAGATGTGACTTGCTCTCTTTTAATACGGAGAATTCGGTTTGGTACAAGGATGAACTTACTAGGAAACATGTAACAAGAATGTTCACAAAGTTGGACGCAAGGCCTAACAGCCCCCACAGTACAGCCCCTGCCCTTGTTAACTACCATTCACCCCAGTTCCTCTTCTCCAGCCACACTGGCCTCCTTGTTCAAACACCCCAAACACCACCCACTGAAGGGCCTTTGAACATGCTATTCCAACTGCTTAAATTCTCTTGTCCTAATATTTACATGGCTTACATCCTCCCTTCTCTGAAGACTTTGCTCATGTCACCTTTTCAGCAAGTCGCATCAGACCAACCAATCTAAAACAACAGCCCCACTAGAATGCGATCTCCACCAGGGTTGTGACAAGCAACACCGTGCCTCCTGCAAAGATGTCCTAATCCATACATGGCAAACGGAATTTTGCAGATGTGATTAGGTTGAGGATCTAGGGATGGGGAGGCTGTCCTGGACAATCTAAGTGAGTCTGGTATAACCACAGGGTCTTACAAGGGGCACAGGAGGAGACAGACAATGGTGAGCTGGCAGAAACTGAGAGATATTGGAAGATGCCGCACTATTTGTTTTAAAGACAGAGGATGGGGGGGGCACCTGGGTGGCTTAGTTGGTTAAGCGTCCGACTTTCGCTTAGGTCATGATCTCACGGTTTGTGAGTTCATGCCTCGCGTCGGGCTCTGTGTTGACTGCCAGCTCAGAGCCTGGAGCCTGTTTCAGAGACTGTGACTCCCTCTCTCTCTGACCCTCCCTGCTCATGCTGTCTCTCTCTCTCTCTCCTAGAAATAAATAAAACATAATAAATAAATAAATAAATAAATAAATAAATAAATAAAATAAAGACAGAGGATGGGACCATGAGCCAAGGAATGTGGGCAGGCTAGACAAGGCAAGGAAACAGATTCTCTCCTAAAGCCTCCAGGAGAAGGCAGCCTTTTATAGTTTTGACCTCCAGAACCTTAAGATAATAAATTTATGTTGCTGGGGTGCCTGGGTGTCTCAGTCGGTTGAGCATCTGACTTCTGCTCAGGTCGTGATCTCACAGTTCGTGGGTTCAAGCCCCAAATCAGGCTTTGCGTTGGCAGAGTGGAGCCTGCTTTGGATTCTCTGCCTCCCTTTCTTTCTGCTCCTCTCTCACTTGCACTCATGCTCATGCTATCTCTCTCTCTAAGTAAATAAACATTAAATTTAAAAATAAAATAAATTTATGTTGTTTAAATCACTAAGTTTTGTAATTTGTTTATAGCAGCAATAGGAAACTAAGACAATGGTTAAAACATATATACGTGTGTGTATACGTATATATATACACACACACATGTACATGTGGGTATAGATATGTACATACACATACACATATGCATATGCATATGTAATTTTTTCCCTGCTGTAGCTGCAATGCCTAGAAAAGGGCTTGACTCATTATAGAGCTTAGTAAGGATTTGTTGAATAAATGAATGGGTGAATTGTTACTGCGTTCCAGAAGTAGAGTGGGCACCACAGCAAGTAAGAGCAGTGCAGCCTCACTTCAGTACGGCCGAAAATGAACGGTGCTGTCAGAGATGCTACCGAGGCTAAAGCAGCCACCAGAGTAGACGGAGCACTTGTCCCACACTTGCCAGTTAGGAAAACAAAGTCCCAAAAAACCGTTGGAACGTGGACACGAATACTATAACTTTAACAAAACTAGGCTGTCAGCAGTTCTACAAATAGCTCTAAGAATGTGCTTGTCTATGGCTCAATGGGAAGCCAACACCCCAGAATGGTTCGCAGTGTTATACTAATACGACGCATGATCAGTTTGCCTCTTTAGGTTAAGAAACCTTAAGAAAAGCTATTGTCTGATCTTTCACTTCCTTCTTTTGGGGGTATAAACTGCATGTCTAGCAAGGCCAGTCACGGAATGGTTTGCTGGGTTGGGGGCCAGTCATAATCCTTCCTACATGCAGCTGGTTTCCGGAAACAGCCAAGGCTGACTCTACATCTTGAATCCATGGTCTTAATTGTGTGGGAAAGGAGGCCAGACCAGATGACCAGTGACTTTCCCCTGTGACAGTGGGCAGGGGAAGTGGGCTGCTGCTCAGAAAGCTGAAGAAGGTGCAAATAGCAAGTCCCAGACAAGATGAAGAGGAAGCAGAGAAGAGTCACTTACCTGGTATGTCTGCTTCAGAGCCACAGAGATGCTCAGGCGGTGGTCCCAGATCACAGACAGTGACTTGCCCAGGAGCAGAATGAGGTACTGACCAGACTCCACCACCTCAAAGTGAGTCTCATCCTTCATAGCCTTCTTCACATTCACCTGAGGGACAACAAAGCACAAGAAGAGGGCGAGTGAAGGGCAGGTATGAGGGACCAATTCCTCCCTCCACCCCACACCCCTGCCTGTCTCCAGAACCACAGTCATTTGCCCCACCTGGTCATAGCATGCCCCTGCAGGGCCCACACCCTGCCTGGATGTTTCTGTGTCGGTCTTTCCTATCACTGGCCAAGAATCCTATGACTACGGGATCACAGCAGAGATAGCAGCAAAATCATAATTATGAGATCAAAAATACAATGAAACCTACTAGTAGAAGATATCCATCATCTCACAAAAAGAATTTTTTGATACTTGATCATTAAACACACGAAGTCTCCTAAACAGGTTTTAACATGGCAATGATTTTAAACGTCTCTAGGCAATTCATTTAAAAATCTGTTTATATAAATGAGCACTAGACTCTTCCCTTTCCTTCCCCCATCTCCCACTCCCCAGAGTCCCTGTCAGCAGGAGTCAGAGCTGACAGAGAACAGGGAGACTGAGAAGCTCAGTGATGGTGGCAGGAATCATGGACTTCAGTTTCCAGAAGGACTCTAACATGAACCCTAGACTTGGCAGACTTGTTACCAGTGCCGAGCCCTCAGAGTCCATTTCAGCGTGCCATGCTGACTATCTAATTCATAAAACTGACGTTGCTGTTAAGCACCTGTCACCCTTTGCAAAGGCTCTCCCCTAGTGACATACACACGCAGAGCTGATCATCAGCGCACACCTCCTATTGAACATCACCATTGTCATCTGTCCTTTGAAACAGTTGACACTGCTAACCCACAGTCAATAATGGAGAACTCACCCTCCATCCCCTGATATCAGCGGTGCATGTTTGCAAGAAGTCAGGGATGTGGGCTGAGACCATGGAATATAGTGAAGACACCAGGAGAGGTTTGAGCCCTGGCCCTGGTCTCCCTAATATAAGACATTCAGACCAATGGAAGCAAAACTGCTGTCTCCAGGTGACCTGGCACTCCAGATGCAGATTCTGGGGTCCCACTCAGACCTGTGAGAATCTCAGGGTGGACCCCAAGATCAAGATCTTAAACCAGATGCTAGGTGGTTCTTCTGTACTCTTCTGAGAACCACTTCATAAACTCTTAGTATACAAGGACTGAATCTGTTCACTTCCCTTTTGAGCTCTTTTGAAAAGATTTTATCTGAAAAGAACTGAAAAACATAAAGTAAAAATCCCTAAAACATCATTACTTCTCAAAGTAAATGTTTAAATATGTATAAGTATAATATATCTATATATTTGTGTCTATATATATATATATTCTTATCTATATATACACATATATGAAAGGGAAAGGCCTCCTGCCCTCCAGTCTCTACCCCACTCTCCAGAAGTAAACACTGATTTTTCCTACCCTTTTGTGGATACAGTTATACATTTATGTCCACTCAAATCTCTGCACTTTACTAAAATTGGATCGTGTTATCCATAGTCATCTGCAAATCGTTCTTCTCATAGAATATATGGAGGTCAGATGATACAGCTCTAGCTCATGCTCACTGTACAGTATTCCATCGCACAAGTTCTAAACAGTGCTTGATACTCTTAAGTGTGTGAGGTGTGAGGGTGGAGGGGATGAGTCTGGCACTCACCTCCCCATCGAACAGTTCAATCTCGCCTTCTTCCACCAGGATGGTGACCCGCTTCTTGCATTTCACTGAGGGGTAGCTGCACCCCTCATTTGCCACCAGGATCCGGAAGGTCCCAGGGTTACCGCCACAGTAATCCTGGGGAAAGGGGGTGTCAGGAGAGAAATATTATCCCTGCTACCTCTCCCCAGATCAGAATATTGGCATCTCACCATCTCAGACCATTGAAGCTTATGTGTTAAAGGATGTTACCATGTCCATACATATGTAAGACAGAGAGGGAATGGAATTGAGAGAGAGGGAGAGAGAATGAAATTGAGGGGAAAAGGGACATGTGTGTCATCTTTAGCCATTACCTATGAGCCAGAGTCAGTGAGCACAAGGTAGAGAGGAAGGAAGAGGGGGAGATGGAGAAATGGCATGTGGTATGCTTTGCTGAACACATAAGCCTAAATACCCCTACCTAGAACCTGTCAGTGCTTAGCCTTACCCAGCTAACTAGGACAGTTTGACCACATGGCACTTTGTGGCTCTAAACTCTGGTCGAATCCCTCTGGACTGCCGGCCCAGAAATGTAACCAAAGGTCATTTGACACAGCTCCAAGGACACTAAGCTACTACCTCTGGCTGGGAATAGAGGATGACGGGTGCTGGTCCTTTCTGGCCAATGGCGTAGAAAATTAACAAAAAGGGGACACATTTCTAGCAAATACCTCCCCATGGTGGCTTTTGCCGTGGTGGTCGGAGGGGGGAAAAAGACAGAAAAACTAAGTGTGAGCCTTGCTTCTGCCAATTATTGGATACACGGAACAAGTCACTTACTCTCTGACACCCCACGTGCACACACAGACGCATGCACACATATGGTCGGCCCCTCTAAAACACAGGATCAGCCAAGTTAGTGGGGCTGTTAGGTGAAATGGGTCTGTGCTGAGTCAATGGGACGGTGAAGGACAAAAGAAAGAACAAAGGTACAGGTGTCTTGTAAATGGTTCTTGTCACCAGCTGAGATTTTGCTAAAAAAAGAGTTAAGTCTTGATGATACCTCCCAAAGGAAGAGGGGAGAAAGGAGAGGATCCAGGACAAAGTATCAGAAGAAGACAACAGAACTGGCTGTGAAGGAAAACAAATGCCCCACAAAGGGGGACAATTTGAAAGGGACACTGACGGGCCCATTTGGGAGAGCTCTGCCTGGGCAGAGAAAGCCGGGGAGCTGTGATCTGACCAGCTGCTTCTCATTGCACGGATCACTCTAGCCGTGTTTTCTGGATGTGCACATTTGATGCTGGCTGGGTGGTTGAACCCCAGAGCTGGTGCCACCTCATCTTTTGCTACCATGGTTGGGAGGCAGATAATCCAAAGACGGGCCGCCATATGTGATCTGCAGGAAAGCTCTGGGGTGTGGGGATACACCCCAGGTTCCTAAGTGTCAGTAAGCCCGTGTCATCATGCATATGCCCTGTCTGTCTTCCCAGCACGCTGCATGCCTCTCTGGGGCCAGACTGGGACATGGCTCCAGTAGGAGCCACAGCTCACTCCCAGCATGCTCTGTGCACAGCCACTCAGTGCTGCTGCTGGTTCTGCTCCACTCCCAGCATGCTCTGCAGGCACCCTCACTGCCTGGCTCGCGGGGCCCTACAGCTCTGTCTCTGGGGCTGAGGCTCCTATGAGTTGGTGATCCTCCCTCTAGACCAGGCCAAGTCTCTACTCCTCCTCCGGAGAATGGAGACAGTGAGACCACATTTGTTTAAAGCCTCACAGAGTTAAGCTGTGTCATCCTTCATGAGAAAAGCACTCAGATTAGCTTTTCTTTCATCCTTCATGAGAATTAGCACTCAGGACTAGCACTCAGTCCTAGGATTTCCTAGGACGCCCCTTCTGAATTGCACTAGGTTAGAAATAGAAATGGTAGAGACGGCAATGGGATCATAGGGTAGGGAGCCAACGTCAAGGATCATTCCACCCATCCCCCTGTCCTGGGCTGCTCACCAGGGCACCAGCAGGGAGGGTGAGGGGGGCTCAATCCAGCCTGGGATGTAGCCCTCCCCTCTGCGCATCCTGATTGAGGCTGCGTCTGCCAAAAGGAACAGATGCATTTTTCTAATTCCGTTTTGGTCCCGACATGGGCTGGTGGCAGCCTTGCCCTCACCCCATTCCCAGTCAACAAACGAGCTCCTGCCCTACTCTTGTAAGTCTCCATGTAAGCTGAAGGAAGATGGACCATGGCTTTGAGTTTCAGGCACCTCTTTCAGGGGCTGGAAAATTGCTCCAGTAGAAACCAGTCCCAGAGCTGTTTCTACAGACAGAACAGCAACATCTGATCTGGTCATCCCCAAAGGGCAGTCAGCGCCTCCCAGCCCCTCCAAGGGACAGACAGCAGGCCCGCCCTCCCTCGCTCTCACCTGCACCAGAACGTACTGGCACTCTCCAGGGAACAGATATTTGAGCCCGTCGAAGGTGAGGTAGTGTGCCATGCCAATGGCGGAGCACGTGGCATCACATACATGATCCGTGCAGTTCCACTTCCGGTCCCGACAGACACTAGGAAGAGTAACAGACAGGATGACCAGCTGGGTACTGTGGTGTGAGGGGCCCTTCTGGGCCCTGGGGAACAAGAGACAGTGAAGAAATGCAGATCACTTTGGGGTGCCACCCAACCCTCCAGGAAGCTTCTAGAAGTGGAGGACCAGCTACCTATGGGGAGGGGATGGGGAAAGGCAGTTTGGAGTTATACACTGTCACATTTCTTTTATGTCAGCTTCATGCCCAATGTGGGGCTTGAACTCACAACCCCAGGATCAAGAGTCACATGCTTTTCTAACTGAGCCAGCCAGGCACCCCATAAACTGTCACATTTTTAGAGCACAGGGCCAAGGGGGAGAGAGGGAAGGCCATCCTGTTTTCCTGCTTCAAGGGGGAACGTGAGGCAAAGAAGGAAATAGGTCATCCAAGGTGATCAGGCAGCCAGGGAAGAAGCCCAGGTCTTCTGTAGACCACCTGCTATGGGTCTGCTGAAGTCCAGCCTCCCTGCAAGATGCCTGAGAGGGGCCATAGGGTCTCTACAGAACAGAGACACTGAGGTTGAGGGCCCTCTGACGCTAATGGGGAGAACAAGACACAACAGCAGGAAAGTTTGGAGGTGGGAAAATAGTGATCAACCATGAACTTCTGCCAGGAGAGGTTCCGTGTGTACAGAGCTATGCTTAAATCTATAGTGATTTGCGCACGACCACAACACCCCATCCCCCCACCACCCTGTAACCAGAGCTCACATCAGGGAGCCCATTCTGTGCGTCAGAGGTGGTAAGCTCAGACCTCAGGCCCCAGAAACAGCTAAGAACCTTCTGGGTCCCGGCCCTTCCTGTCTCTGTTCTCGGGGGCCTTCCCCTAAAGTTGTGCAGAGCCCAGATGTCACACGCAGGGTGAGTGAGCAGAGCAAAGGGCTAGTGAAGGACGGGCATGGAGAAGGAAGAAGACCCAGCCATTCCAAGCAAACTTGCAGAATGCTTAGGGGGGGCAGTATAAGGCCAGAGAAGGACCCTCCAAAGCCCATGCCTTTTGGCACCTTGGTCACACATGCCATGGACAAAGTCATGGGCCAAATTCCTTCGTGGAAACACTACTCTCCAGGAGAGTGTCTATGCAGGGTGAGCACAGGAGAGGCTAAAGATTCTCCCCCACTTTATAGTTGGAGAAACAGAGACACAGAGAAAAGGAAAACAACAGCCATGTTCCCACAGGGTGCCGGAGGCAAGTATCAGAGTCCTGTGGTCATGTTGGCCACTATGTCCCCAACCCCGCTCACCCCACCCCAAAGGCTCAAGCCGCAAGAAAGCCTCTCCCAGGTTCTCACCAAATGTTGCAGTCAATTTTCACCATTTCTCCTGGGGCGTATTCTCTGCCTTGATGGAAGCAGGGACACCTTTCCAGGGCCACACATCTGTTTTCATGCCGGACCTGAGGGACAGGAATCCAAACGTCTTAGGGGCCATAATGGGTAATGTAAAGCCCCGCCAGGAAGATGGCTTTGGCCACAGCCAGTCCAGAGAACTTATGCCCAGGCTCGGTCTTGGCAAACATGGACCCCCATCCACACTAAGCCCCCCGAGCTCAGCTGGACACACTCCAGCCACCCTCTGCCCTCACACCCTGCTGGGACCGTGGCAAAGACTCTTTAGTAACATGTGGCAGAAGCCCTTGGACATGCATCTCCTTAGGCCCAGAAACTCCACACAGAGGAGTTCCTCAAAGGTAACAGACTTAGGGACAAAGGTTAATAGAGAATCATTTATCGTTGCAAAAAATGGCAACAACCAAGTGTTCAACAATAGGAAAATGATTAACTCCATTAAGGTATCCCCAGATAATGGTATCCTTTGCAGCTATTAAAATGGCCCTTTGGGGGCATGTACCCCAGTGTTCATAGCAGCAATTTCAACAATAGCCAAATCATGGAAAGAGCCTAAGTGTCCATCAACGGACGAATGGATTAAGAAGATGTGGTTTATCTATACAATGGAATACTACATGGCAATGAGAAAGAATGAAATCTGGTCATGTGTAGCAATGTGGATGGAACTTGAGGGTGTTATGCTGAGCAAAATAAGTCAGGCAGAGGACAGATACCATATGTTTGCATGTATGGGGGCTTAGGAGGAACTTAACCAAGGACCATGGGGGAGAAGAAGGGGAAAAATAGTTGGTGAGAGGGAGGGAGGAAAACCCTGAGAGACTCTTGAATGCCGAGAACAAACTGAGGGCTGATGGGGGGGAGGGGAAGGGGGTGATGGGCATGGGGGAGGCCACTTGTTGGGATGAGCACTGGGTGTTATATGGAAACCAACTTGACAATAAACTATTTAAGAAAAAAATTTAAAAAAAAACTTCAGCCAAAAAAAAAATGGCCCTTTGGAAAACTCTTAAATAATATGAGAAATACTGACACTGCTAATTTTTAAAACAGGGAAAGACTGTATATACATACTGTCCCAATTATAAAACCACAAACATACACACACACATGCACACACACACGCACACACGCTATACATAATATGTATATACAATCTCCGAAAAATGTCAAAAAAAGACTAGAAGGAAATACAGAAGTTCCATCTAGATAGAAGCCTGAGACAGAGATATAGGGGATTTTTATTTTCTGTTTTGGTCAAAAATTTTTTTTCCAAATGTTCATCAAGAAGCATGTATTATGTTCACAGTGGAAAAGATGGAAAACATATTTAATAAAACTTAAATGCGCTTAATCCCCTGGAGGTGAAGGCCGCATACTGGCCACAGGTGGGGATAGACCAAAGCCAGAGTCTGGGGGCGTGTTCAAGCCCCACATACCTGCCCCTCACCCAGTCCCCTGAGATTCTGCTGCACCGTCCATGGGCATATGCTCTGTTCCTCTGTCCTCCACCCAGGAAGAAAGTACTCTGTGAGCATGTTGTACTCCTCAGGACTGTAGGGGTCGGAGGAAAGAAAGAACTAAGACCCACTGGCCCCAGTGGGCTCAGGAGGAGCGCTGCTAACCTACTCTGACCCCAGCACGTAGATACACTCTGTCCCAGCCCTGTGAGGGAGCCCTGGACATCTGCTCTGGCGTGGGCTATGGGTGATCTAAAAGAGCCCTGGGTGCAGGGACCACAGCACCTTGGTTCCAAGTCTACCTAAGGGGTGAGAAGTTCCATGGCTCAGGATCCATGCATTCCAGTCACTCCCCGGAGAAGCCTGAGTTCCCAGGGCTTGGAACTGGACAAAGCCCTGGGAATGGGGCAGTCTTGGCCTAAACAAGAGCTTTCATGTCAGCAACTATAGGCTAAAGTAGAGTGTGTGTGTGTGTGTGTGTGTGTGTGTGTGTGTGTGATCGAAAGAAGAACTTCCAGTTAACTACCAACTTCATCCAACACCAGGTCCTCAATACATAAGTGAAGGGGGAGGCAGGAGCACAGAGAATGAGGAAGAGGGGACAGCCAGGCCCTGTCATTGGAAGACACGGAGCTTCAGCACCAATAGGAAAGATGCCAGCTTGGTAGGATCGGGGCGGGGGGGGGGGTGACAAATGTCTCTCTGCCACAGTCTTCAGAAACAGTCACAGTTAGGGTTCATTTCCACATTCCCCTCTGCAAGCGTCATCAGTTCATCAGTTCTTTCTGAAAAAAATTTTTTTAATGTTTTATTTCTGAGAGAGAGAGAGAGAGAGAGCGTGAGCAGGGGAGGGTCAGAGAGGGAGACAGAATCTGAAGCAGCCTCCAGGCTCTGAGCTAGCCGTCAGCACAGAGCCCAGCGCAGGGCTAGAAACCCACAAACCGTGAGATCATGACCTGAGCCGAAGTCGGACGCTTAACCAACTGAGCCACTCAGACGTCCCTCATCAGTTCTAACTTAAGTCCAAAGCCTGCCACCTAATGGCTACTCTAAGAGAGACCAACACGTCTGCTGGGGAAGCTCGCCGTGCTCTCAACACCCACACCTACAGCTGATGGAGACCAGACAGTAAGTCTCCTTACTGGAAACGTAATGTGAGACAAAAGTGTTGAGGATGTTCAGGGACTGATTCCAGGAAGCAGAGCTCTGCTCACCCCACCACACCTCAGCAGAATGTGCACTGCCCCTTCGCCTTTGAGCAGGCTGGCTGGAGGGCTCCCCTGCCTCTTGGTCTGCATGCTGGATGTTTCTATTTCTCTCCAGGATTTCAGCCCATTGACAGAGTCCTGCACCTCCGTGGCTGAGGTAGCTCCTCCCCTGGCCCAGGGGTGAGTCCCAGCCCTCCACCAATGGATGTAAACTCAAATCCCAGCTTGGTCCTAAGTCAAAGCCATGGCTGCCCCTTCCTCCTTCTGCACTTTCACTGAAAAGCCATATGGCTCCTCTCCACCCTGACTTACTGATGGATTACAGGATTAAAATAAGACCTTCATACGGGATGAGGACTGCCATAAGGACAACAGGGTATGGGGTTAGATCCATAAGTCACAGCTGGAGAGAGGACAAAGCATAACCTTAAAAGAAAAGGAGAGGGCTCTCAGGTCACACCTCAGGACTGGCTCCAACTTGGGAGAGAAGATCAAAAACACCAGCCCAGCCCAAAACACCTGGAGAGCCCTAAAGCGTTAAAAAAAAATCCTCAGGGGTGCTGGGTGGCTCTGTCGATTGAGCACCCAACTTTAGCTCAGGTCACAATCTCACAGTTTGTGGGTTCGAGTCCCTGATCAGGCTCTGTGCTGACAGCTCAGAGCCTGGAGCCTCGGATTCTGTGTCTCCCTCTCTCTCTCTGCCCCACCCCTGCTCACCTCTGTCTCTCAAAAATGAATATACATTTAAAAAATTTGTTTTAATTAAGAGACACATCTCTGCCTAGTGTTTGTCCCTCTGGGACACCAGAAGGGAAACAAGATAAAATTGGCAATGCCCTTCCAAGACTTCAAGAGCAAACAAGCAGAAATCACTGTCACTATCCATCAACTTGGGACATCCTGAGTAAGAATGGCTCATGCCAAGAACATGGTACTAGATCTTGGTCAGCCCCCCAAAAAATTATGAAGTGGAAAAAAATTGATTTTGTCACTCTTCTCTGAAATGGCCCCATCTTCCCAGACCCAACACCCATACATGAACACCATACCGACCCATTCTCCAAAATCTTTTTCTGCCTTCCAACTACCTCTTTTTTCTTCTCCCAACCCCATTAATATCTCCAGATCAGTGCAGCTGATTTCAACTAGATGTTTGGCTAGGAGGAAAGAATCTGATTAAATAATTCATACTAAGGTGTGAATGGCTTCCTATGAAGATTTATAAGGCCATATGCTTTCCTAAAACTCGTACTTGTTAACCAGAATGAATTCATGCTCATCATACTTCAGTAAGCTTCATTAGGTGACAAATCACATAGGGGTAGGAGATATTTTTGAGACAGAATGGCTTTCTTGGGCCTTTTAAGATGACATCTCATAGGATTTACAGTGCCCACATAGAAGGCTCACCCTGAACGGGCCCCAGAGCCCAAGCTCTACATCTCAAAAAGCAATACCAGAGTCTTTTTAGTCTTTTTATTGGGCCAGTGACAAAACCAGGCATCAAAGGACCAGGGAAATGAACGTGATTCCCAGCTGCCAAGAGGTTTCCTAGTGGCAGAATTAAGTACCAGCTTGGAAAGTATAACTAGGAGATTTCATAGGATAAGTGAGCATCTCCCAAACAGGTGCGCCAACCTTTCTTTCCAGGAGCACCTCGCGGGAGGGAGGCAAGTAGGGCTGAAGGAGCCCAGTCCAGGACTCAGAAGACGAGGATTTCCACTGTGTAACTATGCTTAACCGACTGAGCCACCCAGAGCCCCTCCACTGTATAACTATGTAGCCTTGAACGGTTCCTATCTTTTTTCAGACTCCTGTGTGATCCAGGGGTTCCTCCTCTACCACCGGATGATGCGGGGTGGAATGAGGGAGCTGGGCAGTGGGTTGTGCTCTGCTGCCACCTTGTGGTGACAGTGGGTAACATTCTCACAAAGGCAAGAAATTCACTCCAGAATTTCTGAACTAAAAAAAAAGAGACGGGAATTTTTCTAGTGCAACATCCTTATTTACTAATCTAGTGGGGCTCTGGATGTGACTACAGAGGTCTTAGAATTGCTCCCAGTGTGTTCTAATTTTCTATAGCATGTCTGTTCATAACAGGATTCACGGTTTTCCTCCACGAACATTTTATAACAGTAGTCATTAAACTACCACTTACTAAGCAACTTCCATGCCCTGTCACTGTCACCCCCAGTCCTCCCAACAGCCCTTCTAACCCAGTTTTTCAGCTAAGTAAGTCTCAGGAGCCAGCATTCACATCTGAAAGTATGGGACTCCAATCCAATGCCTCTTCCATACCATTTACCAGGGCGTTGACCATTTATCAAAAGCACCTCCCACTTTGTTCCATGCAAGGAGACATTTGTACCAGTGGCAGCACTGGTAAAATGGCCCAGAAAACCTGGCTCTAAGCAGGTGCCAAGGCTGAAACAATCTACAAAGAGGGGAACTCTCAACCTGTTCCCAACATTTTCAGACGGTTGGTGCTGGCCTTACAGTGGATGCCGAGATGCCCTGTAAGGAGAGAGGCAATCTTCAACCCAGAGTGGTGCTGCTCAAAGCATGGTCCGCTGGCCAGTGCCAGTCTGTGATGATGCAAGCACACAAACTCGGTAGGTGTTCAGAAAATCGTACAACAATTGAGCAATACATCACATCTGTGGAATCTAATAAAGATGGGGGGCTCATATTTTGCATCTCATTACTTTTTGTTTCTTTTTTCTGATCATTCTTTCCTATTTACAAAAGATTTGGTTCAGAACAGATGGAAATTTTAAGAAACCAGGCCCTTCAGAGGTGCCTGGGTGGCTCAGTCGGTTAAGTGTCCGACTTCGGCTCAGGTCATGATCTCACGGTTCATGAGTTCGAGCCCCGCTTCAGATTCTGTGTCTCCCTCTTTCTCTCTCTGCCCCTTCCCTGCTCATGCTCTGTCTTTCTCTGTCTCTCAAAAATAAATTAAAATGTTTAAAAAAGAAAAAAAAAAAGAAAACAGGTCCTTCATGGATGTCTCCTGTGGACAGGAGGAGGTGAGCAGAACCTCTGAGACTGAGCCTCAGTTATTTCCAAAAAGAATTAAAGCTACCCCTACAATTCTGTAGCACTTTCACCTATAAGCCCTTTGGGCCTGCAGCCAATGTGTGATGAAGGCAAATAGGAATTATGTGTCCTTGTCACAGATGAGGCAACCGAGGGTCAAAGAAAGAATGAACGCTCACCCAAGGGCAAGTGAAGCCTGAACAGAGGGCTCTACCCTCTGCTTTGTTCCTACTCGGGTGCTCTTTCTACTCTCACAGATCTGCCCCCAACAAAGAGCTACTTCCTCACCCCACCCCCACGCCCCTGCCCTGTTTCAAGTCCCCAGAATGTAGAATCCCCAACCTCTTCCCCCAAACCCTCAGTCACACACCACATCCTCACCATCTCCCACAGGGGATAGGCCACACAGAGAAACACCCCTGGGTAGGATGTCTACACTGTCCGCACACGGGCCCAAACAGGGTGTTTCCAGCTCCTTTGTCTTTGCGTTGAAGCCAGGAACACGTGTCCCGGGCAGCAGCCAGCACACTGTGCACTTCATAAATCACAGACTTTGCTGCTCTGCAGAATCTGGCCTCAACGATTTGCACCTTAGTCGGCATCATAATGAAGCAGTTGTGAAAATAACCCAATCTCTTACACTCTGAGCTTTTGAGTTTAGAATCCTTTGTGGTTGACGTTAGAGTCACCTCCTTATGTGACAGATATCCAAAGACTGTCCTCAGAGCACATGCCAGAGGCTTCTGGAATGCCACCAAGCTCCTGACCATGTGTCCACATCCTGAACTTGAGGTCTTGCTCTCCACTGGGGATCTGGGACCATAACGCAAGTACTGTGCTTATTAACTCAGATGATCTGTACTGTTTTCATTGAAAAAAACCAAAAGGTTCATATAAAAGTGCCTCTGATGCTGACATAGTCTCTTGAGTGATGCCAGAGCCTTCCTGGATGTCTGGATAATTTCCTCTCCAGGTACAGTGAAGGGACAGTCAAAATGAGAATCCTTCAGGGTAAAAAGAGCAATTCAGAAGCTTCCTCTCCCCTGGCCTATTTTTCATCCCTACCCAGCTCTAAGTTTCCCCTCCTTGAATAACCACCTTCTGCAAAGGCACCAAACAAGACCATCCAAGTTGGGGGTGCTCACCGGCCAGTCTCTAGCTCCCCCATAGAAAAGACAGTTCAGAATCATCAGAGGCTAAGGCAAAGGGGAACACCCAGGGGGGAGTGAACAGCTAGTCCCTCTGTCTTGGAGGAGGGCTGGAGGGAAAGGAGACAAATTATCTCCCCTGCACACACCCCAGTGCACAGCCTTCCTGTGGGCTACCAATGATGGGTTGTTGCCTCTACAGAACATTGGCATCTCCCATGGCCCAGGACCCTGACCTTCAAGCCAAGTCCTGGGCATCACTGAGGCCGTTTACAGCTATATAAGAGCCAGCCTGCCCCCTTCCCACTTTGGCTTCCACAGCTCCTGCCCCAGCCACACACTGCTTGCTTTGGGTAAGGGGAACTAGAGTCAGGGAAAGGAAGAAGACCTGATGCTTTTGAAAGAGAGGAACCCAGAGGTTGCTTCTTTCAGGGTGACAAGAACATAGGCCTACAGCATTCTCTCCTTATCCACAAGGATGTAGCCCAAGACCCCCAGGGGATGCTTAAGGTCACAGATAGTGCCGAGCCCCATATATACTGTTTTTTCCCTATACACCCATACCTAAACCAGGCACAGTAAGAGATTAAGACAATAAATAGAAACAATTATAACAATACACTGTAATGAAAGCTCTATGAATGTGGTCTCTGTGAATATCTTACTGTATTCTGCTCGCTTACCCTTCTACCTGTGATGACGTGAGATGATAAAATGCCTACAGAATGAGATGGAGGGAAGTGAATGACACAGGCATCGAGACAAAGCATGAGGCTGATGTTGACCTTGTGTCGGGATGTCAGAAGGAAGAGCATCTGCTTCTGGACCACAGTTGACTGTAAGTAACTGAGACCTTGGAAAATGAAACCGCGGATGGGGGACTACTATAATATGTTTATACTACACCGGCTGACAGCCAGACTTGGGAGAGAGGTAAGGAGCTTGGGCAGGCTCACACTACTGCCGCCAGCAGAAGTCTAGAGCCAGGTGGTTGCAAACCAGCATGGCTTGGACTCTGCAAGGCATCCAAGGAAGCACCAGCCGCAGGCTGTGTGTTTGAAGCCCCAGCCCCGGAATCATGGAATCTCAAGAGCTGGCCAAGACCTCGTGACCCACTTTACAGATGAGGGAAACAAGTCTCGGTGAGGGGAAGGGAGTTGGGCTGGTCCTTGCTGCTGAAGGACATCATCTCTCGCAATGGAAAGTTATATCTATATATGCAAAATACATGCAAATACATGTGTGCCCTCTCCTCTGAATAAGTAAATGCAGCCCTTGGGAAAATTCCAGGGGAAATGCCTGTTTTCACTTGTAAGTACTTTCTGGAAATACTTGCTTTGCTTCCTCTGGCACCTCTGCATCCTAAGTTCCTGTGTTTTTGTCAGATTCATCAGGATGGACTCCAGATGCTTTCCCACCATCTCTCTTCCCGACTTTGGTGGCTGAGTCAGCCACAGAAGACTCTCCCCCACCTCTGCCCCCATCACCGCTTCTGCGCCCATTACCATTCTTGTTTGGCTCCTGTTTCTTCCTTCTCTGCCCCAGAGCCACCTCATGTGTGCCCGTCTGCAGGGAAATGCCAGGTTTCCCACCTCTGGGGCCGTGGTGGCTTACCATGCCTGGGGGACAGAGGCAGCCGGACACACAGCCCGTGCTCATGCACTGCAGGTCATAGTTCTGGCAGGTCTTGGCACACTCGAGCCCTTCAGCCCTTGGGTTGTCAGCAGGGCACACCAGCTTGACCATGGGGGGCCGACAAGACAGGCTCCTTTTGCCTTGGAGGGAAAAACAAAACAAAACAAAACAAAAAAACCAAAGAGGTGACTCGTGAAGGATGGATCTACCTTCCACACGGTCCTTGCTGCCTCCAGGTGCAGCCACTCACTTCCAGAGACCCAACTGTGCCCTCCCTGGGATGACCTGACCTCCAGCAGGTCTAGCCCTGAGCCAGGTTCCCCGGTGGGACTAGATGGCCACATCTACTCATCTGAGCCCCTGACCTTTGCCTATATTGAAGGCACCTCTTTGGCTCTCCACCTGCCTGTGACAGCCCACATTCTTCATCCCCCTTGAACCTGCCATAGCAGATGGCATCAAATCAGAATGCACTGCAGAAATGTCCAGACCTAGGCTTTATAAGACCAGTGTTTGGGTGCTAAAAAATAACCTCTGTGGGCCCCAAGTGGACCATTCCTAAAATGGGCAAGTTAATTTAGTCACAAAAACCTTAAGGGAGGATTTCTAAGTCATTTTCTGCCTCGCCACTGGCCGCCTCAGCCACTCTATTTAAATCTGCCACGCTCTGTCCCTCGATACTCCTGGCCCTGCCTGCTTTGACAGCCTCCACCTTATCGCCTCCAATACCAAACTCTGATACACTGTCTGTTTTACTTATTTGTTGACTGCCTACCTCCCCCCATGAGAATACTAGAATATATGTTCCATGGAAGCAGGGGTTGTGTCTCCTTTGATCAGGATGTATCATATTTCCTGACACTTGGGGGCTATCAATGGCCGATTGAATAAATGAGAACAGCAGATGATTAATACAGCACTTTTCTTTCAAAAACCCAGATGCATTTCACAGCATTTCTATCTTATTGCATAGAGCACTTACTATCTCCTGTGAACAGGTTTCAGCCTTACTTTTTTTTTTAATGTTTATTTTTGAGAGAGAGAAAGACAGAGCATGAGCTGGGCAAGGGCAGAGAGAGGGAGACACAGAATCCAAAGCAGGATCCAGGCTCTGAGCTGTCAGCGCAGAGCCCGATGTGGGGCATGAACCTATGAACAGTGAGATCGTGACCTGAGCCAGTCAGAGGCTTAACCAACTGAGCCACCCTGGCGCCCCTCCTCCCAGCCTTATTTTCATACAGAAACTTTTGTTAGGAAACTGAAAACCTAAAAGGTTAAATGGCTCTTCCAAACCATACAAAATTCTAGGAGCTTCCTGGCTTCACAAAAGATGACCCCTTCCAGGGACTATCAGCTAGAAAAGAGCCAAGAGAGGGTGAAGATGTGAGCAACCACCAAAGAGAGGGGGAGACAGACGTATTGACCCTGAAGTCTGCTACAGACTGAAGGTGCCCTGTCAAATTCATGTATTGACCCCAAAGGTAGTGGTGACAGGAAATGAGCCCTTTGGGAAGTGATGAGTACATGAGGGTAGAGCTCTCACGAATCGGATTTGTGCCCTGATGAAGACAGTCCATGGAGCTCCCAGCCGTTCTCACCCTGTGAGAACACAGGAGAAGTCTGCAACCTTCACCTGACCTTGCTGGCACCCTAATCTTGGACTTCCAGCCTCCATGTATAAATACATCTCTATATTTCTCACAGTTAAGCCACCTAGTCTGTGGTATTTTGTTATAGCAGCCTAAACAGGTCACAAGTTGTGATTTCAACTTGTGATCCACTCACATGCTCAGGATCTTGTCCCAGCTCAAGGCTGAGAGATGTTCTCCCAATCAGTCACACAGGTAGCCTGACTTCTCACCAGCACAAACTGGAAAACCAATTCATGGCCCACATCTGGGTCACTTGGAGATATGGGGTCTTGAGGGAAGCAGAAGGCAGGGAGAAGTGGTCAAGCTTGACGTTGAAAATAGCCCATTGATCTGCCTAATGGCATCCCTCTCCCTCCTACTGGGACAGTCCTTTCTAAGCAAGGATCCATCTGGAAGCCAATTAGTTCTCCCTGACCCATAAACGTGAATATGGTCCCATCAAAGCTAGATCAGCCCCTTCTCCCTTCTGTGCCTTGTCCTTCAACAGTGTGGCAACTATTAGGACCTTTAAACTGAGAACAATACATCCAAACTCTCCTCTTTCACATCCATCTGAGAAGCTTTCTAAACAGGCATCCTTGTCATTAAAGACCTAACTGTGAGACCTGAAACCATAAAAATCCTTGAAGAGAGTACAAGCAGTAATCTTGCTGACATCAGCTATAGCAACATTTTTCTAGATAAATCTCCTGAGACAAAAGAAATAAAAGCAAAAAACAAACTACTGGGACTACACCAAAACATAAAGCTTCTGCACAGTGAAGGAAACAATCAACATAACTAAAAGGCAATGTACAGAATGGGAGAAGATATTTGCAAATGATGTATCTGATAAAGGGTTAGTATCCAAAATATATAAAGAACTGATACAACTCAACATCCAAAAAATAAATAATCCAGTTTAAAAATGGGCAGAAGACATTCTGCAAAGAAATTTCTCTAAAGAAGACATCCAGATGGCCAACAGACACATGAAAAGATGCTCAAAATCACTTATCATCAGGGAAATGCAAATCAAACCACAATGAGTTATCACCTTATACCTGTCAGAATGGTTAAAACCCACAACACAAGAAACAATAAGTGCTGGCAAGGAAGGGAGAAAAAAGAACCCTCATGCACTGTTGATGGGAGTGCAGACTGGTGTAGCCACTCTGGAAAACAGTATGGCAGTTCCTCAAAAAGCTAAAACTAGAACTACCCTATGATCCAAGAATCGCGCTACTATTTATGCAAAAACTACAAAAACACTAATTCAAAGAAATACCTGCACCTCTATGTTTAAGTAGCATTGTTTATAATAGCCAAGCTACAGAAGCAGCCCAAGTGTCCATTGATAGATGAATAAATAAAGAAGATGTGATATATATATCCAATGAAACATTATTCAGCCATAAGAAAAGAATGAAATCTTGTCATTTGCAATGACATGGATGGAGCTAGAGAGTACAGTCCTAAGCAAAATAAGCCAGTCAGGAAAAGACAAATACCAAGTGATTTCACTCATATGTGGAATTTAGGAAACAAAACAAATGAGCAAAGGGGAAAAAATGAGAGAAACAAACCAAGAAACAGACTCTTAACTACAGAGAACAAACTGATGATTACCAGAGGGGAGATGGGTGGGGGGATGAGGGAAATAGGGGATGGGAATTAAAGAGAGTACACTTATTGTGGGAAAGAAAAATAAATAAAATAAAACGATTAGATAGATGATAGACAGACAGGTAGATAGATAGATAGATAGATAGATAGATAGATAGATAGATAGATAGATAGATGATAGATTGGAAGGCAAATAGATAGACAGACATCCTTGCAAGCATGTCCCTGGGTAAAAAGAGGTCAATGAAGGAGGGTGATCTTCACCACCATCAGAGTGTCCAACTTACAGCTGCTCACTGGGTTAAGCTCACCATGGGCAAGACAGAGGTCTCACTAAATCCATCTTGCAGATAACTCCGTCTTTTCCCCGAAATAAAATTCCTCCCTGTCTCAATAATTTGAATGCACACACGCAAAGGCACGTCAAGGCTGGAAAATCACTCACATGAACACAAAAATGGTGTCAACCCTGACTTGTGCTTGAATGCACACACGCATCAGACAGAGGAGCCCAGCGGCGAGGCAAAGAGCCCTTCCAGGGGGACTGTACTCACTGCGATGAGACAGGGGGCTGCTGAGGAAAGTGTCGGGCAGCAGGCTTCCTGGGGCTCCACTCGTGGTACAGTGCATGAAGCCATCCTCACAGTAGCTGCAGAGAGTAAGGTCAGAACCTAGCTTTGCAAGGCAGCTTTCTGGCTCCTTTTCCTTGCCTCCCCATCACCCTCTCCCTCTCCAAGCCAAGGCTGTCCCATAACTCATCTGAAACACAGCCCACTAAGGCCACCAACTCTCTCCATGTCACCAAACCCAATGGAACCTCTTTAGTTCTAGTTCTTTCCTTACCTGATCCCTTTTGACATTATTCACCACTGTGACTACTCTGTTCTTCTAGGAAAAGAGATAAATCTCTCCTTGTTTTCCTCCTACTTTCCTAGTTGCTCTTTCGGCTCACCCCTCTGCTGGCTGCACCCTGAGCCCTCTCTTATTCTAGGCTGCCATCTGCACCCTCAGCTTCTATGATAGAGATGACTCACCAATTTACACCAGCGGCTGGGATCTCTCCCTTGAACCCAAGATCCATGTATGCAAGTGCCCACTTGATAGCCATCTTGGCATCTCAAAGACTTCAAAGTCAGTATGTCCAAAACTGAAGTCATCCCCCACCAAAGCCAGTCTCCCTCCAGGGCTCTGACTCATTGTATGATGCCACCAAATGTCCAGATTCACAAATCAGCACACGAGGAGTCAGCCCTGACACTGCCTTCTCCCCAACCCCCATGTCTGACCATCACCAAGCCCCTGGACCTTGCTTCCTAAACACCTCTAGCATTCATACCCACTTCTCTACCTCCACTGCCATGAGCTGCCACCACCTGTCACCTGGACAAGGTACAAGCTCCTAACTGACTGATGTCCCTGCACCTATTCTTGCCTCTTTCCAAAACACACTCCTCCTGGCAGCCAAAGTATCTTTCCAAAACTTAAATCTGATGATGTCACATCCCTGCTTGGACTCCTGTGTAGCTTCCCCTCAAGATGCCTTAGGAAGGAGGCCAAATCCCTCAGATGGCCTTCCAGGCCCCATGCGATCTGACCCCTTCCTACCTTTTCTCTAGCCCGTTTCAAGGATTCACAGATGATGTACTTCTCTTCCTTCCACACTTGTGACTCTGCGTGTACTGGAGTTATTATCTGGTTAGCATCTCTCTCTGTGTCACTGGACTATATCGAAGAGGGCAGAAGCCATGACCGGTCTTGCTCATTATCTCTTCAGCAGCCAGCATAAGGCTTTTCATAAAGTATCCAGTATTCTTTTAAATATTCTTTTATTCCTCTCCTCCAGTCCCCATCCCGTCCTGTAACACAGGCAACTATTTTTATGATATGTAGTTCTCTAAATGGCCCCTGGTGATCCTCATTTCCTGGTGTTCAAACTCTTGTGTCATCTCCAATGCGCCACGGTTGATCTATGTGTCAACAGTATGTGGAAGCAGTGACATACCATATGTCACCTGAGATTAGGTTATAAAAGACTGCAGCTTCTGCCTCGCTGCTCTCTTGGATTATTCACTCTGGGGAACCACATTATGAGCAGCCCAATGCAGAGGTCCACATGGTGAGGAACTGAATGAAGCCTTCTGCCAAGAGCTGTGTGAATGAGCTGGGAATGGACCCTCTAAAGCCAGGCAAGTCCCCGGATGATTCAGCCTGCAGCCCTGGTCAACAGTTTGACTACAAGCTTATGAGCACGCCTGAGTCACCCAGCCAAGCTGCTCCTGGAGTCCTGACCCTTAGACACTGGGTGAGATTATGCATGTCCATTGTTCTAAGATGCTAAATTTGGGGTAAATTTTTTATGCATCAATAGATAAAGAAAATGTATACAATCTTATTTTGTTCAATGTAGAAGTGCCTGAATATATTCTCATAAAACAGGTGTTTATTTTGCATGCCTGTATGTTTAATTTGCATAAGTGGTATTATCTCATATATCATAGTGTTTTGTTGTTTTCTTTACTACCACATGTTTAAGATTGAACCCTGCTAATACATGCCTATTTGCCTGGTGCTTCTAAGGCTGCATGACCTTCTACAGTGTGTATCCACTGCATTTTATCTATGCACCTCCCAGGGAGGGACACAGACCGCAAACAAGGCTGTGATTAACATCTCCATACGTGTGCCCTTAAGAGCCTGTGTGAGAGTTTCTTTAGTGTATATACCTGAGAGCCGAACTGTGGGGATATCAAGTGTGGGTATCTAATTTGCATAAATTATGTCAACTGCTTTCCCGGGTGCAGAGAGCAACACACCTTCCAGATTAAGAAGACCAGGGGACTGGAGAGAGGAGAGGTAAGCAGGGGTCAGATCACATGGGAACTGGGAGGCCATCATAGGGATTTGGTCCCTATCCTAAGGCCTAGTGAGAGGAAGCTATTAAGGATTCCAAGCAGGGATGTGACATAACCAGATTTAGATTTTGGAAAGATACTGGGGTATTTGAACAGGTGTGTGTCCCAACAGTAGTAGAGTGGGTGCCCCATATTCCACAGCCCTGCCGGCACTTGACATTATCCAGATTTCAAATGTTTCCTCTCTAGTAGATAAGAAGTAACACATATCTGGTAACATATCCAGTAGATGAGGTTGCTGTGATTTGTATTTCCCTGATTATAGTGATTTTGAATATTTTTAACATGGTTGCTGTTCAATCAAAATTTATTAAATGAGCAAGAATGAATCAGCCCTTCCCTCTCTGGGCACATGTAGAAACCGTGCCCATTTTTAACTAACACCTGACTTTAAAATACCCTCATGTCATGGTCTGTGTATCACTTGGACATGACCCAAAAGCTTAATTTTATTTTTAGAAAAAAGAAAGAAAAGAAAAACCTTGCAGGTAGGTTTATAATCAACTCCTGGCCCAGAATCTGGCTTGCCACAGCGTAAGCACTCTACTGTGATGCCTGTTTGGTGACCCAATAGCTAAAGACACTTCCTAGACACACGTGTTTGCACCTTCCTACCACCTTTTGTGGGCATCACCAGCATTTGCTCCATGGGGCTCACTCTTCGGTGTGTTGGAATAAAAATAAAGAGCCACAGAACAAGCCCCAAGGTCCCACTGGTTCCCATTCTCCATGAAATCTGCATCTCTAAATGAAGTGGAGAGACAGGATGGGCAGTAGCTTTCAGCCCTGGTGCCCGAAGGAGAGCCTGAGAAGAGGATGTTTATACATCATGGAGAGGTCACTGATGATGCCCACTGTGATGGGCAGATCCTGAAGAGAGCCTGAAGCCAGGGCTATCCCCCAGTGGGTAGCTGCACCTCCAGGGCTCGCTGCACCTCCTCTCCCCACCTTCCCTGCGCCTCTGATATGGTAAAACGACCAGGGACATGTGCTGCTCTCCAAGTCACCCCAGCCTCCTACCCTCTGGCTTCTTTCCTCACCACACCTTCCGATCACCAAATTCAACAGCCTACTCTCCGTGTAATACGAAGAGTCTAAGAGTCCCTGGTTCTATCACTGGCTAGATGATTTGGGAAAGTGATAATCTCTCTAAGCCTCAAATTCCTTACTAAGAAAAGCGATGCTTGCCTTCCAACAGCGTTGTTTTAAGGTCCCAGAGAGAAACGCCCTGAAAATCATAGCCGGACAACTGTAGTAAAACGACCGCTGGGCAAAGGCCAGATGCTCAGACCAACAGATGTTTTCATTCTCCTGCTCCCTTCACCCCCACCATATGGCCTGGCCCACGCTGTGCCTCTTTGCTGGCCTTCTTTCTCTGGCTGCTCTCATGGGCTCCGCTCTCTGCTCCCCTGGCCATCTGAACATGCTCTGGACTCAGTCCCCTTTTCTGCTCCTCCAGCCACTTCCTTCACGGGCCCAGCTACTCCCGCAGCCACACAGGGCACCTCCACGCAAATCTTGTCCAGCCTCCACCTCTCACTCGAGTTCCACACCCACCCGTCCAGCGCCTGTCTCCCCTCACTCACCAACATGTGCTCCCGGCAACTCAGCCATCTGGGCTCAGACCCAATTCACGACCCTCCCTCTACCCGCAAGGAGCCCTCTTGCGGTTCTTGCACTCCCAGACACTCCAGTTCAGAAGCCCGGGGCCGTCTTCAGCCAACCTCATCCCCACAAATGTCCCCCCAGTCTGTTCACTTCCCGGGGTCTCTGGCCTCTGTCTCCTTGCTCCGTCTCCACTGCTAGTATTGGCCCAGGGCCTTAGAACCTTTTGACCAGACTGTGTCCACTTCTTCCCACAACCCATCTCCCTGTCTTTACACCTCCTGCAGCTTCCAGAGCCCACTCCCTAAAGCTATGCTTTGACCCTATTTGCTCTCTTTCAAAACCTCTGAGGTCCTCACTGCCTACTGCTCAAGCCCTCATGCATCTTTCAAAGACCCCCAACATTTCCCCAGGCAGGCCTATCTTCCCTTCGTGCAACATATGCTCCCCCAGAGGACTTACCTTGGTGATTGGTGAGTACTCCCTGTGTGTTTTAGTCCCTGGGCCTTGGCTCCACCCCAAAGCCCTCCTCCCATGGGCCCACCCCACACCCACGGCCGGAATCCTCCTCAAACCCAAAGCTACCCCCCGCACTGAGTCTTCTCCAACTCCCTCCAAGTGGAAGCAATCTGCCCTTTTCTGAATGAGTAGAGATGTTTATGTCTATGAAATGCTGAGCCTACCAGACATGATAGTTATTTCATCTCAGGAAACACTGACTGTACCTATTTTCTGCCATAAGTGTGTTGGCTGCTGGGAAGCAGGGTCTATAAGACAGTCTCTACTCTTGAGAAGGTCACAGTCCAGAGGGGGATACAACACATTTTGAAATCCAAGTCCAATGACAATTGTTTTAATCCAAGCATAACCAACCTGCTCTGGGCATAAGAGATGGGGAAGGACGGCAAATTTATCTCACTAAGTGAGAAGGAAAAGCTTCGTACCACATGCAGTGTGCAGACCTTGTTTTGGTTTTGATTTGAACAAACCAATTATATATAAAAAGACATTTTGAGCCAGTCAAGAAAAGCTGGATGAAATAGTAGGTGTTATCAGGAATTATTATTAGTGCTCACCTTAATCATGGTATTACGGTTAGATTCGGGCTTTTTAAATGCTTATCTGTTAGAAATACATATTGAAATATTTTCAGATGAAATGATGTAATAGCTGAGATTTTCTTTATTTTGGCCAAAACAAGGAGGAGGGAATAGATAAAACAAGAATGGCCAAGTGCTGATGATAATCACTGAAGCTGGAGACAGATGCCTTCGTGCTCCTCACACTATTCTCTCTACTTTTATGTCTGAAATATTCCATAATCAGGACATTTTAATTGGTCTCCCTAGTAGACCGTCAGCTTTTTGGGGTGCATACTGTCTCTTGTTCTCCTTCAGGTCACCGATCTCTAGGCCGGCACCAGGTGACAAGGAAGTGTTTGCCCAACAAACGTTGTGTTACAATTTCTCTTGTGACCATGACAGCCCCACTGAAATGGATCAAGACAGAGGGCCTGGGCAAAGGGACACAAGAAGCATACGTGATTGGAGCTATTTTTCAAGGAAGTACGTGAAGCAAGTCAGGATGGCAATGAACCACTGAGGCGAAGCTGCTGTTGTCTATTTTCTTCTGGCTCAAATGTTCCTGCCTGGGCACACTGCCTGGAGGCTACAGGGGAGGGGACAGGGAGCCCTCCCATTTCATCCTCGAAAAGGGAAACTAAGACCTACCGTGGGGAAATGAGGCTCAACACATGAGAGTTGGCAATGAAACAGAAGCAGTCCCCTGCCAGCCGTGAAGTAAGGAAGCCATTCAAGCTGGGTGAGATCTCAGCTTTCCTTCTGACTTGCTGTGCAACTCTGGGCAAGTCACTTTCCTGCTCAGTTTCCCACCCACGAAATGAAGGACTTGGAGGATTAGTTTCCTCTCAAGCCCTGCCATTCCCGAGGTCCCCGGTCCTGCTGCTTGTACTTACCACATGGTGTGATGGTCTGAGAAGATGTCTTCGGGCTGGAAGATCTCGCCATCATAGTAACAGGGGCACTGGGCCTTGGGCACACAGTCTCCCCTCTCGTCCAGGTACAGCCCTGCGGGGCAGAAGCAGCCTTCCAGGCAGACCTCATTGCAGTCCTCATCCGGGTACGAAAGGGAGCGGCAGGTCATGTTGCAGGGGGTCCCACACTGCAGGTACACCTGGCCCTGTGGGCAGCTCAGTGCTGGGAGAGAGGCGAGGGGAAGGGGGGCCTCAGTGGAAACATACAGATGCCAAGGACTGTTTTTCTAGGACCTGTGGCCCCAATTATATCTGTACGGTCACTACCTTCCTTTCCCACTAGGAGCAAAACTGTATTTTCATGCTCACAAATGCCTATGATGATAATGGATGCACATGGTTTCCCCTCTGGTTCGGCAGAGGCCCTGCCTTAATGGCCTCTGAATCCTTGAAGCCTGGGACACGTAGAAATCAGGTGGGTTGTGACACTGTGAATATTAAAAAGAATGGGGCATGGCGGGCAAGGGCATTTCTCCTGGGATGATGATAATTAATTGAGCATCTACAGAATATTCTGCTTTTCACCAGCTTCTATGCCTTTCACACCTCCCATTGAGTTAGACCTCATAGCCCTCTTCCTACGAGTAAAAAAACTCAAACATAAGCTAAGTGACTTGTCTAGGTCATGCCTCCCAGGAAGAAGCAGAGGCAGGATTTGAACCCAGCTCTCTGTGACCCAAGAGCTCATGCTCTTAACCACTATGCTCTACAAAGGAAACAGCCCCTTAGGAGTCATGCTTTTGAGGACAGCCACGAAGAGTGGGGACACCCTTATGCCTGCCCCAGCCAGGTGGGCAGGCCTGTCTCTTCCCCGCCCTCACTCTCCCTGGCCTCCCACAGAGAAAGAACACAGCAGACACGACCCAAGAGGACGTGTGACAAAGCAGCAACACAGGGAAGCCGATGGGCTCTGTCTCCCAAATTCCTGGGTTCGAACCTTGGGTCTGCCATTAGTTATGCTGTGACCTTGAGCAGTTTCCTCCCTAAAACAGACTAATGCCCACCTGGGTTGTTGTGATGGTTAAGGAAGCTAAAAAGTTAGGAGCCATGTGGCAAATGCTCACTGCTGTTTTATCATGACAACGACTGAGGAAACACAGCCCCAGCACATGGCTCCAGATGGGAGGGGAGATTCCAGAGGAAGACCTGGCACCCCTGGATTCTGGGAAACAGCCCCAACTCACAGCCCCACATGAGAGGGGGGATTCCAGAGGAAGACCTGGCACCCCTGGATTCTGGCCAACACCGTGAGCACCCCGATGAGGAAACCCTTTACTGGGGGGTGTGGGAAGCACTTTGCCCTTTCTAAAGGCTTTCTTGTTGCTAATCAGCTCCTATCCAAGAAATGACAACCTCACTCTGAGCACACTCCTCCTGGGACCATTAGAATCTTTGCCCTCTCTGTGAGACTCCATTTCTACATTGGAAAGCCAATGGCAGAACGTGTCACAGAAGCTGTAAAAGGAAGTCCTGGCCGTGAACTTCAGACATGGGGGTGAGGACACCTGGAGAGCCCCCATAGGCTTCCCCTCCTATACTTGTGCAGGGTTTAGTTTTGAGGGGAGCTGAGCAGGGAACAGGCTCCATCACCATATTAGTCATGGGTTTTTCTCTGAACCAGCAGAGAGTCTGGGTCGGTGGATGAATATTTAAAGCAGGGTGTGTTAAGACGGGGTGTGTTGGGCAATAAAAATGCAACTCTCTTTCTATCCATTGAACGTGTAATGTTAAGGGTACATTCATTCACTCATTAAGGAGCAGCTGGAGCTGAGAGCTTTTTCTCTCTGACAGATGTCTCTAGAGCTGGCTTGGAGCCATATTAAATTTCTCCACTGGGCTTCTTCCCCAGAAGTAGTGCACACCTCAGTTTAACAGATGTTTATCATGCACTCACTGTATGCCAGGGGCTGTATCAGGCTCACAGATGCAGAAATAGTTAAGACTTCATCCCTGTCTACAAAGACCATGCTCTTTTCTTCCCAAAGGAAATGTAACCAAGTAACAATTAAAAAAAAAAAAAAGTATGCATCTTCCAATCTCCTCATGCATCCCACACAGTAACTATATGATCAGTCCTTGCTTCATGAGCATCCCCAGTTGGTGGAGACTCTTCTTAAGGATGGAGTTAGTGGTTTAGGGAGCTCTGTTCATTTTTCAGGGAGAAAATGAGGTATAGGATGGAGGCAGGGGCTCCCATCTGGCCAGCCTCTCTTCTCTGGGTCACCTCCACACAAGCCCATAGAGACAGAAAACTCCTTCCCACCACCTCTACATTTTCTGCCTCCAAGTCTCAGTCCCTGCTCCCATAGTCTCAGCCCATTCCTTCTTGTTGTGTTCTCAGTAGAGGTGAAGAACAGCAGCTCTCGCAAGATTATAGAACGTGCCAGTAAGCCCTCAGTGATCTGGGAGAAGGTCCTGAATTAGGAAATCCTTCAGATGTTGTAGCACACCGATAATGCAGAATTTCTAATATTGGTGAACAAGCAAAGCATAGTCAAGAACAGCATACCATTTCCTCCTCATCACTTTGCCCAGCTTCTAAACAGCAAACCCTGATGAGGAAACTGAGCTGTGGAGGAGGAGATGACCGGCTCAAGGCCACAGGGCAGGGAAGTCACCGGCAAGTTCCAGCAAGACCTCAGACTCACTCTTCCAGCTGCTGGCCATGACTCTGTCATCCCTGACCCAGAGGGACAGGGAGGCACAACTGTATGCATCCATATACATGGTCCCTTTCATCCTCACTCTGTCTCTGCTCCTCTTTTTTGGGACACTTCTTAGACTCAAAACACAAGTTGGTTCATTAGAACCCAAGAGTGACACTTCTAGAGCCCTGTAGCTAAGCTTCTCTTCAAATACATGATATATTAGGACCTTTCACCATTTCTCAGAGCTCCTATTTCCCTGCTTCTGCCAGAACCATGGGGCATTTTCATCTCCAAGCATGTCTACTTCTCCCTAAAAATCAGAATATTCACAACACCTCACCCTCCCAGAATATCCTCCTCATTCCCATGCATCCATGCATCACTACAACTATCCCCCTGTGGAACAGCTCTTTTCTGCCAAGATGGTGACTTTTTAAAGCCTGATCAAGTACACCACCTCTAGAAAGCCTTCCTTGGTTGCCTCTGCCTTAATCTAAGTATCCTTTTACTCAGTGTGACAGTCACCTCGTACGGAGGCAGTTTCCACCTATGCCTCAAAAAGGAAGTAGGTTCATGCTCTACACCACCAGCATTGCCTGACCATGCTGGGCACTCAGCACATGTTCCCCGTGCAGCACCACCAACAACAAAGTGAGCACAACCCAGCCATTCAAGGGTCTCTAATGTGGAGCAGGGTATCAGATCAGGTGCAGAAATCTAACATGGCACAGCAAGACTCCAAAGTCCGCTGGGGACAAGGATGTCATTCTAGTTTACATAACTTTATCAATGCCAGAGATGTGGGCCAGGAGTCCACTGATGGTTGGCCTGGAGTTAGAAGCCAAGGATCTGTTAGGTGCATTCCCTACTACGGAGTGCAGACCCCCGTTGGGATCTGGGACCCACTCATTCCTCAACCTGGCCATACATGTATCGAACACTAGGTGGCAGCAGCCGCACGAAATCTCTGCTTCGCAGGAACTGCAAGGTTCTAGGCCTCCAGGTAGAGGGGTGCAAGTCGCGCTCCCAGAACAGGCTAGCGTAATCACACTGTCCTGTGGGAGAGCCAGTCCCCACTGCCTGTCCTGCTGGAGATGGGAGAGAAAGCGGCTGCAAATTAACAGTTCTCACGACCCACGCTCGCCAAATGCGTTTGGGCCCGGTTCTGAACGCTACAATGCAGAGGCAGTGCGGTGAAAAGAACGAGCCGCACGCAGAGGATTCGAGAACCGTGGGGGGCGGGGCTGTGTGGGAGTTGGCGGACAGGGAGGGCACCCACCACAGAAGCTGGGCTCCCGCCACCCAACGTGCACGCCCCTCCGGGCACAGGCTGCGGCGTAGCTGGCCACGGCGCTGCAGAGACAGTCTTTGCCGTCGGAGCAGGAGCAGACGTCATAGCGGCAGTTCTGCACGTAGGGCACAGGGCTCACGGCGCGGTGGCAGGCTTCGAACTTGGGGGACGTCAGCAGAGCGCACGCCTGTTCCGCAAACCTGGCTGCGGCGGGAGAAAGAGCAGGGTACGGGCCCGGCCGGAACCCCGCCCCCGCCTCCCGGAGCCCCGCCCCCGGAGCCCCGCCCCCGGAGCCCCGCCCCCGGAGCCCCGCCCCCAGACGGCTGTGACCAATCCCTCTTGATATATCCCAACCCGCTTCTCCCCGGCAGCGCGCGCTGCCAAACAGCTGGAAGTCACTGCGATTCTTCTTCCGCAGCCAATAAACTTTCCAAATTATGTTTGGCTGAAATACATGATAAATTGCATTTCCAGAGCACACCACCCACGGACAGACCGGAGAAATAATTCCATGATGGGTTGGATAAGAGGGGGAAACGAATGCAGGGCTGAAATGATGTCACAGATCAATCTGCAAATAGCCACCCCAGTGCAATTATCTGCCAATAATGTTAATTCTGTGCGGCTGCTGCTCCAACAGCCTGCGAAGGTCCAGGGGCAGGAAACATGTATATCCTAGTCTTTCCCAGGGTTTGGCCCACGGAGGGTGCGCGATCAAGGGACTTTGAAGAATAAATGACCCAGATGCAGATCATCAAATGCTGATGGTAAAGCCAAGTGCCCCTGTCCTCCAAAAGTGGGTGCACTGGTGCCCTGGGAGCCGGGAGACCTCAGGGCTCCTCCAGGGCCCCTACCCCCAGGCTTACGTACTCAGGCGCGGGTTGAGGCTGCAGGGATGGCTGTGCGGCTTCTGCAGGTCCTCACAGTCCGCGTGCAGCTTCCAGGCGTTCCCGAAGTCCTCCACGAGGGGCTCCACCAGGCCCGCGGGCGTGAGGAAGTCGTCACCCCTGTCGCCGTTGTAATTCCCGCACAGGCCGCACGTCTTCCCCTCGTAGACCGGGGACAGCTGCAGGGAGAGGCAGACCACCTTGGAGCCCGTGGCGCCCAAAGCAGACACAGCTTCCAGTCGCTTAGGAGATGATTGTAATCAAAAAGAGCTCCCCGGGTGAAAAATAAATACGATTTTAATAAACCGTAGCCAAGCCAGAGGCTGCAGAAGGAAGAAAAGCTAACTGTAGTGTAAGTTTACCATTAGCAACAACCCTGCTCTTGAATGGGCCTCAGAGAGCAGCAGTCTTGCCCTTTAGAGATCTAGCCACTTAAAGATGGCAACACTGAGTCCCAGAGAGGAAAATGGCTGGCCTTAGGTCACAGAGGTCATGGCCAGCTGGGACCAGTAGCCAGGTTGAGCGCCAGTCCAGGGAGATCTATGCCACCCTTGCCCGTCAAAGGAGATGCCATAGCCCTGACACCCATGGGAATCAGGTGCAAAGTCAACACTTCTTTACTGAACACTTATAGCAGTTACATGTGTGGGTGAAGCAGACTGAGTCCATTATGGTCCAAAGACCACAGACAACCCCCTCCCATCTCAATGTGACTCACCCACTGAGTGTCATTGGGGAGAAAAGACCATGAGCCAAGGAGGACTCTGGGTGGTGTGATCAGAGGAGGTAGGGTCAGCAAGGACTCTGGGGCAGCCTACTATGGGTGACCAGGATGGTTCTGGGGGTCAAATGCTAGGCCATCAGCATGTGGCTTGTTCTCCATCCTTCTGAGCCCAAACTGCATACTCATGGACAAGTTGGGGAGTTAAACCTGCCTTTCACACTTTACAGCATGGGGCAGCTGCTGGTTTCTATTGAGAGGGTCCTGATTCAAAGATGGAGCCCCGGGCTGGGATGCACAGTCCTGCCTCCTGCTCTGAATGTAATTAACATAGCCCAATGACATCCCTGTGTTGAAACCATCATGTACTAGAACTGAGCTCCTCTGGACCTATCTTGGAATCCCTTCCAGCTTCCAGCTATGACTTCACAGGATGCAAGGTGAACAATCTAGTGGAAGGTTCTGGGCTCATATAAAATGTACCCAAGAAAATACCATTAAAAGAAAGAGTATTCTCTTAGTAAAGTAACTTATTCTTATAAATTTCAAGTTTGGCCATACTAGGCACCCAGGCTTTCCCTGACCTCCCTATTTATAATGTAAATGCTCTGACCCTGGCACTTTTTGTCCCTTTCTCTGCTTTATTTATCTCCTCAGGGTTTCCTTCTAATATATGATATAATTTACTGGTTTGTTTGGTTTATTGTCTGTCTTCCCTGGTAGAATATAAACTAAATGAGGCAGGGATCCTTGTCTGTGGTGTTTCACTACTGTAGCCTTCTCCTCTAGAATGGTGCCTCTGGACACTCACTAAATAAGTGCTGAACAAATGACTGAGCAAGTACGTGAATGAGTGAGGTTGTCCTGAGGACACAGGCTGAAACATAACGCCCGCAGTCAAGGCCAGCCCTGAGCTGAGCAGCGAAATTGGTGATATCGTCACTCCCTCCATCTGTGCCTCAGCATGCTCTCTTCCCTCCTCATTCCCAGACCCTGAGTGCCCCCATTCTCCCACAAAGTCCCTCTGGTCACCTCCAGGCCCGCCGCCACACTATCCCTACTAAGGCAGTATCTTCCTCTATCCCCTGGGTCTCCTTGGCTTGTTCCAGAGGTAGGATCAACCCTCAGATCAAGAGCACCCTTTCTGTGACATGAGAGATTACAGAGAAGGTTGGTATGGCCAATGGCTGGGTGGGAGGCACCCTCCTTGAAGACCAGAGTACAGGAAGTGAGTTAGACAGGGTGGGGTCAGGAGACCTGAGTTTTGATCCTCACTCTGTAACCAAAAGACTATGAGACCGGGGTGAATTCTTTCTTGCTCCAGAAATGATGGATTTTATTTGTAACTGCAGAAGAGAGGCTGACAAGAAGCTCTCCAAGATCTTCCCGCCCTATGGTCTGTGGTCATAAGGTTTATTTTTTTATAAAGGAAAGAAAGTCACTGATTTCGAATTCTCTCTAGGACTCTAAGACAAGGGAAAGAATGTGGTGCCATGAGAACACAGGGAACGAGGACCTCATCAGGAATGCCCAGATGCCCATTACAGGGTTATACCAAGGCCCTGTGGCACACAGGAACCCCGGACATCAGAGGGGACTCTCCAAGAACCCTAGGAATGACCTAGGGCAGCAATTCTTCAACTGAGGTCTTGGGACCCATTGGGGCAGGGAGGTCCCTATGGCCCTTTCAAGGTGTCCACGAGGCCAAAACTACTTTCCTAATCATACAGAGATGTTATTCAGCTTTTTCCCTCTCATGTTCCTCTAAGTGTGCAGTGGAATTTTCCAGAGGCTACATGACACATAATGTTGCAAAAGATTGAATGCAGAAGGAGATGTGAGACTCCAGCTGTCTTCTATTAAGCCAGCCATTAAAGAAGTTGGCAGAAATGTAAAACAATGGTATTCTTCTCACTACTCTTTTTTGTTTTGGGAAATATTGTTATTTTTCAAAAAATATACATTGTTTATATTAACATGTAGTGGATTTATTATTGTTATTTTTTTGTTTAGGGTTTTTTATTGAAGTGTAATTAACAAGCATTGTTTAATAGTTTCAGGTGTATGATATTATTATCTCTAACTTAATTACTAACATGATAAATATTGACAGATACAACCTCTGTAAAAGATCTTTGGATCTTCAATAAATTTTAAGAGTGCAAAGTCATCTGAAGACCAAGAAATGAGAAGCTCTGGTCTAGCAGGAAAGACACAGCCAGAGAGCTGATCCGGCTCTGCCCCCAATTATGGGTGCAGTGCTGGATACGTGTCCTGACTCACCTGAGCCTGAGTGCCTTCATTCATAAAAATGGCAGTGACAGCCACACTGCCCACCTGCTCTGGGAAATTTCCAGCGAAAGATAGATAAAAGAAAGCCCTGTTGAAACCAACGGATTGCTACCCAACTGTGACTCTGAGGCTCTGGACAACAAAGGGCAGTGGCCCTCAGACCACAGAGACCCAGGGACTGGGGGAGGGATTTGGCAGTTCCCAGGGCAAATGTTCACGGGCAGTAGGATGGCTTTCTCCCCCAGGGTGCACACCAGGGGATCTCGGCCCTCTTCCCTTGCTGCCCACAGCATGCACTCCGTGAGAGATACCCCTCCTCCCCAGCTTTGTTGCAGCCAAGAGGCTGGGCACCAAAAGGCTACCTCCTAGCCCTTCAGGGGCCAGCCCAATCTGGAGGGCCTAGGGGTACCAGAGCCCCAGAAAGGAGAACCCCCAGGGCAAGCAAGGGCGGTCCAGACAATAAGCACCAGCCTCTCATAAACAAGAGAGGCCTGTTTCTCATTCTGGGGGTGTAGGGCCTGGGAATAGAGGAATTCTTCTCCCACTACATAAAGCCAGAGCTCTACCAGAGCACAAGAGGAACTTTGTAAGGTCCAGGCTGCGGGGAGGCCATGTTTGGGAAGGCACCTACCATCACCAGCAGCCTCCCACGGCCATCCCAGTCCATCTGCAGGTCCTCGCCATAGCTGAGGCGCACAGAAGCCATCACGGTGTGCTGGATGCGGAGGTCACCTGGAATGGATCAGGGACAGGACTGAGATGGGGAGGGGGCAGGGTGGTGACGGGGAGAGACAGGGTATCTCACAAGGGACTGTAACAATGAAATCAAGGAGTTGGGAACAGATGGGGATGTCCATGAGGCTTAATGGGTCTCAAGAGGAAGGATAATCAGGATGCAGTACCAATAGGATTCCTACAAAGGTGTCCCTGTATCCTGGCTGTAACCTGACTTCATTCTACTGCCAAATGAGGGCGGCAGAGGCTCCTGCGTCCTTGGCTTCCGCTGCTCTGCCTCCCATTGATCCCCTGACCCCTGAGCATTCCCCAAGCCCTTCTGGCCTTGCACCCCGCTTCTAGGCTGAGATACTCAGTCCTCACATCTGAGCGATGCTGTGTGCAGAGTTGAATACAGAAGTTGTCATTGGAGGTGAGGTCAGAGACATACCTCTTGCCCTAGAGGAAGGTATCTCATGGGGAGACACACAGCATTAAACACACGTGGACGTGCTGTGGGCAATGCCAGGATAATGAGCCACAGAGTCCATGGAGGTTGTGGAAAAGAAGGAGGAGGGATCTGAGAGTCACTTTTAGGGTAAAGGTGGCAATTATGCTGCTCAAAAGGGTGTGGTGCCAACTGGCCAAGTCACCGGACTGGTTGGCTCTTCCCACCAGTCACGGGACCGCCTGGCTTAGACCAGACATCCTCTGGTCTGACCCATGGCCAGCCACCCCCAACCTCTCCACATCAGCCTCTGTTCCTTTCCCAGCTCAAAGGAGAACCCCAACCTCCATGCCCAACCTTCAACTCGCCCCTTTGGCTCAAGCCAAGTGAAAACCTACTTGGTCCCTTTCCTCCTCTATGCCCTTTCCCTGCTGGGGACCAGCTTCCTTGCCTCCAGCCAGCTTCCTCCACTCCTCCTCCTCCTCCCAGAAGCCTTCCTTTCTTGCAAGGATGCAAGTCGAGGATACCCACCCCTCCCCTCCAAAGCTAGCTTTCCTCACAGGAGAGGTGGGCAGTGAGCACTGCTGAGGGGCCAGGGTGCTGTGAGGTGAGCTGGACCCGCCCCAGGCCTGGAGGAGGGAGCACACCTTGCAGGAGAGGCATCTGGATGTCCTGGCCATCCATGGAGACTCCTCCCCCATGCTTCAGCTTCACAAGGCTGTTGTGCAGACCAGGCAGGCGGACAGTGGCGGAGCGGGTGCAGACAGCATCAGGGTCATCAGCGCACTGCCAACGGGGGCACACAGAGTGACGTCACCACATTCCAGCCCAGGTCCCATTTCCCCAGAGAAAGAGCACAGCCCCACACAGCCTCTGGCCTTCTTAGGAGAAGCAGCTCCATTCTCACAGAGAGGTATGCCAGAACATGACCCTGAGCCCAGCCCCCCAGGTTGGGCCTTCCCAGTCCTGGTCTGGTCTTTATAAAGGACTCTGGGCCTCTGGGTGCCTTCTTGGGCCTATGGTTCCAAAGCCAGTACAGGACTTCAGTCCTCAGGGGGGAGCCCTGTGCCCTCTAGATTTCCCCTCCTTGCTCCAGTCTGGAGCGTCTAGCTCAGCAGCTCCTGAAGGAGACAGGACCACCTTGCCCCCACGGGCAGGAAGTCAGAGCTTCCTGACAGGTGCAGGCAAGCTCACCTGGACAGTCTCTATGACAACAGAGAAGGTGTGGTCCTGGCAGTCCTGAGTCAGCAGATACTGGCAGACTCCACTGAAGGTGAAGTACCTGTTGTCAAAGCTCTTGAAGTGGGATTGTCCTGTGACGAGACACTCCCCTGGAGGGACACAGAGGAGGAAGGTAAGAGGGGAGTACGTGCGGAAGCTCCTTGGGGGTGGCAAAGGTTTGCACGTGCAAACCAGGCACCCCGCATGGAAACGCCAGATGCACTTTCCCCACACCAGTCTGAAAATGCCTTCCACAGGAGGACTCTAACTCAGGTCCCTCTCCTCAGGCCGGAGAGGTCACAGCCGGATCTGCAGTTCAATGCCTCACTTTATGGAAGGGACAACTATGGGAAGTGACAGCCACATGCAGTCAGAGGCAGTGCCCAGCCCAGAACTGGCAGCTCCTCATTCTCCGTTCACTGTGGCTCCCAGCCCTTCCCCACAGCCGCCCCACAGGACCCGGTTCTGCTGGGGTCATTTGCCGCTTGGTTAAGTGACAGGCCTTTCTCTCTGAGCATGGGTGTCATGGGGGAGGCTGCAGGGCACAGCCCCACCCAGGAGAGTCCACTAAGGCAAGCAAGAAGAAAGGCCAGCCCAGATGGGGGACAGAGAAAGGGTGAGGCGAGCATTCTCCAAGCTCAGCAGGGCAGAGGCCAAGCAAGGCTCCATCCTCGCCCTGCAGCTGAGGGGCAGCCCTAAGGCCTCCTCATGGGCAAGTCTCCTGTTGTGACTTCAGTTGGGGCCAATGGGGGGCCAGGAGGCCATCTGCCCATGATCTCACCACCACGCAAGCCAGCTTCCTAGCTCAGACTGACGCATGTGTGGGTGGGTACGAGGACACCCCTTCCTTACCCCAGAACTCAGAGCCCTCAGCTCACCCTCCACCTGAATCCCCCTCCAACTTCCCCCAGACACAGTCCAGCCATGCCACTGGCCCAGTGCACCACAGACCAGAGATCACACATCCTGGCATGTGTCCAGGCAGGGGGGACCTCTGCCAATGTTTCCAGTGATTCCCTACAGGCCCCGCCCCAACTCAGGGCAATCCCAACTCCAGGGCCCACAATGGACCCATTGAAGCTGAGGCGTGGATCTGGATCCCTTCCCAAATCTCTTTTTATGTATTTCCTCTCATGTGCGCCTTCTACTCTTCAGACAAATAAATATACACACATACCATGGCCATTCTACAGATAGGGGGCCCTCCTTCCCACCCAGTCACCCTTGACCTCCAAACAGAACAGACACCTGTTCTCCACAGCACTAATCCTGTCTAAACTTGAAGTTCCCCTTATGAGGATCTTATAGCCAGTCCCACCTCGACCCGTCCCCAGGGGCTGATGCTGGGCTCGGTCGCACGGTCAGGGAGTTCCCAGAGACCGCAGGGAGATCCCAGCTCCCCATCTTCCAAAGACAAGCTCCATAGCCACCCCTCCCCTCCTTCTACCTCCTGCCTGCATTTGCACTGAAGGGTACAGCAGGCACAGCTTTGGACCAGGTGTGGCTCTGCCTTTGGTATATGTTGGAAGGCAGGGGTAAGGGAGAGTAGCCTCAGGTTACTGAGTGTCCTCTGACTAGTCCCCAAGGCAGCTGACCCCTTCCAAACTGGCATGGACCAGGAAGATACACTCAGCCCAAAAGAAATTAGAAGAAAATAGGGAGGCCCCAGGTCATTACCAGCATCACTCTCTGCAATAGTAAGAAATATGTACTTGGTCTTTATCCCTGACTCCTGACACAGAGCTCCTAAAGCACTTAGAATTTCCTAGGTGACAGCAGCATCTTTTTTTCTAATGAAAGCACTCTTGGTGGACCCCTAGATAGTTTCAGGATGGGGGCTAGTCACTGGAGAGACGCAGACATGATGAAAGAGCTGGAATTTTCAGCCCCACCCTCCAACCTCGAGGGATGGGAGAGAGACTGGGGATTAATAATCCATCATGCCTGCATAATAAAACTTCCATTAAAATCCCTAGACAACAGGATTTGGAAAGCTTCTGGGTTGGTGAATGTATCCACACACAGAAGGGCGGCACACCCCAATTCCGTGGGGACAGAAGCTCCTATGCTCAGGATCCTTCCAGACTTTGCCCTACGCACCTCTTCATCTGGCTGTTGATCGTAGCCTTGATAATATCCTTTATAGTATAGTAGTATAGTAATAAATAGTAATAAAAAGTAAAGTGTCTTGAGTTTTGTGAACCATTCTAGGAAATTATTGAACCTGAAGAAGGCATTGAGGGAACTCCCAACTTGTAGCCAAGTCAGACAGTAGCAGGTACCGTGAGAACCCAGTACTTGTGATTAGCATCTTAAGTGAGACAGTCTGGTGGGACTGAGCCCTTAACCAGCTGGGTCTGCACTGATTTGCGGTTGTTAGTGTCAGAACTGAATTGCAGGACCCTCAGTTGGTGTCCAGAAAGTCAAAGAATGGGTTGGCTTGGGGGGAAAGCACACAAATTGATGTCAGAAGTCTTGTTAGTAGGAACAGATCACGTCCTCCCACTGCACTGGCCCCAAAGAAGGGCAAGAGTGAGAGTCATTGTTTGTGGAAGGCAGAACAGAATATGCAATAAGGTAGGGCAAGGGTCATCCCAGCTGATGTGGGAAATTCCAAATCCACTGGTGTCACAGGAAAGCCTTTCTCAAATGGCTGTTTCTCAGAACCCACCAGCATTCTGCAGGGTGATATGGCGCTTTGTGTCAAATGTCTTGACCCTGTGGCAATAAAATGGGTGGGAATTCTTCCCCTGACCTTTCTCTGTTTTCTCAGCAGCGCTCTTATCTAAGCATGAAACTGGACTTGTGTTATCTCTGACAAGGCGAAGGAAAAGAGGGGTCAACGAGAGAATGTACAAACATTCAAAAGCAAAACTTCCAGAGCTAGAATCTAATCCTCCGATCTGATTTCCTGCTCTGCCCCCCGCTGGTTTGTGTTCTGAAGTTTCTCAGGAATCCAGAGCCTAAATATTACATTTAGCTTATCGCCTAGGTACAACTGAGGGATGGAGCTGCAAGGTGGGTAAGCTGGGAACACGGCTGGGTAGCCCTTGGCCTTGAGGGCTGGAACATCAGCTAGAACAATAGGCCATGGGGAGCAATGCTCACCTACTCTCTGCCCAGAGCAGGATGGCCAGGACATTCCCAGTCAGCTGGTCAGCCAGCAAAAGGCAGCTCCTAGCAAACAGCTAGCCCACCACCAGACAGGCCAGATGGGCAATAAAAGTTCAGTGAATGGATAAAGAACAGGTGATTCTTAAAATAGTATCAAAAGTATAACAGCCAGGAATTTTTTTTTAATATTTTATTTATTTCTAGGAGAGAGAGAGAGAGAGAGAGACAGCGTGAGCAGGGGAGGGTCAGAGAGAGAGGGAGTCACAGACTGAAACAGGCTCCAGGCTCTGAGCTGGCAGTCAGCACAGAGCCCGACGCGGGGCTCGAACCCACGAACCGCGAGATCATGACCTAAGTGAAAGTCGGATGCTTAACCGACTAAGCCACTCAGGCGCCCCTAGAACAGCCAGGAATTAAAGCAGACCCACTATATAGATAAAGATCCTCCCTGATGGAGGAAAAAAAAAAAAAGGGAAAAAATATCTCTCATCTGATGGAAACAATATTACCTCTTGTAAAACAAACCTTTTTGTGTGCTGGAAGTGAGCCCTCCAAAGGGCTTTTCTGCTCAGGCCATCTGCTTCTATCTTTTTCCATGCAGCCTACAGAAACACTAGCCCACAGGCCTTTACCAAAGCAACACAGACTTCCCCCAGTGTAAGTTTTCACCAAAGCCTGCCTCTAAATCACAGCATAATCTCCACCAAATGCACAGGATGAATTTCTAAGTGCTCCATGGGTACCATCTCATTTACTGCTCCTAGGAGGCGGTGCCCGTGATCCCCAGTTCACAGATGAGGAAACTAAAGCACAGAGAAAAACTCGCCCAAGGCCCCAAGGCGGTCAGACAGGGATTTGAGCACGAACATTGTGTCTGGCTCCCAAGCCCAAAGCACTCACACCACCTATCATCGCCTCATGGTTTCACTCCTGCAGTTTCTCATATGCCTAATTTTGTGAGGGCTAAGCCTGATGTCATTCTGATCCTGGGCACACATGGGTCCATGCCAAGGGACATAGGTACAACTGAATCTGGATATGGAAACTGGGAAGGGGAGCCCTGGCTTCTAAGGGTGGTGCACTGGCCTGTCCTGATGGAGGCCTGGTATGACTCCAGAAACCCAGTATTTTTTTTTTATGTTTTTTTTTTTTTTCTAGGAGAGAGAGAGACAGTGTGAGCAGGGGCGGGTCAGAGAGAGAGGGAGTCACAGACTCCGAAACAGGCTCCAGGCTCTGAGCTGGCAGTCAGCACAGAGCCCGACGCGGGGCACGAACCCACGATCCGTGAATCTTGACCTAAGCAAAAGTCGGACGCTTAACCGACTAAGCCACCCCGGCGCCCCTCCAGAAACCCAGTATTGGCCAGGGCAGGCCCCAGGAGACTTCACATGAACTCGGGCATTCGGATCTCTCAGGCAAGCCCAGGCACCTAGGAATGTATGCACTCACTGGACAGGCATTGGCCCTGATCACTCTCTGTTAGCCAAAGAAGTCTGTCTTCCCTCCTGAAAGCTTCAGAACAGACAGCTTGAATCCTAAGACTGACTCACAGGGCTGTGTTAGAAGGCATCAGAAATTATCCAGAACCAAATGAGTAACAAGTTACATCAAGGTCTCCCCTGCCTCACACCTAAGCCCAAGGTAGGCCGGGCTCTGTCTTACCCTCCTGCCCTGCCGGGCCCAGCCACACCTTGCCTCCCACCACCCCTCCCCTCCCCATGCCAGACACCTCTGAACACGCGCCTGTGTCTCGGTCCTTCTCTGACCCTGCTTAATGAGGCAGCCGTGGCTGTGAGGATGAAAATGGCTAACAGTTATTGAGTGCTTATTGTGTGTCAAGCAACAGCTTCCATGAGATAAACCTGCCGCTATCATCCCTCTGTTACAGATTAGGAAACTGAGGCTGCAAATGATCAGGCAGTTTGCCAGAAGTCACCCAGCTTTATAAGTGGTGGGACTGGAATTCCAGTCAGGCTGACTGAGTGCACAGCCATTCCCTCAGCCCCCGGCAATGCTACCCGTCCGTGCGCACAGGATGGGCAAGTGAGAAGCCCTCCACTCCCACCTGCAAGAGAGAACCTTCCATACTCTTCCATCAGGAGTCTGAAATTCTAACCAGAGCTTTAATTGTTTGAGGAATAGTCCCTGTTAATAGGCATGCTCCTTCTTCGTTGATCCTAACCAAACATTTATGGTTCGATGGGAGCCAAATTAGTAGAGTTTCTCTGGGGAGAATGCTTTGCAGAGGATGGGAAAGGAGGCTTGAGTTTATGGGAAGGGAAGTGTACAGACTATGGGGAAACCACAGTTTTGCCTGGAGCTGCCCTAATTCTTAACCAGAACAGAGGGATGCAATGAGCAATGAAGGCCTACGGAGCATTTAACAGAAGTTCCAGCCCCTCTCTATATAGACTGATGCTCTCCTGGGCAACTTCTCCCTCTCATTCCCCATACACATGCCCTGTACCAGGCAGCCTCTAAGATGCCCCCCTACCACCATGGTCCCACCTCCTATATTCATGTCTTTGTGTGATCCCCTCACCTTGAGTGTAGACTGGACATGTTAACTTGTTTCTAGTAAGTATAATAGAGCAGAAGAGAAGGATGTCACTTTGGAGATCGGGGTTTTAAAAGACCATGGCTTCTGTCTTGACTGCTCTCCTTCCCTCTCTCTGAGGTCACTCACTGTAGAGGAAGCCAGCTGTCATGTCATGTAGCATCCCCAAGGAGAGGTCCACATAGTGAGGGACTAAGGCCTGCCAACTATCACATGACTAAGCTTCAAAGTGTCCTCCTCAGTCCCTATAGAGCCTTCAGATAAGACCACACCCCAAGTCAACAACTTGACTGCAATTTCATGAGAAACCTTGGGCTAGACTCAGCCACACCCAGATACTTGACATACAGAAACTCTAAGATAATAAATGTTTGTTGTTTGCTAAGTTGGGATAATTTGTTCCACAACAATAACAACAACTAGTACACTCTCATCTTATCCCAGAGAATCAAAACCCAGCTCTCTATTTCTTTTTTTTTAAAATTTTTTTAATGTTTTATTTATTTCTGAGAGAGAGAGAGAGACAGTGTGAGCAGGGGAGGGTCAGAGAGGGAGACACAGAATCTGAAGTAGCCTTCAGGCTCTGAGCTAGCTGTCAGCACAGCTGACATGGGGCTCAAACCCACGAACTGTGAGATCATGACCTGAGCCAAAGTCGGATGCTTAACTGACTGAGCCACCCAGGCACCTTCAGCTCTCTATTTGTAAGGCTTACAATGTCAACTCTCCCAGGGACTGTGGAAAAGCCACGGCCTGCTCTTAGCTATAGTAGCAAAGCCAAGTGGATCCCTTTTCAGAACCTTCCCATCAGAAGCTCCACCATCAACCGTCACACTGCGGGCATAAGACAGGCTCACTGCCAGCTGAACCATGGCAAGGAATGGAAATATGCCTATGTGCTGTAGGAAAAAATGGAGCGGGAGATGACCAACTAAACTCTAGTACTAGAAAAAGAGAGTCAGAGCTCTGTAGGAAAAAATGGAGCGGGAGATGACCAACTAAACTCTAGTACTAGAAAAAGAGAGTCAGAGCTGGGGCTTTGAATATACAGAGCAAAAGCTTTGTGATTGTGTTGGCAAAATATCAAACTACTCAGTAGACTACAGAGTTGGCACTGGTTATCTTCCCATCAAAGCACCAAGAAAATTTCTTTCATCCTCAGCAAAGCTAGCTTCAAAATTTTGAATTGAAAACCAGGGAATCGTATCATCTGTTCCAGACCAAGCATTCCATCATGTGCACAGTGAGTGTTCAATTCATTGTTGGATGCATGAATGGATAGATAGATGTTCGGATGGTGGATGGGTTGATGGGTGGATGGATGAATGAATGGATGGGTGGATGGATGGATGGGTAGATGGATGGATGGATGGTGGATGGAGAAACGGATGGGTGGTGGATGTGTGGATGGATGATGGTGGATGGAGGGATGGTGGATGGAGGGAAGGATAGATGGTTGATTGCCTGGGTGGATGGATGAGTGGATGGGTGGGTAGAAGATACTCCCTATAGAAAATGGTAATTAAGAATTCTTAATCTGGTAGTCAATCTGACAAAACAAGGTAAGTAAATTCCTAATTCCATCCATTGTGGCTCACAGATCTTATAAAGTGAATGCTTATTATTTAGATATTAATAGCTTTTTCACAAGTCATTTGCAGTAACCTCTTATCTTTCCAGGGATTCCTTAGGTCTTTCACAGGGTGTGATGATGTTAAATTGGAGCACTGATATCACTGGCAAGAACAATCTTTCGTCCTTCATGCTTCCTTTAAAGACTACACAGAAGAGGGGCACCTGGGTAGCTCAGTCAGTTGAGCATCCAACTTTGGCTCAGGTTATGATCTCACAGTTTGTGAGTTTGAACCCCACGTCGGGCTCTGTGCTGACAGCTCAGAGCCTGAAGCCTGCTTTGGATTCTGTGTTTCTCTCTCTCTCTCTCTCTCTCTCTCTCTCTGCCCCTGCCCCGCTTGGGCTCTCCTTCCTCTCTCTCTCTCTCTCTCAACAATAAATAAACATTAAAAATTTTTTTAAAAATTGCACAGAAGAGGGGCGCCTGGGTGGCTTAGTCGATTGAGCGTCCGACTTTCGCTTAGGTCACGATCTCACGGTTCGTGGGTTCGAGCCCCGCGTCGGGCTCTGTGCTGACTGCCAGCTCAGAGCCTGGAGCCTGTTTCAGTCTGTGACTCCCTCTCTCTCTGACCCTCCCCTGCTCAAGCTGTCTCTCTCTCTCTCTCCTAGAAATAAATAAAACATTAAAAAAAATTTAAAAAAAAAAAATTGCACAGAAGATAAACTGGCTGTTTGACCATCTGTGAGCCAAATTAATTGATCTAGCCCTAGTGCCCACTTTCCATCTGTTCCAGAATATTTCCAGTATAGTGGGCACTGGGTAAATTCCTAAGTGACCCTAAAGCCATAGGCCCCCAAAATGATCCTAGTATCCAAGCTCAAGCCCCTGTTAGCTCATCAAAGCCAATGTGGCCTCCTGGGGCCTAAGGGAGAGGAGCCTGTTACCTGGCTGTTTGTCTTACAGTTTTTTATTCCACTGTACAAACCATGGGAACCCAAAAAGTAGTATCCAGCATACAAGCTGAGGCTGAGCTGGTTTTTAACTAAATGTGGGACCTCTCCAGAGCTCATGAAGGATGGCAAAGACCTTCCTGCCGAGGAATAGATTGAGGACCAGGAAGGGGAGTAAAGGGAAGGACAAAAGTAGAAATCAGATAGTTGGAGTTTGAATCCTGTCTCTTAGCAGCTGTGTGACATTGAGCAAGTTACATAACATCTCTGGTTCTGCTTCCTCTTTTGTAAACCTAAAATAAACTGCACCTGCCTCACAGACTCAAAGGTAAAGCACCTAGCACAGAGCCTAACACATAGCAAACACTATGAGCATAAAAGGGAAAATTATCAAGTGAAGAGCCCGTGTTATGGGCAAAGGGGAGGCAGAAGGGAACCTCAAATGGGCAAAGTTTGCAGCAAATAGAATAGTTAGGGCTAAACAGATGACCAAGTAAAGGACAGAGATTATACAGCAGCTTTTCCTAAGAGATTTTCCAGGGAGGGGATGGGGTAGAAAAATGAAATCATTTGGGGGTCTGATTTTCCTAGCTCTTGAGTCATTCTAAGATATTCCTATCAGGCATTCCAGAAACTTCTCACTCTGAGCTTAAAGAATTACTGGACCCTTCTTTCTCTTAATTTTCAAAGAATTGGCATCATCTTTGTTTAGTCAACTGTGACCTCCAAGTCCTTACAGTTCATTCAACCATAATCCTTTGAGCAAACAGGTGACCAGAAAACAACAAAACCTTAGACCAGGTGCATTTTCCCCTTTCAGCTATGCAGGATGCCTCCTGCTGGCCCATGAGTGGGTTAGCACAGCTAGTATCAGAAACCACAGCAGTGGTGCAGAGGCCACCTCCTCCCTGCCTTGAGATGTGGCCCTCTTTGTCTAGCAAGGATGACAAACCTCTCCATTCAGAGGAGGGAGGGAATGAGCCCAAAGTCACTTACCTGGGCATTCTTCATTGCTGCAGATCCACAGGCTATTTCGGCAAATGCTGTGGGGGAGAGCAGCACAGGTCATGGGTAGTTGTGCAAACACAAGGGCATGTAAACAGATCAAGAGCTCATCACAGATACCACAGCCCCCAAAAGGAAGGGATCTGGGAAAAGAAATGAGCTGGTGCAAGGGTGGATCTTTATGAGGTTGAAGATGAACAGCACAGAGCTGTGGCCACAGAGGACTCTTGGAGATAATGTCGAGGGGAAGAAGCCCTGATGGAGAGACAGAAGAAGAAAACCTAGGGGACATGTCCCTGAAAATCCACCTAGCCATCCAGCAAATTCCTACCCCCCCCCAAATGCCTCCTCCCCACACACGAGTAGGAGAGAGAGGACCCAGGGATAACACCCAGGACCATGTCGGGCAGCCCATGGGGACTCCTGGGAGACATCCAAGCAAGGAAAAGACAGCATCGGAAAAAGGCCTGGGTGTGGAAGGTAGGGTTAGTGCTCAAGGAGAAAATGGCCTGTGGCATGGTGACTGTCATATAGCCCTGCTTCAGAGAGAGTCATTAACTAAAGCATAGTTTGGGGGGAAAGCTAGAAATGATATTTGCACTTCAAGGGTCCTTTCCTCCCTGACCCCCTCCTCCAGGCCTATCCATAACATCTTCCTTGCTCCTCATCAACGACCTCCCCAGCCCTCCCCAAACCACCCCCTCATTTCTGCCTGTTCTCCCACAGCCCAACCAGGTCCTGTTGCACCTGCTATGACCCAGAGCACGCCCTCCCCCAGCCCACAGGGCACAGCCCCGGCTACCAGGTGTTGCAGTCCTGCGAGAGCGAGGCTCCTGGGGGGTACCGCTTCCCAGCATGCACACACGAACACTCAGCACTTTCCACGCAGCGGCCTTCATCCAGGAGCTGTCCCTCTGTGTTCAAGGGCATCGAGGCAAAGACTCAACTTATCATCATTGCTCGTCTCCCAACTACAGAATCCCCGTGGTGATCACAGCCAAGGGCTTCTTCCAGAAAGCTCAAAGAGCCTGTCCTGTACTATTTCCCTTGCACATTTGTGCAACCTGGGAGAGGGGGATTATGAATCTCCTCTCTACCGCTGAAGAAATGGGGGAAAGAGCTTTGCTCAGGGTCTGCCAGTGAGGGAGTCATGAGTCTAGGCTGAGGGCTTCTCCCAGGAAGCTCCAAGAACTTATGTGGCATTGACCTTTCACATTAATGCAATGAAAGAGAGGGCATTATTAATCTCTGCTCCACAGGTAAAGAAAGGAGGCAAGAATTTTGTTCAAGGTCTTCCAAGTGTGTAAGTCAGGAGAGTCAAAACACACAGGCCTCACTCTCTGTAATTAAACAGGGCTTTTCACCAAAGCTCAGTCTCTCCTGAGAAAAACTTCCTAGTGCAAAGCTCTTTTTCAGCTGAGCTCACACGGCAAGCCCAGGAGACATTTTAAAAGCTCGTTCCTTCAGACCGCTTCGCCAACACTTTCCTGAGAAAACAAAACCGCAGCTCAGATTGGGTCACATGCTCCCCAAACAAAGTCACTGTTGGAGCCCAGAGCATCCTTCTGTTTCCTAGACACACGCGCTTTCACGGATACAGTACAACAGGAAAACATCAATTATAAATAAACGCCCGCTCAATCCCCATCACTCGGTACAAAGACTTTTTAAAAGTAAATAAAAGGCTTCTGATTTCAGCAATGGGGAGCACACACAAGTGGCCTTCATCTGGCTTCCCCAAGCCCAGGGCACTGGCAAGGTCTCGGATTTGTGAATAAAATGAGTTTATTACCAGGGCAGCTGCAGCCATCCACACATTGCTCCTGACACACTTCTTTGACGTGCAGGCTCTGGCAAGTTCTGGTGCAAGGGGACACGCACTCCTTATACTCCATGCCAGCAGGACATGCCGGTCCTGAAAGGGAAAAGCCAGGGGTCTTCCTAGAGCAGCTCCCTCCCAGAGAGAGCCTCATATGTACTCAGGGCCTCCATGTTCTTTTGTCTGCTCCCCTCTGTCTTCAGGGTCCCAGGGGCCTTCTCCACCCCAATGGCCAACATGCCCTCCAAGACCACCCTGCCAACCACTCCTCACCTGAAGGAACATCTTCCATCTTGTCGGGCCTGGCCAAGACTCAGTAGGGTCACCTGGGACCACCACCCCTTCCCCTTGGTCATCCATTTCCCTGAACAGCTTGGGAATTTTTTGTTCCCCAGTGCTCTGTCCCTTTCACCTAAAATCCTCTCAGAGTAATACCAAACTCCTCTAAGTTGAAAATAAATGCCTTCCTGGGGGCCAAGCAAGGGGTAAATGTGTCCTCTATCACGTCCCTCCTCTAAGGACCCCACTTTCCTCATGAAATTGGCTCCAACCAAAGGTCCCACCCAGCATAGGGTGCATGCCATTCACGCCCACTTTCCCCACGTGAGTGACATTCATTCCACATTTATCTTCCACTGTGTTGCAGGACTGCCTTCAGAGCCTTATCCCCTAAGCATCTGCCCCTTTCTGCTGGACCCAGCTCCTCCCGGGCAGGGCCTGGCTCTCAGGCTCTCGACCTCGTGGCTAACTGACGCTCAGAGCAGCCCTTCCCCTCCAAGATATGTCAAGCATCTCCCCCTACCCTATCTTCAAAAACCTAAAAAACAATAGCCACTCCACCTCACAGAGGAGAAACCAGCTGCTAATAACCCCCTTCTCACACCCCCACAGCAAAGATAAAAGCTCTAATTTGTAAACTGAAAACACACACACAGAAAAACGTGTGTGTGGTGTAAATATCCGGCTCTCGGCTCTGTCTCTATCAGCCAGGATGACCTGTGCAATTATTGCAGACTGTCCATCTGCATGGTTTTTGATCCTGGGAAAGTCTGGAGAGAGAGAAAGCTTCTTGCAAGGTAACCAGAGAAGCTCCTACTCAATTATGATAATTTGGGAATGGTGACAATGACAGTGGCTAGGGACCCAGTGAGATTGGGAGATCCAAACCCTGGGCGTCACCAGGTGAGGTGGGGGGAAAGGTAAGCAGTGCGGCCAGAGGAGAGAAGGCTGGGTTAATAAAAGGGCAGGGCTTAATAACAGCCTGCCCGGCTCTCCAAGATCACCCCGTGGGTGGTTGAGACAACGCCCTGCTCCTCGTCCATTCAGACACACAGGTGAAGATGTGAACTGAGATCAGGACGGTTGAGAGTCCCATGACGGGAGGAGAATGTTTCTCAGGTCAAGGGAACAGATTTCCCAAGGGAGTCGGGGGCCACGGAGGGAGGCATGGCACAGAACAGAGGCACCGGAAGGTCTTTCCAGCCGCAGCTTTTAAGGGAGGGGACTCCTCCTGCAGGCCAGCTCTCTGTGACCAGGTGGCCCAGGCATGGGAGGCCCTGCAAGCACTGACCAGTTGGGGGGTGGCGCAGGATCATGACACAGTCCCAGGGCTTCCCTAGGGACGCCCCAGGACAGTCACTACTCATGCCCAGCGGGGCACGGGGGCTGCTGACTTACGGCATGTGGTGTGGTCAGCCCAGCCGTACAAGACCATTCCCTGCTGGGCACAGGCCCGGGCGTACTCCAGGAGTGCCGTGCAAGGGCACCGCAGCCCCTCTGCACATGTGCACAGAGTCTTCTCACACAGGACCACAAAAGGCTCGGGGGGCACCAGGGGGTGGCAGCGGGCAAACACCGAGGCAGTCTTCAGAAGCTGGCACTGCTCCCACTGGCCCTGCAGGAATGAAACGCCACTTCAGTGCGGAACAGCACCCCGCAGCCCTGGCTTCCTGAATACGGCTCCACGAAGAACCAGCCCCTCCCGGAAAACAGTGGAAACTCCCTCACACCTGGCACCTAGGAGGTGCTCATCAACTTCTGTCAGATGAAACGGTCCAGCCGTCAAAGGCAAAATCCTGAACTCATGCTGCAAGGAATGGATGGACTCTCAGGTTACCTCCCAGACTGAGCCCTGAACACGCAGAGCCTACAGTCTCTGAACAGCAGTGGCTGGCGGGGTCTGAGCAGAGGGAGGGGAGTGGAGGACGCTAAGCTTGGAACCAGGCCATTCAGATGCTGATGGGGGGTCTGCTTCGCACTGACCTAGCCGCCTCCTTTCCCCACTGGGTCTTCCCCACCATCCAGGAGGAGATGGTACCAGGAGCTGCATAAAGCAGACACTGCTGAGATTTACTGATATTGGGTGCAATACGTTTTCCAAATGACCACCAGGTGATTCCTGGAGCCAGATGGAAAAACAAGCTAGGATTCTAGAAAATGTCCCCAAGATCCTCTGCCAGGCAACGGCTGTTCTTGGATTTTACCACCTTGTTGATACCCTCAACCTAACAACACAGGGCCGGTTCAGAATTGTCACTTACTACTCCAGTAACACATCAGTACAAACATCCCTACACATTGTATATTGTACTTGTAAACATCTCTGCGTTCTGTGTCTTAATGATTCCAAATGCACTTTCTTTTTCTTTCTTTCTTTCTTTTTTTTTTGCAGTTTAAAATCTCTGAAGTTGGGAGACACAGCTTTAGAAGTGATTCCCATGGGCTCCTTCTTTGCTGCAAATAAAATATTTTCTGCAATAAAATTAAATTAAATTAATAAAATCTCTGAAGTTGGTGTGCATCTTACAATCGATATCACACTTTAATTGGCAGCTTTTTTTTTTTTTTTTGGCTTGAGAATGTCTTCTGCAATCTCATCCTACAGATTTTCATTCAGCCATCTTCATAACCGCTAAGCTATCCGACCTGCTGTAATAAGTCCTTTTTACTCAAATTGCCTAGAGTGGAATCTGTCCTCTGCATTAGGATATTGATCAGCACAAAACCCAAAGAGAATATACAGCGCACATAAAAGAATCTGTTTTTAATTTGTTCACACTATGTTTAAAGTAAATCAGGCAACTGAGTTGAATAATCACTGGCCTTGGTAACAGGTGTCCCAGTGTGATTTCTCCTCCCCTCACTCTCAGTTACTTTGGGCTTCCTTCTCTCTGTTCCTCAGCTTTTCTTCCTTAATGATACTGGAACGATGATGTGTCCTGGACTTGCCACAATACAGTACGGTCACCATAAGTGCTCCCTGCCGGAGCATCAGCTCTTTCATGCATAGACATGCTCTCTCACTGGAGAATTAGTACATAGACTTAAAACCTTCAGCCAAGGGGCACCTGGCTGGCTCAGTCGGTAGAGCATGTGACTCTTGATCTCAGGGTCGTGAGTTTGAGCCCCATGTTGGGCATGGAGCCTACTTAAAAATAAAGAAAAACTTAAAAAAAGAAAAAACCTTCAGCTAAAAAGAAAGAGCATCTAAATGGAAGGCTGAGTTCTGAAGGATAAATCAGTGTCCATAAAGGGGGCAGTAAAAAAGAGAGAAGAAATACTAGGTTTGAAGAGAAGGAAATCCAATCTGGTCAAAGTGTACAGAAGGATGGCCAGAGCAAGGCTGAGTAAATCAAGAGCCAGGAGTCAGGCGGGGCATGGGGAGGTTCTCTTTTGTGGCACCATGGAAAGCCCGGAGGAATAGAAATCTGACCCGATGCTGCTCACCATCCACAAGACCCACCCTGGCAGCTCCAGGGACAAACTGTGGTCCCAGAGAAAATCCACATCCTGCCCACAGGGCCCTGAGCTGGGGCCCCCCTGCACCCCCCGGAGCCTGCACGGAGTCTGCCATTGGAACTAGGCAGCAGGGTGGAATGTCACAGCTGCACCTGATCACAGCGGGCCTGGGGCGGGAGGGACTCAGAAGGAGGCCCAGGGCCAGCTGGCCCAAGCAGTTGGGTGTGGCTGGTTCCCTCCGCCTCTTAGAAAAGCTGCAGCTGCACAGACTGCTGAACTGCGAAGCTGCAGACTGACAGGCACGGACAATTAGCAGCTCCACGTCTTGCAAGCCAACCGCGGAGAGCGGCGCTCCCTCCAGGACTCCACCTTTCTGGCTTCCTTCCCATCCGTGTGGAGACTCTACCCCCACTGCATGGCTGTAAGTGAGCTCTGGCTCAAGCTCAGCTCTGCTACTTCCTGGCGGTGGGGACTGAGGCAAAGCCCCTCGTCTCGCTGGAGAAGGGTGTCCTTGGGTAACATGGGAATGATACCAACAGGCACTGCCTTGTAGGTAATGGGAAGGCATGACAGTGCCTAACACTGAGCAAGCAATCGATGAATGAAGACGGTCTTGGTGAGTCCCATGACCCCTGAGGTCTTGGGTGATGGCATGCATCCTACCATTTGCCACCCCGAGCACTTCACATACGGGAAACTGAGGTTTCGGAAGACAACGCCAGGAAGAGTCCCACCCTGGACTTGTTATGACTTCACAGCCCCAGATGTGAGCTTTGCCTCTTCCACCTGCTTAGCTGTGTGACCTTTGGCTATTTGCCTAAACCCTTCTCCTCTATAAAATGGGGATAATAGTAACATTTTCTATCTGATGAGATGGTAGAGAAGACTGAATGAAATAAACTCATGTAAAAGTTTCACCTAATAAATGGTGACTCCATATCATCATCATGGATCTCTTGGCCACCAGAGAATCCTGGTTCCCTTGCCAATAGGCTTATCCTCCAGAATGGTGGGCAACTCACCAGCAGGACAGAAGAACACCTTTGTCCCTTTCCGCCCATCTCCATCTCCCCAGGCTGAATAGGGATGAATGGTTGCCATGACAACCTTATCCCTCTAATAGCATCTCGGAGTCTCCAAGGTGAACAGAGGGGCTGCTCTCCTTCACCTTCTATTTGGGAGGTGCACACTCCTCCAGAACAAAGTGGGTGTCTTTCAAGTGGGGTGATGGGGGAAGCACCGACTCTTCTTTGCACTAGGCAGGTCTACAACTCTCCTCAGGCTTAGGGGAGGAGGCTGAGGCCTGCTTCCAGTTCCTTCCATTCTCCCACACGGCCTGCCCCATGAGAAATGCCCCTCAGAAAGTGAGGTTCCTGGACCCTTAAAGGGCAGCCAGGGGTGTCCCAGAGAGGGCCAGATGCTCAGGCTCTTGCCTACCTTTCTCCTCACCCACAATTTATAACCAGAGAAAAACCCAAAAAGGCAACTCCAGGGTTTTTTTTCTAGTGATGCTGCCATCACCTGGGCTGTAGGACAGTGGCCTGGAGCAGCCCCTTGCACCACAGGACATCTCGCACAGGCACAGGGAACAGGCACCTAGGGTTCTCACCAGCCAAGCACAGTGTCAGCCAAGAGACCCAGAGACCCAGGAGTCCAGGCATCTCCTCCCATGTTGAAAGTGATGCGGGGCAGAGGCCACCATGACCCATCTCCAGCTGGCCCAAATCTGTTTTCTGCTCAGAGGAAGAGTGGGACCAGTATTTCAGCCCATTTCCTGGGAAGTCCCTTGAGGTATTAAATGGTTTACAGAAAGCTGCAGCAAGAAGCGTGTTTTCTAACTATTCGCTTGCAGGATGGGAGTGGATTTCTGCAGAAACAGCCTCCTCCCTTCTTAGAACAATGACTTTGCCTCTGTGTCTGCACCTGAAAATCTGGCTAGGAATTCTTTCTCAACAGAGACTAAAGGAAAAGCTTGTCTTTCCATTTTGCCCTCCAGTCTTCCTCTGGTCAGCTCTGGCCTCAACTTGGCCTATTAGGATGACCATAGTCTGAGGGCCCCATGGTGCAGCATGGTGTCTCTGCCTCCCAGCCTCCCCCACTCGACCACAGGTAGCCCTGCCAAACCAGGCCAGACACCGAGACAGAAAATAGCCCAAGATGGAGCCGACCTCATGTCCTCTCAGATCCTGGGGAGAGACGTCGTCAGGTAGGAGGTGACCAAACCTTCACTCAGCAAGCACTGGTCATGTGGGCTCCATGTCTCTAGCATGTGCCCAAGTCAGGATACAAGGCAAATCTGACGATGTCCCACCCCAGCCTAAAGGGCCAAGTTCTAGCTCCTTAGAAAGTCAGCGAGGCCAGGCCATCCAGAATCTGACCCCAGCTGCTCTCCAGCTCATCCCTCCCATGCCCATCTCTCCCATCACCCATGTCCTCAGAGGAAATAGGCATTTCAGAGACAGCCTCGGCACCCGCTCCCACAAACTGGCCCTTCATAAGCCTGCAACACCTTCAAAGAACACAAACCTCCTCAGAGAAAGGCAAGATAGACTTTCAGATTTGGGAGCTGAGGCATAGAGAGAGTGAAACATTAAGTCAGTGGTTCCTGAAGCGTGGTCCAGGAACCTCCTACAGATTCCCAAGATCCTTTCAGGGCTCCATAAGATCAAACTATTTTTATAATAATACTAAGATGTGATTTGGCCTTCATGCTCTCACTCTTTCGTGACTGTCCAGTGGAATTTTCCAGAGGCTACATGGTATGTGATATCACAACAGACTGACTACAGAAGCTGACATGGGAATCCAGCTGATTTCTCTTAAGCCAGATAGGAAAGAGATTTGCAAAACTGAAACAATGCCATTCTTCTCTCCACATTTCCTGTTGGAATTTATAGTTCTTTTTATTAAAAAGATGGCATCCATGTTAAATATAATGTATTTATTTTTTAAGTGAATATGTTTTAAATTTCTGTTTTATTGTCTAATATAGTATGCACCAATAGATAATCCAAAACCATAATCAACAGATAATCCATAGAAAATCCCTTTGCCTTCCTCTATTATTTTTAAGAGTGTCAGCTAAGTAATTTACAAACTGCTGTACCACTCAGGGCTCAAAGCCTGATGCCATCCCACAGGCCAGTCACCTGTCAC